TACAAAAATTAAAAAGTTGCCCTCATTCCCTGAAGCTTGAGTGGTCCCTTTAGGGGTCTTTCAACTTTTTTTTTTCTGCTAATTTGAAAGTTAAACAGAAGTCTAGTAGAAACCACTAGTATGCTCCCCTAAAAGTGTCCTTTTTTTGCAAGCTTCAGTGACCCCTATAGGGGTAGGTGAAGTGATCCCATAAGGGGAATCTGCGAAATCCCCTAAGGTTGCCCCTCTAGTGACCACTCTGGAGTTCCTAGGTTTTCTGACTCCTTTTTTGAAAATTGTCAAGATTCTTGTGAAAAGAACGACTGTTCCTTCGGAAAATTCGGCAAAAAAAAATTGATTTTTGGACTAGAAACTCAGAATCTACGTTTTTTGACTTTTTCTCGAAAGCCTGCGGCTCCTGAGTCCACTCGGATCGGTACGAAAAAAATTCAAAAGACGATTTTCTTGGAGGTATCCGATTTCATTCCAACTATTTCTAGTGCAACGAAAGGAACGGTCTTTCAGGTAGGGACCGCAAAGCCACGCCCCTTTTCGCGATAGAAAAAGTGGCTTTTTTTTGGTTTTCAACTTTCATTTTGATGTAGTTGTAAAATATGTGGAACTGGCAAATAAAATTTGACACACTTGTACAGAAAAGCTTCCTCTTTCGTTTAAAAAATATTTCACGCTTTTTTGATGCGTTCGCGCGGAATGTCGTACAAAAACGTGAATGGAACTAAAAAAATTTTTGTCGTTTTTTTGCTTTTTTTCATGTGTTTTTCAGGTCGAACGCACTCTTTCTTTTTTTAAATAATGATTTTTGATTCAAGTAACGGTAATTTTAAAACAATAAAATAAAAAATTCGTCTTTGCCAAAAATTTTAGGGAGTGCCGAAAGTCGTAATTCAAAATATCGTTAATATGCGAATATAATCGAGTTTTTCTTTTTTCAAAATTTAGATCACGGGCTTACTTAAATATTTCTCCACAGAATATGTGCTTGAAAAAGTTGTTTAATACGCAAAAATGCTCTTGAAACTAGAGGATAAAATTAGCGGCGTTTATCACACAGAAAGCGGTCGAACGCAGGTTTTTTAAACGATTATATACATTTATTAGTAAAAAAATCTTTCAATTAAAAAGAATAAAATAAAAAAATTCGTCTTTGCCAAAAATTTACGGGGCCGTTTTTAATGCAGCGATCGTTAAACGAGGCAAAAAGCACTAAAAAAACAGTTTTTTTCGAAGTGAATTTCCACGAACCGTTTGAGTAAAGATTTGCAAACATATTCTGATAAAAAAATAGCTAAATTACTTCAAGTTTTTTTCTTTTTTGAAATAGACAATCTGTGCTATTCAAACGGCTCAAGGGTATGGCGGATGGAAGCTCCCCGCGTTGGACCTAACAGCTTGGCGCAACGCGTGCGCTCCGATTGTTCATTTTGAGGTCGCGAGTTCGATGCCCGCAAGCGGCAGTTTTTTGTTTTCTGGAAAATACCGACTTTTTCGACAAACTAGCTGATTAGCATCATTTTAGCACTCTAGTATGATTTGTTACATCATAATAGACCAGTATCAAAATTTGTTCTAGAAGAAAAAAATCGAAAAATGTCAAAAATGGATAATACCAAAATTTCAGTACTAAAAATGGTGCGCGGCGCGCCACCTTTTCCGTCATAACTTTTTTTCATCCTCAATCTTTTTTTGAAAAAAACTAAACGGTTCTGAGTTTTTGAATCGAAACAGCTATCGAACCATACAAAGCTCAATGCTGAAAAAAATTTTTTGAAAATTCGTCTGCGGTCCCTACTTTCAGGTCTTTCAGGTTTTTTTAAATATTTTTTTGAACCTAAAATTCAAATTTCCCAAAAATAGCTTCGAAAAGGGTAATCAGCCGGAATTATCAGTAATTTTTCTTTTATTTCGGCGGCTATTTTTCCGAGGCTTAAAAATAATTTCCTGTTTCATGAAATGTTTTTAATGAAGTTGAAAACATGTTTCTTTCGATTTGTTGGAAGAAGTAACATTGCGGGGAAAATTGAGATATTTTTTTCTAAATATGATTTTTGGCAAAGTTCAGAAGCTTAAAGCTCGAAAAATAGGTCTTGACACGATAAGGAAAGAGAGAGTGGCTGGCTTTTGGAGGGCGCAGACAGGCCACGCCCCCTTTCAAGCTGTGAATCGGCTATATCCGCTTTGTTCTTTAACAAAGTTTGAAAAAAAAAACGTCTTTTTGAATTTTAAAACGACTAAGTCTTGAAACAGAAAAAGGCTCTTCGTTTCGAGACCTTTTCGAAATTTGTCCATGCTCCTTTAATAACCAAATGTTGAGATTCTCAAAAAAAGATTTTTGAACTAGAAAGACCAGATCCTGAAGGATAAATATAACTCTAAAAAAGTTCTTGCATTGTCTAAAATCAAAAAAAAAAAATTTCGTCTCGAGACCTTTTCGAATCTTGTCCATGCTCCTTTAATAACCAAAAGTTGTCTCAAAAAAATATTTTTGAACTTGAAAGACCAGATCCTGAAGGATAAATATAGCACCCGGCAACAATAGTAAACCAGTCGGACCGAAATATGACAATTGTTTGGCCCGACCTTTGAACATCCCGAGAAGAAAAAGTAGATCGAACAGCAGTGGGAACAAGTTGAGCATCCGAGATTCGACAAAGGGCCCCTGTTTGAGTTGTAGAACACACAAACTGCTAACTTGTGCCGTCGCGCCGACTCTTCCCGTTGTTTCTTTGCAAAAACGCCCCCCAGCCGCCACTTTTTCGCTACATTTCAACCTTCCCACGTTCATACGGTGCTTCTCTTTCCAATTTATTTAGCTGGACTTGATTTTGAACAGTTTTTTTTTTTACAATTCTTTCAAACTAACAATAAGAATAGGTTCCAATGGAACCAAAAAAATAGAACAAGTTTTCAAGAATTCGTTTAAAAAAACAGAAAACCGTGACTTCTTGGCATGTTCCGAACTGTACTTCTCATACTAAATTTTTTTGCTAAATTTATTTTTTTGAAGCTTAAAAAAATAAGCTACTCTTCGAAAAGCTGCTGAATTTTTTTCTAGACTGAGCTTAAAAAGGATAGATTTATTCACTTTGATCAACAAAAAAATATAAATTTTTCCAGAACCTGGCACTTTTTTTCGCTACATTTCAACTTTTCCCACGTTCATACGGTGCTTCTCTTTCAAATTTATTTAGCTGGACTTGATTTTTGAACAGTTTTTACAATTCTTTCAAACTAACAATAAGAATAGGTTCCAATGGAGCCAAAAAAATAAAAAAAGTTTTCAAGAAATCGTTCAAAAAAACAGAACACGGCGTTTTTTTGGCGACTGCCCGCCATTATTTTTCCGTAAAGTATAGTGTGTAGTGTGCATGCACCGCGGCGCTCTCGCACATGACACGTTCAAAGTAATTTTCGCAGAACTATAAATTTTATCTCAATTTCTGAAATTCAGATATTTTTTTCACACTCTGGTAGCTTTTTTTAAATTCCGCGGAGTTCAACATAAATTCAACACGGCATATGTTGTTTTAAAAAAATGAAACAGAAAAAAATCGCGTTTTTTAAAAAGAGAAATAGATTCGTCTCAGGACCTTTAACCACTTTGATCAACAAAAAAATATAAATTTTTCCAAAGCCTGGCACTTTTTTTCGCTAGTTCCAAACTGCGTCTACGGTGCTTGTATTTCAAAATATTGAATGGACTCGATTTTTGAGTTTCAGAAAATTAGCTACAGTTCAAATAATATTCACACTTTTTTCTAGCTTCCAAGCTTGACTGTAATTTCAAGCTTTTTCAAAAACTCGAACTTGAAAAAGTAGCTCTTTAAGAGTTCTAGAAGCTCCAATGAGCTCCAGTGCAAGTCAGTTTACGGTCGGTTGCAAATTTATTTGGCTAGAGCGGAAATTTTCGTTTTTTTTTAAATTGAGTAGATAGAACCTTCCAATGTGCCTCTTTTTTAAAATTTCTCTACTCACTGGGAAAATTTTTAGTGGCCACTATAGAGGCTCGCCAAGGACTACTTGGAGAGGACACTAAAGTAGCCACTATTTTCCGTTTTAGAGGCAACTATGAAGGTTCTCCCTTTGGTGGCCACTTCAGTAGTTTTTCATCCATTATTCCTTCCAGTAACTTTGATAACTTTAAAACAAACAGATTGGACCAGTTATTTTAATCCATTGACCCCTAAAGTGGCCACTTAAATTTTTAGTGGTCTAGTAGTAGCAATTAGACCTCTATAGTGGTCACTAAACGATTACAAATTCTTCCAACCATTAAAGTTATTCAGCACCTTTTTGCCAACTCGAATCACATATTTGAAATCATGATTTTCAATAAAAAAAATATAGTTTAGAATATTTTTCAGCAAGTTTTTTGAAATCTATTATTGTTTTTTTTTTTTTCACATTCAGGGCAAAAACTACTGCTTCAAGTATCCTTTATTACCAAAAGGGTATTTTTCAATCATTTTATGATCCTTTACTAACTCGAAAATAATTTTCAAAACCCCTTGAGTAAAATTGTATAGGCATCGTGCTGCACTGTGGATTTGAGATTATCGATTTATTGTTTTTTTAAAGTGTAATTTCCTTAATTTGATACAGTTATCACTGCAGAAATGTCTGTAAAAAGTTCTGATTTCATAATTTTTTTGGACTTTTTGTTCGTTTTTCAATAACTTTCTTTGCTTTCAGTGGCCTCTTCATCTATAATTACTTCACATTTTCGCTGAGAGTAATTAAAGGACGCAGGAGAAACGGCAAATTGGGTTAACCACATTTTCGGAGCATTTTTTGGGATTTATTCATGGTTCAGGATCCATTTTCTTCTTGAATCCTTGTTTTTCCATGCTTTTTTTTTTGAATTTTGACGTTTTTCCAACGTTTTCGTTGTTTTACGGGAAAAAAATTTAAATTTTTTTAAATCGTCCGAATTTTGATTCGCATTTTTTCTGTTCGAACTTTATTAATATTTTCTTTTTAGGGGGTATTTTTAGCCGGTGGAAATGAAAGAGCCGTGCTTTCGGTGCAAACGACCAACTTATTTCAATGACAAGGTAAATTCAAATCTTTTTCAACAAAGAATCTTTTTCGTAGAATCTTTTTCCCAGATTTTGAGAGGAAAAAATAATTTCTGATCTTAGGAACTCTTCCTATTTATAAAATGAGTGAAGAAAAGAGGAAACGGGTAGAAAAATCGATAACTTTCAAGAGGAATGCAAAGAAAGGATAAGTGCGAAGGAGCGGATAGTTCAGAGGAAAAAAAGGGGATTTTTCGAGATTTTTGAACTTTCATATAGTTGATCTAGCACTGCAGATATTTTGAAGAAGCTTTTATTTTTTTGAAAATTCAAGAACTAGAAAAAAATTCTTCCATTTGGGACATTTTTCAAAAGCTCATAGACATGAGCGACCGCGCGCAAGTCGTTTCATGGTCGGTTGCAGTTGAAAAACGCATTTTAATCATTTTACATGCACTTAAACTAGTTGTTTTTCTCGGAAAAAAACTGAAAAAAACTGTTTTGGAGCTTTGATACGTCACTTCTCTGCTTCAGTCCGATATCAAATAATAAATCCGGTTTTTTATTTTGTTTGTTGGCAATTGCACAAAAATTGATAACAGGCAGAACAAAAAAAAATACGAGAATTGATACGACTCAAAGTTTAAAATTTTTATGCCGGCCTGCGTAAGCCGTTTTAATGTCGGTTGAAAGTTTATACAGTGACCGCTTGACTTTGAGCCATTCTCAATGCGACCAGAGTCTTTCAATTTGACCTTTTTTGATCGAATAAAAGCTAGGTCCAGTCTGAAATTTAATAACTCGAGTTATAACTGATACAACTTGGCGAGTTCTGCAGATCGGACCACTGAAGGACGGTTCCCTGTTCCACAAGGGCTGCTTCAAGTGCTGGATCTGCGGCACGCGACTTTCACTCAAGACCTACCACAACAACCGCAACGACAACACTGATCTCGAGGTTCGCAAAAGTGACAACAACTTATTTTCATCTTGAAACGGTGAAGAAGTGGATATGAGTCGAGTTGGAGAGGTTCTGGAGTGAGGAAAAATGAACAGGGCAATTTTTGGAAATGAAAACCGTTGGACTCGGGCGAAAGGAAAAGCTCCTCAAAAAATTTTTTTCAATTTTGCGCTTCAAAACCCCGTGAGACTATGGAAATGGTGCTCAAAAGTCTTTTAAAGGAACCTTCTCAACTCCATCAGAGGGTCCTCAAACGAAACGAAAAAAAAACAACCAAGACAGAATTTAAGAATTTTTCAATTCAGGAGAGCTTTCAAATGAACCCATTCCATATTGAAATTTTAGAAAAAAAGTTGAAAAGCTGGGAAAAAATCAATAAATGAGTTGAAACTTGCGTGTTACTGAACTTAGGAACTCCAGAGTGGTCCCTATAGGGGCTGTTTTCCTCTAATCCCTATAGGGACCACTTTGGAATTCCTGAGATCTCTGAAAGTTTCCGGCGTTTTTTCCTTTTTTTTTCTTAATTTTTTGACATTCAAACTCTGAACAGACTATATACATACTTTTTTCTAACAGAAGGATTTTCAGGTATACTGCGCGGGACACGTCCCAACACCCGGACCCCACGACCCGATCCCACACAGATCCAATTTGCTGTTCTCTCCCAAAACCAAGGGAGAATATCCGCACAATCTGATGCGACCAGCCGGACCCACCTAATAAATCCATCCATCCATTTCATCTCCGTTTATTTTTCCTATTTTCTCAAAAACCTTCGCTACTGAATGATTTAATTAGGCATTCAATTCGACTCCACCTGAAATTTAAAAAAAAACAACTCCGTCCGCTCAAATCCTCCTATAGAAAATTGCTATGAATATGTCTATGTGATTGAAGTCTCGCTGTTAACCACCTAACGTATTCAATGTCCCTAATTTTCTTGTCATCTTGCAAAAAAAAAATCCCCTTCAAACTCGAAAAATACACGCGATGTACTAAATATCGGCATTTGTATAAAGATTCTCTTGATTTTTTGATCTTGAATGGATTAATTTTTGTCTTGTGGGAGACAAACGGATATTTGAAAGTGTATTCTGTCTGAAAATACCAGGAAAAAAGAAAAAAACTCACAGAAAAAGGGTCTAATCAAAAAAGTCGCTTTTTGTGTGATTTTGGGTGATTCAAAGACTTTAAGCGCGCTTTTGATTGATCCAGTTAAATTTTTTTCAACAGGATAAAAAGGTAAAAAAATAATGATTGAAGCAAGAAAATGATAAAAAGAAGAAAAAAACTAAAAAAATTTCGTTTTTTTCTGGCACAGTAATCAAAATTACGATTGGAGCGCATTAGACCACAATATTTTTACTTCAACATTTTTATTGTGGAAATTTTTCTTTTTTTATTTTTTTGGTATTAATTTTATAATATTCCTTAAATCGGTTCAAAATGAATGGAAATCTGTTTTTATTAAATTGAAAAACTTATTTCCTTCAGTGCCGATTTCATTGAATGAATTTTTTTAAATAAGCGTTCAAAATGGATTTCGTCGTCTTTTTTCCATTTTTTCGTTTTCACACTAATTTTTTTCGTTATTCATGACGCTGTTGAGAGAACTAAATTTCATTTTTTTACACGCGATTCAACAAGAAAACAATAATTTATCCACTCATCATCATATTTCACAGCTCCTCGTGTTTATTTGTTTTTTCCAGCATTTCCTTCACAATTTTCTCGGTTTCTTCTTTCCGCTCCCGCAGCTCCAACGCGTCAAGTGGCAGCTTTAATCGAGGGATTAGCTCTATAATCAAGGCGTCATAAGGATAATCTTGAAAAAATTTAAAAAAAACCTTCACAGCCCTCGTCCTTTAGCGACTTGATCCAGTGCAGAATTTGATTTTCGTCCTCGTTAGCTATCGATTTTCGGTGTAGGCAATAGTCGGAGCCCTAAAATGAGGGCAAATATGAAAGTTCTTTGAAAATGCTAATGAAACCTCAGTCTTTATTGAAATGTAAAATGGTTTTGATCGGTCAGCAAGCTTTTGGGTCCAGTACATTCCAAAGAGATCAAATCTAAAAAATAATAGTTTTTTTAAGAATATATTCATTGGATTTTTTGCAAAATCGCAGCTATAAAGAAAGCAAATTTCCCTTTTCCGGAGGGTACGGTGTGAGAAATTCCGCATTTAGCGTGTTTGCACAGTTTGAGGGTACCGTCTCCGCGTTTTTCGTATTTGAGATAAAATTTTTTTGTTTTTTATAGAAAGTCAGAATGAAAAATTGATGTAAATCGAATTTTTTTCAGTGGTTGAAATCCATTTTGAGAAAAATTCAGAACAAACTGGAAAAAAATACGGAAATGGCACTACTTAATGTGTGCAAACACGCAGAGTGTACACGCCAAATGCGGACTTTTCACATACCGTAATCTTCGGGAAAAGAAAACTCGCTCTTGTCGCAGCATGAAAAATTTACAAATTTTTAAAATGTCGAGCTTTTTTCAGTACTATTTGGGACCATCAAAGGCTTTCGAATCTTCAAAAAAATTCCAGGGTTTCAAAAACAGAATCCATATTTTCAATTGAATACACAAAAATAAAAGATTCTGAGCACTTTTCTGACAGATAAATTAATAGACTGACCCCCGAGAAACGGCGAAATAAGCTATTCTCCTGCTCAGAAGTTGATTTCCAGCGGTCCATCGGAAATTGGTGGAATTCCTCGTGGCCGTTGGGTCGACGAACACAATGAGAGGCTTTTCCCCACTCAAGGCGAACTTTAGATTCTTCGCCGTTTCGATTTTGTGCTTGAAATTGTAGTTTCGAAGGTAATTTTTGTAGTTCGAACCACGGAAGGACGAATACTCTCCTCCAAATATTCCACCATTCGATCGTAACTGAGGTCGTCATAAAGTGTGAAAGCTTGAATATATTCTTCCAGAGGCTTCATCGTCACGAAAGCCGGGTTATGTGCCCTGAAATTTTTGATTATGTTATTTTTCAACTTTGAAAAGTACCATTTCAGTACGTCTTCATGAACCATTGCACCAAAATGAAATCTTCCATGGTTTTCCTTGGCGAATTTTTTGAAGTTTGTGTAGACCGCCGTACGCTTTTTCGCCACGAATAGCAGGTTTACGGTGGAGCGCGATTCCTCGAAGCCTTAATTTGAATTAAATGCTATTTATTAGGACAGAAAAGGGTAAACACCAGGAAAATCCGAATATATCTGTTTCGCGACATTTTTTTGTCGAATCTAACTTTAGGAGTTCCAGAGTAGTCTTTATAGAGGCAAGCTTACATGGGAGGTCATTTTAGCGTAGGGTTCAGAATTTTTCATAAATTTGCTCAAACAATCTTTGATGGACGGGCCTTTTGAAGGTTTTTTGAAGGTTCCTCTTTAGGGCCAATTAAACTTTAGAGGCTTGGTGATGAGCCCCTAAACCCCTATATCGTCAATTTTTCCCGACTTGAAAGGCGAGGGAGGCGTGGCAAGGGGCGGGACGCGTAGCGTGTGCGTACGCGGTTCTTGGCACGTGTTCAATTCAACCGCTAGCGAGCATTCAGAGAGCTTATTCATCGCTCTTTTTCACTTTTTCATTATTTATTGATTATGTTCATGTGTGCATCAAAAAAATAGAAGAAAATACAAAAAGAGCGGTTGCCGAGCTTTTTAAACAGTCAGCGGCGATTGAACTGAACTGGCGCCAAGAACCGCGTACGCACACGCTACGCGTCCCGCCCTTTGCCCCGCCTCCTTCGCCTTTCAAGTCGGAAAACATTGACTATAAGAGTTCATCTAAATTTTATCCTTATATGGGACATTTTTTTAACCACTATTGGGACCACTCCGGCGATTTTTAAAAGGGTCCGAATGAAATTTTTCATTATTTTTGTTTTTTTGTGTTTTTAGAGAAAAAAATCAAATTTAAATTTTTCCAGTACTTTGTCAGAAAAATTGTCCAATAAGGGCTTTAAATCAATCAGAGACTTTTTCATTTGAACAAGCTTCAAAATTTGAAAAAAATTTCTATTGTAAAATTATTTTTTGCGATGTTGTTTCTGTAGAATAGTTATCACATGCTTTTTAGTTTGATTGGTTTTTCCATTTTTTTTTTTTTTTCTCGCCTTGAATGTCAAAAAGATAATAACCTGGTATAATTCCACTTCGATACAAAGGCACCAAGTCTTCGGTCATTTTTGCAATGTCCGGCTGTTGAATCCTATAATTTTCCCTGCTTTGAACATTTTCAAAATAATCCTCACGTCAAAATCCAATCCCGAACATTATCTCCGTCAAAAGTTCCTTCGAAGTTCTTGTACGGATTCTCGTTGTGGTAGGCTATAAGAGAAGCGGAAAATCCTCCGTCCAGAACGTTGTATTCCTTGCAAATTTCCTCGTTCCTTGAGAAAAAATGGAACATTTTAAGCCAGGGAAATGTTGGAACGGACTTGTGACAATTTATGAGCCCCCCACTGGCTTTGGTCCTTCTCAAGGCGTCTGCGAAGTGAACCACGGCCTCGTAGTTCTCAAAGTCTTCTGGAACGATTTTTCATTGTCATTCTGAAGATTTCTTCAAGGAAACTAACCAGGAAAGTAGAAAAGAACAAAAGAATAGGTCGATTTCCCGGAAGAGATCACTTGGTCAAGGTCTTTTGAAGTTTTCAGCTCGAATTCTTCCCAAAATTTGGCGTCCTTTTTCGAATTTTTTTCCTTATCTAAAGTTCAAATTGGAATTTCCAGGTCTTTATGAGTACATTTTTGAAAATTATTGTGAAAAATTTGCATAAAATGCTAACCAGGGACTTTAAAAAAACCAAACTTTCAAATATTTTTTTCGAGCATTTTTGTAAAATTCCACAATTATCCTTCCTCTAATAAATGTTCTTATGAAAAATCGTTAAAAATAGGCTTAAAATAATGTCGAAAATAAACTTAGGAACCCTAGAGAGGTCCCTTACTAGTCAGGTCACTTGAAAAATTCCCCTCTAGGGACCACTTCACTTTCCCGGAAGCACCAAAGCTTGAAAAAGTGGCCACTATAGAGGAGCATGCTACTGTTTCCTATACGTCTTTTTAGTTTTCAAATCCGAAGAAAAAAAAATACCCTATAGGAATCACTTAAACTTCACCCCTGTAGTGAGCACTATTTTGCCTTCTATGGCCCCTCTAGGGCCCACTATGGCGTTCCTAAGTAACTTATTGTTCTGCATTTTCTCGAAAACCTTCAGGAGTTTTTTCACATGAAATTTATGTTCTTTAAAATCTTCTCCCTCTTGTTTAAACTTTTTCGCGAGTTCTTTGAACCCTCTGGGAAATTTTTTAGTGGCCACTATAGTAGTCAAATTAGTGGCCACTTAAGGGGTTAAAAATTAGTGGCCACTATAGAGGTCTAAGTGCTACTACTAGACCACTAAACATTTTAGTGGCCACTTTAGGGGTCAATGGATCAACATAACTGGTCCAATCTGTTTGTTTTAAAATTATCAGAGTTACTGGAAGGAATACTGGATGAAAAACTACTGAAGTGGCCACTAAAACGGAAAATAGTGGCCACTATAGAGGTGGGTTTAGTGGCCACTTTAGTGTCCCCTCCAAGTAGTTCTTGGCGAGCCTCTATAGTGGCCACTAAAGATTTTCGCAGTCTCACCAATTTTGCTGGTCGATTCCAAAGCGAAATGGGAGAAATAGCCGTCCACAAACTCGTACAACAGCCTAAATTCACGTCAAAACGGCCCTCGAGGGTGCTTACTCCGTGGCGACGTCGCTCAACTCATGCAAATTCTTCTGCGGAACATTCCTTTGTACTTTCAACGTCGGGGCGTCGGAGCTGAAAGAAAGAAACACTGGAATTTCGGAGACATTTTTCTTCATAAGACGGCGGCTGCAAAGATGGGGATACATCTCGAAGATATATGAGATTCTGTTCCTCATTTTCCTTCTTCTTCTCGTTTCTTCGGCGTCTTTCTTCCTCTTTTACTAGTTTTTTAGGTTCTGGTTGGTGCTAATGTTTCTTAAAATCCTTCAAATGACTGATTAGAGGCTATAAATCACTTTTCAGCTTTTTAAAGACTCAAACTTTTTGAAAAACAAACGATTACAATTTTTTACATTAATGGGCTCCACATTTCTTACCATGGTTAGCATTCCGATTTAATTTGGGCAGAAATTTGAAGTTTTTGCATCAAAATATCAAAATAAGTCGATGAACTCTCCATTTACGTTTCATTCATCGATTTCTGACTTTTCGAAATGAAAAAAGCAATTTTCCTAATTCGCGAAATTCAAAATAGCCGTCAGAGAGCGAGAAAGATAACTGGATTTTGGAGAGTCAGAGACAATTTTGATTTCAGAACAAGGAGGTCGTTTTACTTTGGGATTCCCCTGAAAATTGGCCAGAACACTCTTTGGTGTACCAGAAAAAGATTCTATAAATTTCAACCTGCGCAAATTTCTAGTTTTCAAGAAATAAGAGCTCAAAGCCTCAAAATGGCTTGTTTTAACGGATTTTCAGATTTTTAGAGGTGTCCTTTCTCAAGAAATAAGAAGTTGTGGAAGTTGAGAATTTCAGGATCTTCATATGGTACATTAAAAATTGTTCTGACCAGTTTTCAGGGAAAAGTAAAATGACCTCCCTTGTAAGGAGCTTTATTCTAATTTTTATGTCCAAAAACTACATCAGGCCCTATTTTGAGTTTTACATGACTTTACAGTTTTCCGATCGAGTTTTAAGTTATATTTTACTTCAATTTTTGATGATTTTTTTGTTACGAGTCTTGTTATAGCTTTTTTTTAAATTTACTAGTCGAAGCCGAATTTTCCCAGGGTTTGAGGATTTGAAAAAAACCTGGAAATGCTCAAATGAAAGCCATCGATCGATTTGCACTCCTCGGATGAAGGATCATTGGAGCAGTCGATTTCATGAAGCTTTGCCTCGGCGAAACGATTGTCCGAGTTGATCCGCTTGACCACTTTTGACACTTTTTCGATCGCAGCTTCATCTTAATTTATAGATTTTGGTTGAAAATGTTCTTTTTTGGATTTTTTTTTCCAACAAGGAGTTGTTTAAATTTTATTCTGGAATCGTCAAAAAGTCTTTTGATGTACCTTGATATCACTTTGATGTACCAAATGAACACATTTGATATACTAAATTAAGATTTTGAAAGTCTCAACCTCTAAAATTTTCTAGTTTTTGAAAAGAGACTTCCATTAAATCGCTCAAATTCAGTCAAAATCGCTTTTTTGGCCCTTATTTCTTGAAAACTAGGAATTTTTTAAGGTTGAGGCTGTCAGAATTTTCTTCTAGTACATCAAAGAGTATTAGGGCCAAATTTCATTAAAATCCAAAAAAATTAAAACAAATTTGACATTCCTTGTCGAAACGTTTTTCCTCCACGAGGAAGATTATATATATATTTTTTTACTCTGGAATTTTCTGAAAGTCTGCTTAATTTCTCTTTGACACACTAGAAAAACATCCAGAGAGTTTTTAATTTCTCAGAATTTCGAGTTTTGGAAAAATCGGAGAAGAAAAAGTCAGTAAAACACACAAAAATCAGTCAAAATGGGTCATTTTGAGCCATATTTTTCTTGAAAATTAAAAAGTTGTGGGCTTTAAGACTTTCAAATATTTATCAGAAAGATCAATAACTTCAAATCAAAGAAAAAAAAAAAATTCTTCACGAATACCAAGAAAAAAGTTAACCTCTTTCCCTCGAAAAGCTCAATCTCACATCGATATTTTGAGCGTAAACAGCAGAAAATAGAAAAAAAGCGGCGAAAAAGTGAAACGAGTTCATGAGTCCGATTTTGGGAGCATCCAAAGACGCGTCAGTGTCCCTTTTCACTGATAACGACCATCTTTATCACTGTTTTCTTGTTTTGCGCCCCTCATTTTGCCCCGAATGTATGAGGCGAAACGGGCTCCGCAAGGTATCCTTCTCCTTCAAACCGGATTCCAGTTGTGAGTTTTGAAAATTGTAGTCAAATCGTTGTTTTTTGTGGAAGGAAAGCGTTGAGAAATCATTTGAGTCTTCAAAAAATTAGATTTCTATCAGCCATTTTAACAAATATTCAATCAATGTAAAAAGTTCCTCTATTGATTATTTTTCTTCGTTTTAATCTTGACTAGGTCCTTGGTAACGCGAACTGGACGTGTCGGGGCATTTTCAGTGACCACTTTAGTAGCCTCAGAACTCTTAAGTGACCCCTAGAAGTGCTCAGAAACGCCCCGAGGTCCGGGAAACTTTGAGGATAGATTTGTTACAATTTTGAAAATTTCTAGCATTTTCAGAGGCGCAGAACTTTTGCATAATCTTAAAATGTAATGAAAACGGCTTTTCGCTTCGAGACCTTCGGATATTTAGAGCCCATTCCTTTAAATTTTGAACGAACCTTACTTTTTTCGATTAATTTTACGGCGTCTTCTTTCGAACTAAAATTTTCAAAATCTGAAAAAATTTACCTCAAAATTTCTCTGTTTTAAATTCTGAAACTCGGTATTGACGTGTTTTTATAAATTATTGAGCCGTTTGCAACTGATTTGTCGGATTTTTACATATTTTCATATTCAAAATTTTCAAAAACCTTGAGAAAGTGAAAAAAAGCCTCAAAGTTGTTAATTTTTTCTCAAACAGTTTCACAGTATTGCAATATTATTAATAATCTTGGTAGAACAAAGCGTTTTTATTATATACTTCACCTTTTTCTTATCAAATAAAAAAGAACCTTGACCCTTGCACAAGGTCTGCGCCTCACCGCTTTTGCGTCAATACGAAACGAAGGGCGCATTTCGCGTGCAGACGTCAATATCCCCATGCGTGGCGAAGGTCCTTCTACGGGCAAAGATTGAGCATCTGGTCGCTTCTGAATTGCTAATCAAGGCCTACTTGGCCCAAGCCGTTTGCTCTTGTATTGATTTATTCTTCTTTTAAGTTCTGTTCTTCGTTTTAAAACTTATTTTTCTTCATGAAGTTGAACATTCAATTATAATCGTGTTTATAGGTTCGAGGACATGGCACTGCGAAAAGTTCGCAGTAATTTGGACCGGTTATTCGATAAAAAGTCTGACTGATTTGATCAGAGGCATAAGAAATAATAAAGATAATGAGGTTTGTTGAAAATTGTCAAAAATTTAAATATTTTTGATGCTCTTTTTGAAGGCCCTGATATATTGCATCCCTGCATGGAAGAAATAAAAAAATGGAACTGAGGCAAGATTCGATTTATATCAAGGCGAATGCCGTCGAGAAGTTGGCCTATGTTAGTTTTTTTCAAAATTAAAGAGATAATTATGATATTTTTCAGCTCCAAATGTTGGGATATGATATTTCTTGGGCCGCTTTTAACATAATCGAAGTGATGGCGTCGACAAAATACACTGAGAAACGGATTGGGTTGGTTTTTATTTTTGAAAAAAATAGTTCTGGAAAAATGGTTTTTTTCTGTTAGATTTTGTGGAGATTTTTTTCTGATTTTTTTAAGATCTTTTCCGCTTTTTCCGGTGGCTTTTTTTAAAGTTTTTTTCCAGCGATTTAATGTTGAAAAAAAGTTGAATTTGCAGCTCAAAGACTCAAATTTTTGTCAATTTTTTTGAGTAAAATTTAAATTTTTCCGTGTTATTTTTATTAGATTTTCCTACAGTTTTCCTGGTTTTTTTGAGGTTTTTTCCGAATTTACCGCTTTTTTTCTGTTTTCTAGAGGCTTCAGTCAAAACTTTGAAAAAAATCTGATTTTTTGCTTCTCCGCCTAAAAAAATACTTTTTATTAATTCGAAATTTCCTATTGAAGATTAATTTTTTTGTGGTTTTCGATGGAATTTTGTATATCTTTCCTTAGGTCTTTTTCTGTTTTTTTCCGGGTTCTTTTTGTCTTTTTTTCTTTATTCTTCAACGGTTTCAAAGTGGAAAATTCGATGTCCTGAAAGATGAATTTTTCTCAATTTTCGGTTCATAAATAATTATTTTTTTCAGTTATCTCGCCGCCGCTCAATGCTTCCACGACGAGACGGAAGTTCTCATGTTGACCACCAATTTAATAAGAAAAGATGTTAATTGGTATAAATTAAATCTCCTCAGAAAATCCAAAAATTGTTTCCAGTGCAAACATGTACGATTCCGGCGTCGCCCTGGGCGGTCTTTCTTGTTTCGTGACGCCCGATTTGGCCCGGGATCTCGCTTCGGATGTTCTGAACCTGGTTGGGAGTTTTCTGAGAAGAAAATGTTCTTAGGAACTTCTGAGGGGTTCCTATAGGGGCAACTTAAGGGCTCATGAAGATTCCCCTAAAGGGACCACTTCACCTTTTTTTTTTTAGGGGGGACTTAATCTTGCAAAAGTGGCCTTTTAAGGGGAGCAAGTTTCATTAAATAAACCTTTTCAATTTTTCAAATGAGAAAAAAATTGGAGAACCCCATAGGGGCCACTTGAGCTTTACAGGCTCAAGATCAGACCTTAAACCCCTATAGGGACCACTTGAATTAAACTGATTTGTGTGACTGTTTTTCCTGATCCTTAAAGGCACCTCTCTGCTAGTTCCAAGAAGTTCTCAGAGGCTTTAATAATATAGCGACTTTCAAACAGGGATTTTAGAGATTTAGCGAAACAGGAAAATAATGAAGAATATATTTTTGAAGTGAAGGTTTCAAATAATTCGTTGTGATTCCAAATTCCCCGAAGAAATTTGACTTTTTTCTTCGAAATTTTTAGAGCTTAGCTGAAAAAAATTAATAGAAAACTAGGTTTCCAGAAAAGAATGTGCGAAAAATGGGGTAATTTGCGCTCCAACGCTAATTTATATTTTTTTCTCCGATTTTTTTCTGGTTTTTTTCAAAAGATATTTTTGTGAAAAAAAGCCTTTAAATGAAAATATTCAAAAAAATGTTGAAAAAAAGACAGAATTTTTAGAGGCTTCATTTGATAATTTTTGAGGTATTTTTCAGCTTTGAAAAATAAATTTTTTTGAGGAAAAATGGAATAATTCAATGAATTTGTGCCTTTTTGATTAGCCGTGGAGCGGACTTCTCCAGCTTTTTGGCCATTTTAATCAATTAAAAATTTTTTTCTCGCTTTTTTTTTTACCTGTGATTTTTCCAGTTGACCTCTTCCCCGACCGTACACTCGAAAAAGAGCCGTTCTTCTGTTGTTCAAAATATTTCTGAAATATCCCGACGCCCTGCGCCCGACCTTTCCCAGGTTGAAAGAAAAAAATTGGAAGATCCGGATCCAGGTAATTTTTTTGCGGTTTTTTTATAGATTAAAAATAAAAAAATTGAGGTGTTCAAAGCGCGGCGGTCAATGTAATTTGTGAACTGGCGAGGAAAAAAATCCGAGGAATTATTTGACTTTGGCCCCGGTTTTTCTTCAAATTGATGACCACCTCGAGCAATAATTGGATGCTCATCAAAATTATCAAATTGGTTGGTTTTTCGATTTTTTTAATGGGAAATTTTGAGCTTTTTCCAATAACTTTGATAAATCATTTTGCGGTTTCAATACATACTTTTCAGCTCTTGAATTATTATTTTACTTAATAAATAGGTGTTCTGTGTTTAATTTAAAAAAATATGAGTAAAGGTTAAAAAAATATTATAATGACCTTTATTTGATGATTGTTTGTTTATGGTTTTTCGCCGAAAAAAATTGAATTTTTAAGGTTATTCTGCTGACATAAGTAACTTATTTTGCAGTTTCAATATTTTCCAGCTCTTGAATTCTTATTTTGTTTGATAAACCGGCTTCAATTGTTAATTAAAATGGTACGAAGACCCTCTCGATTCTGATCTCTGTATTCTTTTTTGGTAGTGAAATTGGAAGCAGTAAGGAACGAATAAAAATTTGAGCTTTATTTCGTTATTTTTCAGAGAAAGGTCAATTTTTAATTTAACCGAAAAAAATATTGGATTTTTTTCAATTTGATTATTTTTTTGTGAAACAGTTTTTGTCAGCTAGTTTTATTAAATTTGAACTTTATCTGAATATTTTTTTGAAATGAGTACTAAATAAATTTTATGGAAATAGTTTTCTTGGTTTAACTGGTAATGATACAATAATTCTTATTAAAATTCAGTTTTCCATTGAAAAAAATTTTTCCCAAATGGGAAAAAAATATTGCAAAAATAAAGGAAAATCACCTCAAAAAAAAAAAAAAATCTCAAAACCTTTATAAAAAGACCAATTTTTCAAGTTCGGAGCCCTGGTCCCGCTGGAACCGCGGCTGGGCAAAAAACTGCTCGAACCCCTGACGAATTTGATCAACAGCACGTCGGCCATGTCGTTGCTCTACGAGTGCATCAACACCGTCATTGCAGGTACTTAAATACATTTTTTGCTTTTTTTGAATGGCTTCAAAATGAGAAAATGTGATGAGTTTCAGCTTTAAAATGCTTATAATTAATTGAAATGTGATGTATAAATTTTCAATGAGTTATGATGTTCACATTTAAAAAATTTTCGTCTTCAACCAGTTTCAGTACAAGAATGAAAAAAATGAGTGATTTCTATAGAAGTTCAAATTTTATTTAATTTAAGACAAAATTCATTTAACTGGGAAAATTTTTACTGGCTATGATAGAGGCTCGCCAAGGATTACTTGGAGATGACACTAAAGTGGTCACTAAATTCAGCTCTATAGTGACCACTGTTTTCCTTTTTAGTGGCCACTTCAGTAGTTTTTCATCCAGTATTCCTTCCAGTAACTTTGATAATTTAAAAAAAAACAGATTGGACCAGTTATGATGATCCATTGACCCCTAAAGTGGCCACTCAAGTTTTAGTGGTCTAGTAGTAGCACCTAGACTTCTATAGTGGCCACTAACTTTTAACCCCTTAAGTGGCCACTAATTTGACTACTCTAGTGGTCGCTAAAACGTTGAAACCCTATAGTGACCACTAAAAATTTTCCCACAAATGTCTATTTTAATATTTTTGCAGTTCTGATCAGCATTTCTGCTGGTGGAGATCATACGGCCAGCATTCAGGTATAGAAAAAAAAATACTTGTCTTAATCATAATTTTTCAGCTCTGCGTCCAGAAATTGGGTGTTCTCATTGAAGACTCGGACCAGAATCTGAAATACTTGGGACTTTTGGCGATGGGAAAAATTCTGAAAACGCATCCCAAGGCTGTACAGGCACACAAGGACATCGTTCTGAGGTGTTTGGACGACAAGGACGAAAGTATCCGATTGAGGTCTTTTTTTGAAGTTTTTTGATGGGAAATGAGAAGATAAGGTTACTTTTTAGAATTTTAAGGCTTTTCCACTAATTTTGATTTTTTTTAAGGGTCTTTTTTGGACTTTATTTGATGGAAAATAAGAAGAAAAAAAGTTAATTTTTTTGGATTTTTAAGGCTTTTTCCACTAATTTTTTTATCATTATAGAGGAGTTTTTGGAGTTTAGTTGATGGAAATGAGAATAAAAAGCTAGTTTTCACTAATTTTCGATCATTTTGGAGTTTTTAGATGAGAAACGTGTGGGAAATGAGAAGAAAACGTTACTTTTTGGACTTTTGAGGCTTTTCCACTAATTTTTATCATTATAGAGGAATTTTTGGAGTTTTTGATGGGGAATGGGTCGAAAACGTTATATTTTTAAACTTTTAATGGGCTTAAAAGAAATTTTTTTCATTGATTTTGGTCATTTTTAAAGGGGTTTTTCGAAGTTTTTGATAGAGAATGAGACGTTACTTTTTTGGATTTTTTTAGGCTTTTCCGCTAATTTTTGATCATTTTTTTAAATGTTTTTTTGGACTTTATTTGATGGGAAATGGGTCGAAAACGTTATATTTTTGAATTTTCAAAGGGGCTAAAAAGAAAGTTTTCACTAATTTTTCGATCATTTTGGAGTTTTTTTAGAGGAGAAATGTGTGGGAAATGAAAAGAAAACGATACTTTTTGAATTTTTTTAAGGTGCTAAAAACAACTGTTTTATTAACTTTTTAAAGGGGTTTTCGGAGTTTAAATATTGTAAAATGGGTCGAAAACGTTATATTTTTCAACTTTTAAGGGGCTAAAAACTTTTTGCACTAATTTTGGTAATTTTTAAGGGTTTTTCTGAAGTTTTTGATGGGAAACGATGTCAAAAAAACGTTACTTTTTAGACTTTTTAAGGGGCAAGAAAAAAATAGAAATCGCCCCAATTTTACCCTAATTTGCAGTAAAAATCTCATTATTTCCTTGAGTTTTTGTACATTTTTATAAAAATCAAAAAAATGTAGAAAAAAATTGAATAAACTGTGATTTTTTTGAATTTTTTAAGGCGCTTGAAAGAACTATTTTTTTCAAATTTTGACTATTTTTCGGTTTTTCTGGTGTGAACTTCTCACGTAAATCTCGAAAAATACTATCCAGAAAAGAATTTCAATTTCCAAAAAGAAACTAATTGACCGTGTATCGCTCTAAATTTTTGACTAATTTTTCGTTATTTTCTAGATTTTTTTGGTGTAAAAAAATTGTTCAGAAAAAAATCGAAAAAGGATGATTTTGGTCTTAAATAAAGATTCTCTAGAAAAAAATATACGAAATTTCGAATTTTTTTAAGGAGCCAAGAAGATTTTTCCAATTTAAATCTTGAACCTAAATTAATTTTGCGTTGTTTTTCTAATTTTTCTGTTGTGAAAAAAATCGAAAATGATATTCCAGAAAGCAATTATTTAACTCTAAATTTGTATAAATTGTTTAAATTGGCAAATCATCCCTCTAAATTTCCTTTTTTTTATCACAAAAACTGAATGGTTGGATTTCGTTGGAACGCCAAAATAGAAATTAAACTGAAAATACAGCAATCTGAAACAGGGAACTGATTTTTCCGAAAAAAATTCCTCGGTTTTCGTTTATTTTTCAATTGAAGCGATTCTTTCAAAAACTTTCAGCCAAATTTTATGAATTTTGAATTTCTGAGTGAACAAAACCTGTTCAAAAAAACTAGACAATTAAAAAAATATTTTTATTCTAATTTTATTCGAAACAGAGATGTCATGTTCACGCGGTTTTTAGTCCGATTTCTGAATCGCAAGGGTTATGATTTCACATGGTTTCACACATAGTTTTTCAATTTTAATAATTTCATTCAAACAAATATTCTCTATTGATTTTCAGATCCCTCGACCTTCTCTACGGCATGGTTTCCAAGAAAAATATCATCGAAATCGTGAAAAAACTGATGGAACACGTTGAGGCGGCGGAAGGCTCTCATTACAGGTTTGACTCGGGTTTTTTTTTGTCGCAAAAAGGTTCCGGAAAAATCTTGGAATCGCCAGAGTGAACCCTGAAGGGGTCAGGCGAAAGAACAGCTCCTTTAGAGGATAAAATAGTGCTCCCCTATAGGGGTGAACTTTAGGAGTTTAGGGCCTGATTCTCTAGCCAGTAAAGCTTAAGTGGCCCCTGTAGGGGTCTTTGAATTTTTTCTATAATTTAAAAGGAAATTAAGAAAACGCATTAAATGAAAATTGATTGATTTTTAGATATTTTTCCTTCAAGAAACGTTTTTTTTTTTGGCATGGATATGCTTCCTTATGTGTAAATGACTAGAATACCCCCTATGGGGGGCCCCTTTTCCGGATTTTAAGTTTTTTTATGTGTGGTCCCTAAAGAGAAATCTACAAGGGCCTCTTGGTTGCCCCGCTAGGGACCACTCTGGCGTTCCTAAGATATTTTTTGCGTATTTATGACTTTGCGGTTTCATTTTGGAATTATATTCAAGAAACTTCGGGTTTTTATTCAATCTTCTCCACATGAGCGCAAAAAGAAGTCAATCTTTTTTTTAAAATTTTTTCAATTTCGAGTTCAAAAATTCCTTTAACTGCAAATTTGATAAATATACTCCATTTTTTGGAGAAAATCAAAGTTGTTTTTTAGAGACGAGCTTCTCAGCCGAATAATTGGCATCTGCAGTTATAATAACTATCAATATATCACCAATTTTGAATGGTAATAGCGATTTTCACGATTTTTTCACTTATAAATGATTTTTTTAGGTACATTTCGGTGCTGGTTGAGCTCACGAAAGTTGAAGGAACCAAACACGGGGCGAAAATTGCAGAGCAGGTAGGGAAATTCAGATTTTTTTGTCACGAAAAAAATAGGTGGAAAAAAATGGAAAAAAATCTGAAAAAGGTGTAGATACAATTTATCCTTTTTTCGTGATTTTTTTGCTCATTTTTACAAAGGAGAATTTCTAAAAAAACTTTGAATTTGAATTTTTCTATAAAATTTAAGAAAAAAATGTACCTTTGAACAAGAAATTTGGTTCCTAAAAGTAACCTACTTTCATTATTTTTTCTTCTCAAGTTTTTTTCGAAAAAAATTAAATTTTTTTGTATTTTTTTAATTTTTCTATCAGAATTTGATTGTCAATAGGCAAAATGAATGGAATTGGAGAAAATATTGATTTTTTGAATGTTTTGATTTCTACCCTTATCTCTTTATTTTTGGTTTCTTTTTTCTCCGATTTTTGCTCGGAAATCGGTATTTTTCAATGTTTTGTACCTTTTTTTCTGAATATTATGCTTCGTAGAGCCTCCAAGTCTCAAAAGATGTAAATTTTATCTCAAAAACTCTTACATTTTCTGATTTTTTCCAGATCCAAGACGTCACGGTCCGAGTCGAATCCATCCGCCACTTCTCTGTTTCACAAATGGCTTTATTGGTGGGCAATTATTGATTTTTCAATGAGTTCTTTACAAAATTTCTATGTTTTCGAGCAGATATTTTGTGTTTGACTTTTAATTTTTCATTCCAAGAAGTTTTTCAATCAGAAAAAAAGGAATATAATTGTTGGAAACGCCGCGAAAGACTTTTTTTGTTGGTTTCCAGGTTTTAAATATTTTCTCTCCAGGATGAGCTCTGCATAATGCTGTCAAGAACTTTTTCCCTTGTGAAATTTCAAAAATGATCTTATTTTAAAAGAGTTTTTGTTTGTCAGCTGGATTTCAAACCAGAAAATTTTACAATCACATATTTTGCGCTCAAAAGTCTAGTATCTTTATTGATTTATTGATTTTTAGGTGGAAAATGTACATTTTTTATTGGCCGGTATGTTTTTGATGTAGAATCACAGTGTTCCAAAAGAGACGGCGGCAAGCCAAAAAAAAGGTCGTCGCAATGGGGCGAAAACGCTAGTTTTTTCTAACGCAACGCGGTGCGGCGCGTGTCACCCCCACAAAATTTCATTCACTTTTAATACGGTTTTTTCTCTTTTTCTTGCGTATTTTACCATTCTTTCGTATTTTTTTCACGCTGTATGTGTTCTTAAAACGTGTTTATCGCGTTTTTACAGAGATTTGAAGTGATTTTTCGATTGTTCTCGTCACAGAAATTTGCATTAAAAGGACATTTTTTTGATGACAACTTATTTCGCATAAGATATTTCGTTTGTTTTTTGTTTTAGAATTTTTCAAATGGACTTTCTTAAGAGTAACGCTGTGAGATTTTTTTCAAAAATTTTTTTCGAGGCAGTATTCGACGAATTTATTCTTGAAAATGTCATTTTTGGGTGACAACTTTATTCGTACAAGCTATTATGTATCTGTTTTTTTGTTTTTAAAAAGGTTCAAATGGTATTTCTTAAGAGAAGTGCTTTGAGCTTTTTCTCACTTTTCCCTTTGGAAGTTCGATTTGACGAGTTTTTCCTAAAAAAACGACATTTTTGGGAGATATTTTTGTTTTGCAAAAAAACTTTTTTTCGTCTCTTTTTTTCATTTAAATTTGTTCGTTATAATTATATACACATTGAAAAATCTTCGAAAACTCGCGAGAACCTAGGAAAAAAACATCATTTAATGGTCTTTTTTCCAACCACTAAATCCACAAAACTTGACTCTCATTCCCGCGCCCCTATTGCAATAAACCGTGCCGCTGTTGCAGTCAGCCACGCCTACTGACCACAGCTGCCGCTCGTTTGGGAACACTGTGAGAATGTTATCAGAAAAAAAATAGGAGAAAGACATTTTTTTATTTCTTTCCAGGTCTTTTCGTCATTGGTACAGTTTTTAAACTGTCTTGTTTGGAAGAATTTTACGTTTTTCTTGCAGAATTTTTGGCCGGTAAATTTGAAAAAACCCTTACCGTGCCGATGAAGCTCACGTCTTCATGGATTTATTGATTTTAGGTGGAAAATGCGCACGTTTTGTTGGCTGGAAGTGCCCAACAAAGGAGCAACATGTGCGAAGTTTTGCTCGCCGCTGCCTGGATCTGCGGGGAATACAGCCAGTTTGTTTCTTTAATCCTTTTTTGAAGGGAACACTTTGTAAAATAATGCAGTTTACTGAGTAAATTTAACTTTCAAAGGATATCCGTATGAAAATACCTACATTCAAAGTCGGAATGATGGATAGTGGTCGCTAAAAGGAAGAGGCTCAAAAAAGGCTGCAAAAAGGTAGAAAAAAGGTAGCAAAAAGGTACCAAAAAGGTACCAAAAATGTAACAAAAAGGCAAAAAAATGGTAGCAAAAAGGCAGCAAAAAGGTTGCAAAATGGATCCCTTTATCGTGCCTTCTATTTTTTCAAGAACTTCAAAGGCTCAAGAAATGGTCAAAAAAGGGAGAGGCAACAAAAATGTTGCAAAACAGCCGAGAAAAGGGAGCCCTTTTCCCACCTTTTCAGTTTTTTTTCAATCTTTCCAAGTTCACCATTCGAAATTTCCTCCTTTCTTTACAAATACTATCATTACTGTAAAAGACAGTACGGTAGTTTACTGTATTGATGGTTCTTTTCCTGATAGTATTTTATTGGTGCTACTATGGTACTGCAACTTGTAGTACTGTAGTTTTATTGTAACAGTTAGTACTGTATTGGTGGTTATTTTCCTGGTATAACTGTATTGGGGGTACGGTAAATGGTAGTTCTGTAGTTTACTGTATTGGTGGTTTTTTCCTGCTTGTACTGTATTGAGGGAAATGTGGTACTGTAACTTGTAGTGCAGAAGTATTACTGTAACTGGGAGTATTATAGGTTTGGTGCGTCAGGGGGTTACACAGTCGTTGAAAAAAATGATAATTACAAATTTTTTTCATAAATTTTGATTTCACTTATTTTTCAAAAAAATCATGTTTTAATAGCTTATCCTATTTTCAAAATCTTGTTACAAAAAGTATAAAGATTATTTAAAATAAATAATAATCTTTACCTTTTTGTAACGCGCTATTATAAATCCACTAAGAATTACTGACGAGATAAACGCGAGCTCGGTGGCGGTACATTGACTAACTCGCAAAAATGTCGCTTTTTTCTAGGCGCGATCTCGCATTTCTCTCGGCGCGACCTCGCATTTTTCTCGGCGCCATCTCGCATTTATCTTGCATTTCGGAAATTTTCAAATTGCGAGAGAAATGCGAGCTCGCGCCTAGAAAAATGCGAGCTCGCGCCCAGACAAATGCGAAACCGGCGCGAGAAAAAAAGCGAGATGTTTGCGAGCTCGTCAATGTACCGCCAGTGTCTCGCGTTTATCTCGGCAGTTATTCTTAGTGTCACAGCTCTGCAAATACCTTTTTCTAGGAAAAAGCTATTTTTTTATTTGAAACTTTTTTTCAAAAAAATTTCTTCTTTATTTAATATTTTTCATTTTTGTGTATTACAGTACCCAAGTACCTCGCAAGGAAAAAAAGTGATTTTATTTGATTTTTGAACCCAATTAATTTATCTATGAAATGGTAATGTAATGAAAAAAATATTTTTAATTTTTGAAGCGGTTTTTCTGCTTTTTTTCGTATTCCTATGATGTTATTTTTTTGAGGAAAAAGGTACCGAAAATAAAAAAATTCTTGATTCAAGGCGAAAAAAAGGAGCTAAAAGCCCTTGGGAAAAAAATCTCGTTGCGACCATTTTTTTCAAGGTTTTCACAATATATACCTTTTTATCTGAATTAAAAACATCTAATATCGAAAAAAATCTTGCTCAAAAAAATTATCTAGGCTCTATAAAAAAATATTTTTTTAGGAGCTACATCTTTTTTTCCAACGGAGAAAAAAACAACTTCATAAAAATGTGTACAAATTTTGAATTTTTAATAGTATCGCCTGTGGGTAGATTTTTCAACAATACTTTGTCTGATTTTTTTATAAAATCCAATCAGAAAAATAATATTTCCAGACACGTGCGCAACGTCCAAAGTGTGCTGGAATCGATGCTCCGGGCCAAAACTTCGATAATGCCCGGCCATATCCTGTCGGTCTACGTTCAGAACATTGGCAAGCTGTACAGCTCTCTTCTCACAAAAGCTGAAGAGGTCCTTTTTCCAGAGAAAATTAGAATAGTTCATTCACCACTGGCCTAGGACAAAAAATAGCGAAATAGCGTGGGAAAAGAGAGGTTTAGACGTTTTTTTTCTTGATTTTTGAGTCAAGGGGGCGGTGAATGGAGTATTAGGAACTGAGAGGTCCCATTAGGGGCCCTTGGAGGGTCCCCTCTAGGGATCACTTTATGAACCTCTATAGGGGTCACTAGGGCCTGCAAAAGTGGAAAAAATACCATGCGAAAAATTAAATAAATGAGCGATTTATGAATGAAATTGAAAGACCCCTATAGGGACCACTTGAGCTTTAACCCCTATAGGGGCTACCTTAATTTTGCACCTTAAGGGGCCATGTTTTAAACCCCTATAGAGGTTACCTCAATTTTGCCCTATAGGGACCACTTTTTGGCCCCTATAGAGGCTCTTTTTCCCCTTAACCCCTATAGAAACCACTTAAGCTTTGACCTCTATAGTGACCATCTTGATTTTGCCCTTTAGGGACCATTTTTTCGGCTCCTATAAAAGCTGTTTTTCTCCCTAACCCCTATAGGGATAACTCCGAAATTCCCAAGTATTGATTCAAAATTTAAAAGGAAAAAAAATCATGAATTTGTTTAGGAAGAAGATTGGGACGTTATTGAGTCCCTGGACAATCTGATGCTCTCGAAATTGCCCCAATTTGAGCTGGCCGAACATTTGGAGGCTCAGGAAAGGGTGGGAAATCCAAAAAAGAATAAATCAATACAAATTTTCAACGGTTTTTAGGCATGTACCTTAATGTCAATCATTAGAATCGTCGAGGCCCATCATCAACAACGGGAAAAATTGGCCCATGAGGTTGGTTTTCTGAAAAAGTTGCATGGTTCTGTACCTTGATTTTTTTCATTTTTTTGAGTCATTTGTGAAGTGGCTAGGCGCGTCGCGGTCGCGCTGCGTTTTGGCGGAAACTTTTCAATTTTTCCCCTAGGTTCCGGTTTCAAAAAAATTGTATAAATTAATTTTTTTTTCTATTTTAGCTTTGATCAGTTTTTTATAAAATGTAAATGTTTAAAACAATTTGATCAACAGTTTCAAGGTTTTAACGATTCAAAATTACATACTTCTTTAAAATTCGTGCAGTTTTGAAGTTTGGATCCTTGAAATCTGGCCAAATAATTTTCAAAAATTGAATTTTTTTTTAGTTTTTTTTCATTTTTTTCATTACTTATTGGTTTAATTTTAATCTTTGTTCGCCACAATTTTTTTTTACGTTTAATACGAATTTCCCAAGCTTCAGACGTATTCAAAAGACTTGATAACAGAAAAAAAAAAACCAAAATTCGATTTCAAAAAACCTTCTGAAGGGACATAGCATGGTGTCGCCATGCGCAAGTAGTTTTTGGTCGGTTGCATCGAAAAATTGTGAAAAGGGCTTTTTTTAAAGCGAGCCGCAACGCTTCAAGATACTTCAGAACTTTGAGAAGCTACAATAAGAAAAATGAAGATATGATTTTTTTCAGATCGCTGCTCTTTATGAAGGCGAATTGAATCCGGTTGCTGTGAAGGCTCAGAAAAAGGTTCCCATTCCGGATGGGTTGGTTTTTACATTTTTTTTCTTTTTTTTTAGGTGAGAATCGAGAAAAGTTTCTTATTTGGCTTCCATCATTTCTTTAAAAAAAACTTTGAAGTTTAATATTTTTATTTGGATATTTTTGTTTTTGTCCTATTCGGCTCCCATATTCATTCTGAAAAAAATCGTTCAATTTTTCTTTTTTTGAATTTTTGGAAAAGTTATCTTTTTTTTCTTGTATTTCATTACCATACAGATTGGACTTGGATGCCTGGATCGCGCAGCCCTGGGAAAGTTCGCCCGAAGAATCGAGTGAAGAAAGCGACGTCGAGGCCACCTTCGGATTGGTCGGTTTCCCGGGAATTGAAGCTCAAAATTATAATAATTATACTAAATTTTTAAAAGTTAAAAAAATTTATTGAATTTTAATGTTTTTCTTCTTTTTCCCATTTTTTTCCTATTTTTGAAACTTGAAACTGCAAAAAAAGAATCCGTTCAAAAAGTTCTGGCTGGTTAATTTAAAGGATGGTAAAAATGATTTTTATAAAGGTCTCGAGAAGAAAAAGCCGTTTCATGTGTAATTTTGAATTGAAAAAAATTGAAATTAAAAAAAGGCCGTCCAAAAATTATTTGCTGTGCAGCTTAAAGGAGCATAAAATAATTTAATGAAAATCTGTTTTTTTGTTATATTTTTTTGGCCATCCAAAGCTTTTTGTGATGAATGATCTTTTTTTCTGACTTTTTCAGTCCTTCAGAATTTGAAAATATAAAAGCAAAAAAATATTTTCAGTAGTTCGTGTGGTTTTAAAGGAGCATAAAATAATTTTATGAAGGTCTCGAGAAGAAAAAGCCGTTTTATGTGTAATCTTTAATTCAAAAAAATGAAATTAAAAAAAGGCTGTCGAAAAATTATTTGCTGTGCAGTTTAAAGGAGTATAGAAAAAAATTAATTAAATTTCTCGAAAATAAAACCGTTTTTTTGTAATGTTTTTTTAGTCTTCCGATATTTACGTGGATGAATTATAGGATTTCTGTCTCTTAATTTGAAAATTGAAAAAAAAAACAGTTCAAAATTTTTCTGTGACGTTTAAAGGAGCATAGACTAATTTCATGAAGGTCTCGAAAAGAAAAAACGTTTTCTTGACTCTTTTTAATTTTTTTTCGGATAAAAATGGAATTTGTCATCATTTTACAGTTTGCCACAGTTTGAATTTGAAAAAAAAGTTTGTTTAAAATCAAATGCTGTTCAATTTAAAGGATCATGGGATAATTAATTAAAGGTCTCGAGAAGAAAAATCGTTCTCTGTGTTTTTTTTAAGCATCACAAGGGCTTTTTGATTGAATATAGGCCGTTTTTTCTTTATTCGTTTTTTCTAGACTGTTAATCTGAAACTGAATGAAAAAAATGTTAAAGATTTTTTTCAATTTCAAGGATTTTTTTCAAAGCCAAGATCTGTTTTCTGGGCCAATTTTCAGTTGTTCAAGTCTTCTTGAATTAAAAAATAAGTTAACTTTTTCGATTTTCCAGCCAGTTCCTCGATCCCACATCGGCAACGGCAACTACATGGTAGAAGAGGACGAGGAAGAAGAAGAGGAGAAAAAGAAAACGAAGAAAAAAGGCAAGAAAAAGGCTTCCGGAGACTACGAACTGACGCCGGAAGAGTCGGAAAGACGGAGGAAACAACGGGAATCCGAGATCGAAAATAATCCCTATTATGTCAAGGTTTGAATGGGAGTTGATCATGGGGAATTTTTATTTTGAAAGAAGGAACTTATTGAGAAATTTAGATGGATTTTGTAGAGTTTGCATATTAAAGGCGCAGAGGCGACTCTCTCATATAGGTCTCGAAAAGAAGAGCTGAAATTAGTGTTGATTGAGGTCGTTTGAGACTTAACAGACACCAGTAAGTATTAAAAAGACCCCCCCCTTTTACAAAAAGCCCCCTGTCTTCACAAAAATAATCTTTCAGAACGTAGAAAAAACCCCCCCCTTCATTTCAGACTCCAGTTAATATTATAACCCCCCATAACAGACCCTAGTAAATATTGAAAGAACCCCTCCCCGCCCCCTCCCTTAACAGACACCAGTAAGTGTTAAAAAGACCCCCCCTTTTTTTACTAAAAGCCCCCCGCCCTTTTTACTAAACCCCCCTTTTTTTCAAAAAGACTTCCCCATAACAGACCCTAGTACAAAAAGCTCCCCGCCGTATTCGCGAAAATAATCTCAGACTCTAGTAAATATTTTTTTAAAAATGCCTTTTTTTCACCCCCTCTCTTTACAAAAAGACACCCCCTCCCCCGGCCTTTTTCCGACTGAAGTAAATATTTCCTTACTACTAGGTTGATACATACATCCTGAAAAAAGGGTATTTTCCATACTTTTTGAAACTTATATGTTTCAGGGTACCGCTACCGTTCCAAAAAGGCCCACAAGATTTGGTCCGACCGTTCCTCCTTCAGAATCTGTCGAAAAATTGAACGAAATCCAGAGCCCCTTGGAAATCCCTGGTAGAATAAAAACAACTATTTTTTTCATATCTTATCAAATTTCAGGAGTTGTTGGACTCCATCGATATATGGAACAGCAGGACTCGACTTTGAGCTGGAAAAAAGCCAAGGAGGAGAAAAAGACGAAAAAGACGGTGAAAAAAGGGAAGAAAAGGGGCAAAAAACGGGCGGAAAGCACCAGCAGCGAGGAGGAAATGAACGTGGTTCATAAGGTGGGTATTGAGGGGATTTTTATGGGTTTTTGAGTGATTTTTAGGATTTTTTTTCAGAAAAATTTTTTTGTATCACTTTTTTAATGTATGAATAACGTTTCTAAGCAAAAAAATGAAAAAATTTTTTTCCGGTTTTTGTCAATTATTATCTTTACTAGGAGCGAAAAATTTGATATTTCATGAACATTTAATTCAGAAGAAGAAGTTTTTGAATCATTTTATATTTTCAATTTTTCCAGTATATTTTTTTCTAAACGGAAAAAAATGAAAAAAATATTTAATTTTTGAACTTTTTTTCAGCAGAAGCTTAAAATCGATATTTCATAGCCTATTCTCTTCAAAAAAAATTGAAATAAATTAATTTTTTTCCCAAAAATTTCCATTTTTGTGTTTTTTCAGATTGATTTTTTTAGTATACATCCTTCAGGTAAGGATCAAAAAAACCAAGAAATAAAAAAATCGTTAGAAATTCAAAATTTTTTTCCATATAATTCATAAAACCATTATTAGTTGATTAAATGATCGTATTTGAAGCTTTAAAAAAATTTTGAAGGTAAACCGAGCGGACGGCGAGATGCCTGAAGGCGCCAGGTCCACCGACGAAGATGACAACTTGGTTTCATCCCGAAAATAAATGAAGAAGATAAGATAAAAATGATTTTAGCAAGGCGTCTCGGACGAATTCCGAGCCCTCGACATCGATTTGGACGCCCCTTTAAGGCCCGACGAAATCGTCAGAGCTCCACAGGCCTACACCAGAGTTTACCCCTCCCAGAAACAAGTTTACCTGTTTTTCAGTCCATTCATTAATTATTAATTCAAATCAGGGCCCTCTGGTCCCGAGACCCCCGACGACGGCCGAATTATCAACTGGTTATCATCAGCCGCCGGTTATCACCCAATCGGAAACTGGCCTCAAGAAGAAGACGAAAAAGAAGACGGCCAAGGATTCCGAAGCGGTGACGACGAAGAAGACCAAGAAGAAGAAGGAAAAGAAGGAGACGACCGTGGCCGTCGTGGCTGAGACTCCCTTCGATATGGATCAGTGGCTGAACGCCCCCGAGTGGAGGCGTCGTTGAGAAGGCTCGCGAGACTCTTGTGGTGAGCAACAGAATGATGGGATTCTGGAAAGTTCGGACTTTTTGGATATAGTCGATTCACGGCTGGCTTAAGGGCGTACCTTGTCTGCGCTCTCCACGAGCCAGGCGTTGTCTCGTGCATTATCGTGGTAGCACCCTTTTTTTTCGATGGCTCAAGCCAGTCGTGAATCAGCTGTAGAACAATGATCGACAAGAAGTTATAGGATTGTAAGATGGGACTGATTAAAGGAATTCTGAAACGTTCGGACTTTTTGGGTAGAATAAAAAGGAAGTTTTATTAATGAAAGTTCACAAGACGCATGCTTTAACTAGGCTGCCTTTGGGAATTTCCAAAATAACCAGAATGTGTTCACCTAGGAACACTAGAGTAGTCACTAAAGGGGCTTTTGTAGCCCCCCTTTAAGAGGCCAACTTTACTTTCCCCTACAGAGGGCACTAAAGCTTGCATAAGTGACTACTCTAGGGGATCGTTCTCTTGGTCCCTATACGTCTTTTTAACGTTGGAATGAGGGACAAAAACTAACCACTGTAGAGACCGCTTAAGCTTTTTGCGGCTTATGAATCATACCCACCATTTTATTTAATATAGGGGTTTTTTTCCCTGACCCCTTAAGTGACCAAGCTTTTATGAATATCACTCTAATTTTGGATTTTTTGACATAAACATCTGTACATTTCTGGAAAAGTTAGAACAAGAAAAGAAACTTTTGAACATTTCAGATAAAGCTTCCAATTTTTCAAAAATTACCCCTTTACAGGCCGAGAAAAAAGGCAAGAAGAAGACGTCGAAAAAGACCCGAGAAGCATATGAGGTCAGTCTAGAATTGATTCAGAATCCGAATCCGTATTCCAGGAGGCTTCTGGAGTCTGCACGCCGTCGAATCCCAACGCCGCCTCAATTCTGGGATCTTCGCCGAGGCTCAGTCGAACCTCCGTGGAAGAGTTCTCCCGTCTCGCTGCTAATAAAGACCTCAGCATTGTTAGTAGTGTCTAAGAACTTCATGATTCATAGAAATTGGATAATTTTCTTTTTTATGACGGAAAAGTCTCCTATTTTCTTCCAGAGGCTTATTTTCAGCCATTATATCTTTTAAGCTTCTTTTTCAGCCTTTTTCCTGCCTTTTTTTCAGCCAAAAATTCGAGAAAGTAGGTCTGAAATTGACCTTTTTCAGCACCTCTACTGCTTTTTTTTGGGATTTTTTGTCCATTAAAAAGGGTTTTTTTGGATGAAAAGAAAAAAAAAATTATTTTCTTTTCATCTTTTTCACAACTAATTTGAGGAAAATTTCAGCAAAAAAATGAAAGAAAAAAAGTTTTTTTAGAGTAGCCAGTTTCCTCCACCTTTAAAATTACCTTTTCATGCTGTTCTAGGATTTTTTTGACTTAATTTTTAAATAAATAGGTTCAGAAATTTTTTTCCGGTCGATTCTTTTTGGCCCTAAACTTCAGTTTTTGAAGTTTTAACGTGAGTTGAAGTTTTTTTATAAGAAGTAATTTTTCCATAAAGAATATTGAAAAATTAGTATCAAAAAAAGGTATTTCAGCCCATACGTCGGCTGGATCCCACCCCGGGGTGTGGCCCCTCCTTTTTAGATTTTTTTCGAAACTTTCTGACGTTTTCGGGAGTTTAAATTCAAAAAATGATTTGTAGGACTACGATCCGCGAGCCAGTACTGACGCCTTGGAATATGGCAGGGTTCTAGTGTTGCTTCGGCTGAAAAATACTGGAAAATATCGACTCCAACGGGTGGAACTCAACATTGTCGACACGCTCAACGCCAAAATGTTGAGAAATGATGAGGTCATTGTTTTTCTCTGATGTGAGGGTAGTTACAGGTTCTTGCGAGGGCCGGCCCGTCTTTACTTAAAAAAAAACTCAAGTTTTTAGCTCCTCTTCACTTAGAATTGCACAGAAACATCGAGTTAAAAAAAATTTTTTTAGTGGAAATTTTGTATGGAATTTTCAAAATTTTACTCTTGAAGTCTGACCTGGCCGAATCGGGCTTCTTCTCAAAAAATGACGCCTGAATCCTAGGCTTGCCTTGGTCGTGCAGCCTGGCGCCCAAGCTTTAGTTCTTTGAGTTCGAAACACTTTTTTAGTTTTTAGAACCCAGAAAACAGCCCTTTTCCAGTTTTACTTCGATAAACTTGGAAAACTTGCGAAAAACAGGTCACAAAGTAAATTGCTCCCAAAGAGTGATTTATTCTTCCAATATACATTTGGGAGTATCCTGACCGAATTCCAAGAAATTTCCAACCATGAAGCAAAGAGACCTTCTTTGAGAGAAGAGACAAGTAACCAAGCAAATTTTGTTCAGAACGCTGTTCGGTTATGTGAAGAGATTGAAGCGGGAAGTATTCGGGAATCTTCGATCGATGTCCAAGTTCAATCGGCCAACAACTCGAGGACCCTTCGCGGAACTGTCAATTATTTTATCGTTGTTCGTTTTTTTTTTTATTTCTCAAAGGCTTGACGGGGTTTTTGAAGGATTTTAGAAGTTTCTCGAAAGAAAATGGTTTTTTAGAGCCATACATGGGATGAGCATGACTGACCCATCCATGCTTGATTTTTTTAAATAAGATCGAACCAGCGAGCACCCTGAAATTTTTCTTACGACTTTTGCCGCCCCCCAATTTCTCGTTTTTTTCGCCATGTCCTCTTCAGATCCCAACAAGACTATCATATGTATGATTAAAGCCTTCAAAAAAATTAAACAGATTCAGAAAAATATTTTTACTTCGACTTTATTTTTCTCAAAATTTACCTTTTTCAGGACGAAGAAGGAACTCAAGAAGGAAAAATCGATTTCCGGATGGCCCTACCCACGACGACGTTCATCGTCGCGCCGACAGAAGGAATCCGGAAAGAACACTATTCCGAACTTCTGACCGGAGACCTGGTCGATTTCGCGGCGACGGCTTCGGTTCCCAGCGAAACTCCCTTCAAGAAGATCTTGGGGGCCGTCGTGGCGAAGGCTCACTTTTCGGGTGTGTTTTGGGAATGGATGGGAAAAAGAAAAGCGATGCCGGTGCGTCCGGTACACGTTCCCTAAGTCAGAGAACGAAATTAAACGAATAATAAATAGAAAATGCGCGATCTCAATTAATTCACTACTGTTTTTATCTTTTTTTCTAGACTGGTTAGAAACCTTCAAGAACAAATTCTATGAAAATCTTTGAATAACATAACATAATTCTCACAACCAATTGTTTTTTCCAGTGGTGGAAGAAACGATCCGAGCGGCTTCCCTTTTCTCAAGAACTATTGGCGGCGATCCGATCTGTCTCCTCATCAAATCCACGGTACGGTTTTTGAATTTTTATTCATACAAGGAGAAATATGCAATCAAATTTTTTGAAAGTAGGGAAAGGTTAATGGTTTTCAAACGGTATGTACATTTTTTCGAAAACCTTTGCAAAAACGGCTTCGAAAAGCACCTCCTAAAACGATAAATCTTATCCAACACATCTTGAACCTGTCTCGCTTCTCTGTACTCTCTTTTATCTCGCCGAGGCTTTTTTTTCTTTTTTTTTTTTCTACGCCGAGAGGGTGAAGAGGGCGCAGATAGGTTAGACAGTTCAAAATCGTAAACGAAGCCTCTGAAAACTTTAAAATTAGTTGGGAGATTTTTTTAGAAGTCGTTCTTCTGATTGGTTTGAAAAAAGATGTGTGGCAAAAAAGTCTCGAGGTAGAATGAAAGAGCGTTCGAAAACGAGAGGCTTTTCAGAAAAATAAAATTCTAACTGTCTGGAGCTCTCCAATTTTTACGTTATCTATGACTTTCAGTTTCGTTTCATAATAAAAGGATATGACCTCGAAAAGTGCCTAATAAAGAGAAGCGAGAGAGCATGAGGAAGTTAGAGGCTTCCAGATGAAAAGAATAGATTAACTGTCCAGATCCCTCCTTATTCTCACTGATCTCTAGTTCTAGGATTTTGGCTGGAAGGCTTTGCCCTGAAAAATGACTCTAAAAAGTGAGCTTCAAGGTTTTCTAAGTAACCTTTAACTTATTTTCGAATCAAATTTGAAAATTTGCTGATTTTTTGAAAAAATTTTGTCCCGAAAAGCAAGTTTCAGGAAAAAGGGGTCCAAATAGACGGAAAAGCCGGCGAACAACAGCTGATCCAGTCGATCGTCCAGGACGTCGCCGAAATTTGCGCCAGGGCATAATTTCTCCAAATTTTTTGTTTCGTAGTTGATTGTGATCTACAGGTGCTTAACTTATTTTTATATCTATAACATTTTTTTCGAAAAATTGTCATCTTTTTCTCATGTTTACTCAATTTTTCAATGATAGATCTGAAATTTTATCGACCTTACACTATTCGGCAGATCTGTATGTATTCTACTATTGTTTTGATAGATCTGATTTCTTGTGATCATTTTCTAGTGTTGTGAAGACTTTGACCAGCCTGATTCTTGTTTCGATTTTCCTATACTCATACTGGTAACTCTACTACTAACTTCTTGTGCTATTTCGCATTTTTCCGATTGAAATTGTATAATGAACGTTGAGATTTTATCGATTTGGAAAGGTTCATTGAACAGGAAAATAGTTGGGGGATAAGTTCGAAACTTATTGAGTTTGAGAGTTCACGGTTCAAGTGTGAAAAATCGATTTGATAATTGGAATCTCAGAAGAGATTCTGAGCATTCTCTGTTCCCATGTGACGTCATAGGAAACAAGCGTAAACAACAAGAAATATTAAAGGCGCATGTTCAATGGGTCATGAGACGAATCGATTTTTCATTTGAAAAAGGGGAATTTTTCTGTTTCATACCAGAATTTCGGAAATTCGGAAATTATTTTGAATTTCGTGAAAATTATTTTGAACACGGTATGTGCGAGAGCGGCGCGATGTATGCACACGACACACTACACTTTACGGAAAAATATGGGCGAGGTCTCCAAAAAAAACGTATGGATTAAAATGTCAGAAGGTCCACAGTTTACGAAATGAAGAAGAAAAAACTGTTCAGGATAAAAACTTAAAAAATCATAACTACATTGAATGAAAAGTTACAGCAGATAGCGACTATGTGGGATCGATTTCTAGTTCTTAAAGTTTTACAAAAATTCCAAACCCTACGCTGAAATGACCTTACATTTCAGAACCAATTGAAAAATGCTTTCAAGGAAAATTTTTTTTTCCAAAACTTTTGATGAAAAAAAGTGAAAAATTTAGGCTAAAAGTTGAATTTTAGAAATTTTTCGAGTGCCTTTTTCTTGACGGAGGTATCAACAAGTCTTTATCACTGATCACAAAAAAAATCAGCTTTTAGTCTTCTTCGGTTTTCTGGTCGTTGAAGCTGGGACTGGTTTCAAGTTCAAGTCCCAGGTTCCGTCGCTCAATAATTTCGGATGGTAATAAGTCGAAACGCCGTCGTTGGAGTACGTGATCGATAACTGGAATATTTTTTCTCAAAAAATCCTGTTTCAAAAAAGAAATATTAAACCATTGTTTCGTTCAGCGACGTTAAGTTTACCGGACAAGCTTCTTCGCTCGATTCGAACTGAAAAATATTCGGAATTATCGAAAAATCAAAAAAAAAAATGAACCTTTTCACCATAGGCTATGGTTAAAATGTTCATAGAGTCCATAGCACTTACAGTAAAAAAACCGGATTTTTTTCGAAAAAAATTTAATAAAAAAATTAATTTTTTTGTGTTATATTTTTTTATTGGTTTGAAAAGTTGTTGGACAGTTTGATACAACGGAGTTTATAATATATCCAAGTTACGTTGAGATTCCTGATTTTAAAGAGAGTGAGGGCAAAAAAACAAAAGGGTTGATTTCTTTTTGGACGGTACTGTAGGAAAAATTTCTCAAAAGAGTTTGAAAATACCTTAAAAGCGACGGAGTTAATATCGCTAGGGAGGAAATAGATAGTGTCGTTGTACCTGAACTGAGCACACCAAACTGGATATGGCATGAAACTGACGGCCTGAAATTGTTTTATTATCAAGGTTTTTCGGATGAGTAGAAAGGTCTCTAGGGGCAACCTCAGTGTCCCTTGAAGGGCCTCTTCTAGAAATCTCCCCTTGAAGGGGTCTTCGAAAATGACCACTTTAGAGGAGCATTTTTCGTTTATTGATACTTTTTTTGTACCTCCATGAGAAGAAGCATTTCCATGCAATAAATTCAATGAATTGACGTTCTTATTAATAAAAATATATCAATAAAAAATTAATCGATCAATATTAAATAAAAACGTTTTATTAGTTGTCAAATCTCAACAAACAATTTAAAGACCCCTATAGGGACCGCTTGAGCTTTGAGATTTAGACCATAAAGCTTTAGAAGGCAACCTTAGCTTTAGCTCCCCAGGGAACTCTATGCTTTCCCCTATAGCATTTTTTTTTTCTTTCACGCCTCTAGGGACCACTCCGACGTTTCTAAGCGTTGCTCTGACTGGGCGTCTAAGAGTCACAAGTTGAGTTTCGGAGTGAATGTACTACTTCCAAAAAGAGCAAATAACTAATCTGAGTTTGAAACATCCGTATGTTCAGAAACCTGAAACACGTATAAAATAATATTTAACAGTATGTTTTTTCCAGTCTAGCTTGTCTGGCCTCTCTAGTTTTCTGATCAGAGCTCTCCTCATTTTTTGATTCATTTCTTTAATGATCACGTCAAAAAAAGAACCAGAGAGCGAAGAAAAATCAGATGGTGTGAATTTGAAAAACGATTTTTCCTAATTCAACTTGGACAAGAACGGCTAATTTTCACTTGATTTCCGTTCAACCAACCACACACTCCGTGGAAAGTTCGCAGGGCCTCAAACATTCTTCAAAAGATGGAACGGAGTAATATCCAGCTCGCATCGAATACAATAGACCATCGACTTTGGCGAACCTCTCGTTGGTCGGCGCCTCCGTTGTTTCATTCTAAATTTGGTCTTGATAGTTTCTTTTTCTTTGAAATTATGAACCTGGGAAAGAACTGAGGGGAAGAGATGGGAAATTAGGAACAGACCGAACATTCTTCTTGACATTAAGAGGTACAGAAAAGACTGACTTGTCTGGTTATTAGTAGCCTTGGCGACAAATTCGCATATTTGATTTTTCATAATTTCAAGGGATTTTTTATGCTGGTTTTTTGATGATGAAAGTTTCCCGTGTGCCTGAATGACTTGAAAAAGCGTCTAGGATTACTTTAAAGTTTTTTTTGAAGATAAAAAACAGTGCTTTTTGAAGCAAATCAATTCAGAAGCAATCCTTACAGGTTCAACAAACTTTTATTTTTTCAAATCAAAATTTTTTCAGATTTTGAATATCAAGTAGAATGACGTCATTGAAGAATGCTCTGGCTCGTTCTCTGATTGGTTTATCACGTCATAAGGGGCGGAGCTTGAGCGACAACCTTCAAAATCTTCTGAACAGATTATAATCATATCAACAAGTTCAATTTAGTGATCACTTCAGTGTCCGAGCCCCAAACCATCAGTTGATCCGCCCGGTAGCGAGTTCAAGTCCCAAGTTTTGTCATCAAGCAGCTTGGGGCGATAATAAGTCATGATCCCATTTTCGATGAAGACTAGAGGCAGCTAAACTTTTTTCTTACAAGTTTTGCAACCCAAAGAAGGTTACGATTGTATCATTGAGAGCTTCCAGGCTAGCGGGACATCCTTCATCCTCCGAGTGGAACTGAAAATCTCTACTATTTTTCATTTTATTTTTAGAAAAAATTAAAAAATTAAAAAGCCACCTTAAAGGCGACGATTTCATTTTGGCTGGGAGAAAATTGGATAGTGTCGTTGTAGAGGAACTGAGCACACAGAGAGGAAAATTGTTGGAATCCGACGGCCTGGGAATGATTTTATGAAGGAAATTTGGATTAGCGGTCCCGTTCATGGGTCATGAATAGATTGAAAAAATTTGTAACTTTTGGATTTTTTTTTCTAAAAACCTTCAGAAGACCTCAGTAAGGTCTCCTGCTCTTTTCTCCTGAGTTCAACTTTCACAAATCTTGAGTCCGACTTTTTTTTTGAAGACATTTACCTAGGTACCGCAACCAAATTAAAAAAATTTCTGCGCTCACCTGTCGAGAAAAGTAATTTCAACTTTATACGGTCTCCTACATTTTTCGCTATGATGAAATTTTTATTTTTCTCTTTTAAAAGTTTTATTTTCCAATGACGAAACATTTAAGAAAAAAAAATAATAGTGCGCACGACCGAAAACATGGCAAAAATCGAACTCGCTTTATTTTTCTGTACGACACTCCGCTGAAACGCAAGAAAGTTAAGTGAATTTTACATAAATCGAAAAAGGGAGGTTCACTCTATCTTTCCACTAATTTTCGGTAGAATTGGTTCAGTATTGCGCTTTTAAGAAAATAACAAAAAAAAGGACCAAAAACTCATTTCAAAAGGGGCGGGGCTTTGCGGTCTCTACATTTACCTTGAAATAAGAGAAAAAAGGATTCGTGATATGGGGAGTAACAAAAAAGCTGAATTATCCGAAAGATCTTCAAAAATTGTTCTAATAACTTTTTTTCTCACTGACCACGCAGTACTTGGAAAAGCTGCACGAAGTCAAACAAACATCAAAATTCGGAAAATAATCGTAATAGCCGGCCCGATTCGAATATAACGAGCCATTGACCTTCAAGAACTTGCAAATGGTTAGTTCGGATATCGGTATTTCCTGAAAATGAAATGATTATAGTTTTTTAAAATTTATCAACCTGAGAAAAAGCTGGGATGACGAGGTAGAAGATCGTAAACAGAATGAACATTTTCTATGAAGAAAAAAAAATAAACAAAAAAAAACTGAATTTTCGGGTCTTTTTGTAGCCCCGGCAACAAATTTGCATACTTCTTTTTTTCAATTAGTGAAGCTTCAAAAAAATATTTATGTGGATTTTTTTGGATCATATTAAAATGAAAAATTTTTTTAAGCTGGATGATTCCATTGATTCGAGAAAAAAATCACGTTTTCGGGACTTTTTCGGGACTTTTTCGGGACGATTTTTTTCTCTTCATTCGAACTTATGGACAAGGTTCACAGGAGAGCTTGTTTGCCAATGGAACGTTCAGCATTACCTGGGAAAGGTAGGTTTTTCTATTCATAGTTTGAATAGTTCAATTTAAGGGTTATGCTATTTTTCAGATCGAGAAAAAATGTTCGATTGGTTCAGGAAGTCAAAAAAATATCATTATCAGAAAAAGTTATGTACACAATGGAAAACAAGGTATAAAAGCGGGAGAATTCCGGGAAAAGTACTCTTTCGGCAAGATCCGAGCCAAAATGCGTCTCTTACTGTGGACCGGTCTCCTCTTCGTCGCGACTTTCGTCCATGGAGATCTAGTTTTTCGATTTTCTCATTATTTTCCGAATTTCCCATGTTCCAGAGCTCTTCTGGACAAGAAGGCTTCGAGGAAAAGAAGAAGGAATTCCTTCGGAAACGCTTGGGAAAGCTTCATAGCCGAGCCAATCGAGTTTTCGTCGACGGGGAGAATCCGGAAGACCCCAAGAGACATCTGAAGAAGGTTAATTTTGAATTACAGTCTTTTGACTTGGAAAGTCATGGTCGCATTTGGAATGGGTGATCCAAAAAATCAGTTCTTTTTTTATTATGAATGGATCTTCCAAGTTTTTTTTTTGAATAAGAGCTTTCAGGCCTTGAGCGACATTAAAGCTTCCTGTATAGATTTTTTAAATTTATCAAAATTCAATAACGATTTTTGAATTCGATTGGTCGAACCCAGGTCCACCCGACGGTGAACAATTTCGCAGAAGATATCTACCAGCTGAACAAAAGAACTGGAGTTGCTGATCGAATGTTCCAGGGCGACATCAACCTTCGCGAGTATCTTTATCTCCCAACAAGTTGAAGACGTACTTTTCGAATCTCAGAGAGCAACGACATCTCTTCGATAGCCAAGGAAAAGTCGACGGACGGCAAAAAAGACAGGTCACTTCGTACGTTCCGAGATGGACCAACAACACCTTGAACTACTGGGTCGATAACACTATCAGTGAGTTTGATTTTGGAACTTTTTAGAGCTCACGGCGTTCCCAAACGGGGTGAGGAAACATCAAAAAATTTTTTGCCGCGAAATTTGAAATCTCAAGTACGCAGCCAAATGTATTCTTCATGCCGTTGAATACTCAGCTTAACTTGCAACGATAGGTAGCTGTGACGTCAGAGTTCTTTTATCCAAAGCGCGCACTTACTTTTTTTTTGTAAATTCAGAAACTTTGACGCCTCGCTCACCTGTCCTCACCCTATTAGGAATTCCGTGAACCTCACAAGAGAGATGATTTGATTTAGTGGTTTGAAGTCACTGAAATTTGGCCAAACCCCTACAAAGTTTAAAAAAATTCAGTAGATTTTTTTAAATTTCTGTGGAGTTTTTATTCAGCTTCAAAAAAATGGTAGGAGAATTTTTGGAGGGTGAAAATTCAATTCATGAAACTTGGAATAGTATACTGATACCCTGAAAGAAGAACGAAAGTGATTTTCCTAAGATTTCCAAGCTTTTAGTGAGTTTCCGGACCGTTTTTGGGATTTTCGAGGATTTTGAGGTCTTCAAATTTTTTGAGGAGCTTCTGAACTTCTAGCATGTAATTATTCAGCTTCAAGAAATTAAACTGCTTTTTATACGATTACAAAGTTTTTTTAGTGAGTTTCCGGACCGTTTTCAGGGATTTTTTTGAGAATTTCTGAGGCTTTCAAAAATTTTTTTGAGGAGCTTCTGAACTTCTAGCAAAATTTTATTCAGCTACAAAAAATTATTCTGCTTTTAAACGATTTCAAAAGTTTTAGGGAGTTTCCAGACCGTTTTCTAGAATTTTAAGATTTAGGAAAAGTCTTCAGAGTTCGGTAACGTTAACCTCTAGCCTTTTGGAAAATAGCTTGGAGAAAGATAGCTTGGGCATGAAAGAAACAGAACACCACCAACTCGAATCTTCCCAGACGCCGAGAAAAAAGCTGCGATCGTCAAGGCTCTGGCCTACATCTCCGACAGGACTTGCCTCACCTTTGTCAACAACAAAACAGCCAAAAACCGAGTGCGAGTGTTCAAGGGCGAAGGCTGCTACTCGGATATCGGCATGGGCCGAGGAGAGCAGAGACTATCCCTCGCCGATGGCTGTCAACAGGTTGGAAACAGGGCAGCCACAAGCCCGAAACGGACTTCGGCTCCATATTTGAGTACCCAAGAAATACAAACGGCCTTCCAAAGAAAAAGTCACTATGCTCTTACTATCGGGTTGGTAAAGGGCTGATTAGGTTTTATGGAAAGCCGAAGACTTGTTTTACCGGGGGAAAAGTTTCTGATTGAAAATCGAAGTTTCTTTGAAGGTATGATTTTTCGAATCTCAAGAGAAAAATCTTCATTTTCACGACTTTTGGCTTTTGCTCTCAAATCCGGTCTGACTTAAGCAAATGAGTTCTTCTTTTGAGAAAGAGTTACTGCGTAGCTATTTAAAATCTGTGCAAAGTTCCAAGTCATTTGAGCCACTTTCAGAGAAGTTATGCTCGAATAACCCCTTTGAAATACTTTTATGGCCAATACTGTACAGTTTTGAACTGCAAAACTTTATAGAAAGTTTCCGACACTTTAATAAATCAGAACACCTAATTTAACATACATATCAAGGCGAGAAGAAAGTTTCAAATTATTTTTAAAAAAATTGACAAAAATTTGCCGGCACTCGGTTTTTTTAGGTCCTTTTGACTACGTTTAAAACGCTTTTTTAGTCAATGTTTCCCGACTTGAAAGACGAAGGAGGCGGGGCAGGGGGGCGGGACGCGTAGCGTGTGCGTACGCGGTTCTTGGCACGAGTTCAATTCAAGCGCCAACGGCTATTCAGGAAGCTCAGTCACCGCTCTTTTTCTATACTTTCTACTATTTTTTAATGCGCACATGAAAAAAAAAAACCAATATTTAACTGAAAAAGAAATGAAAAGAGCGATAAACGAGCTCTCCAAATAGTCGCTGCCGGTTGAAATGAACTTGTGACAAGAACCGCGTACGCACACGCTACGCGTCCCGTCCCTTGCCCCGCCTTTCTCACCTTGCAGGTCGGGAAACACTAACTATATCTAACCTTCCTTTTCAAATTTATATTTATCCAGTGCTTTTTTTTTGAGGTCGGGACAGTCGCCCACGAATTCACGCATGCTCTGGGAATCTGGCACACTCAAATGAGATACGACCGCGATGACTACGTCACCATCGACGTTTCTGCCGTCATCGTGAGTTTTTTTGTTCTAACTGAGAAAAAATTCCATGCTCAAAATTCATAAAGTTTTCTTGTGGGTGAAAGAGATACCGCCAAAAACTGCGTTCGGGTGTATGCACAATTTGAATCTACAGCGTGCCAAATATACATATTACGTTTTTCGCGACTTGAAACGGCTGTCTTTCTCTGCGCTCTCCTCGCCTCTCGGCGACCCTCTCGTGTTGACGTGCTATTTTCTTGTTTCTCTGACCTTGCCGTTTAGAGGACAGAGAGACGCAGACAGGCAGAAAGATAAAAGTCGCGGCGAACGGGCTAAATAAACTTTGACTCTACTTTAGCATTTTAGGTTAGTAACTATCAGAAATTGAACTTTTTGGAGAAAATAAGGGATTCCTGCGGGATCCTGCAAACAAATATTATGTCCATCTTGCTTCCTTGTTATCCTTCGAAGTGGTCTATCAAGTTATTTCAATGCCAAAAGTATCTAAAAATGATCAAAGCGGAAAATTCTCTATTACCATGATAAGATCTAAGTGATCAAACTCCAAAAAAGGCCGATACAAGGTTGCAAGTGTGACTTTCAGCCGGGCAAAGAGCACAACTTCTACAAGCTCGGCGAGGACGAAGCCGTCAACATGGTCCCGTACGAGTACGGCAGCGTCATGCACTACGGAGCCGACTTGTACGCTAATTTCTTTTAGATATACAGCAGAAAAAATCAAAATTGAAAGGAAAATAACTCGGTAAAGGAAAACGGACGCGTCCCGGACGATTCTGAGCCTTTCTAGTGTTCTCTTTAGGAGCGTCGTCAATCTTAAGTGCTCACTTGAAATGATTAGAAGCGTTCGATTTGCGTAAGTTCGGACCTCGGTAACGCGAAACGGACGTTTCGGGGCATTTACAGGGATCACTTAAGAGTGACGAGGCCACTGAAGGTGTCCCTAGAAATGCCCCGACAAGTCCGATTTGCGGTACCACGGTTCGAGACCAAGGTTTTAGAAAAAAGGGAACAGAAAGTTGTTTTGTCCATAGAGCAACTTTACTACGAAACGAATTTTTTCAGTTCAAAATTTTGAACTAGTTTTTCTTTCCAATGAAGGGTATTTCCGTAAATTTCAAAGTTTGTTGATCTACACGCAATAAAGAGCTCCACAGGGTGATATAAACGTCTCAGTCTTTATTTGTCACTACCTTCAAATTGTTCTTCTGCAGCTTCGCCAGCAACGAGACCAGACCGTCGATGCTCCCGAAAGACCCCCACTACCTCTACACGATAGGAAGTCATCAGATTTCCTTCTACGACATTCAGAACATCAACAACGCCTACGACTGCGGAGGGAAGTGTGCAAATACGCTGAATTGCACAAATGGAGGCGTTCAAAATCCGAAATCTTGCGACGAATGCCTGTGTCCCGCGGGTTATGCCGGGAAATTGTGCGATGAGAGGGTGAGTTTTTTTGAAAGAAATTCTGAAGTCTGAAACTCCTCATATGTGTCGACATACATTACTTTACAGTTAGATCTCGTGAGAATTTAAAACAGTGTCATTTCTCTGCGCACTCTCTTTTCTCACCATCGCTCTCGTTTCTATGTACTAGTTTTACACTCATATAAACGCGAGAGAAAGGGGGGCGCAGATTGGTCAGGCTGTTCCAAGTATGAACAAATGAACTCTCTAGAACTTTACTTTCCTTCTAGCATGGCAAAAATTTTAACGATAGCTTTTTTTTCAACATCTGAGAGATGTCCGAGTAGTCCCTATAGAGAAAACAGCTTTATAGGTGACAAAAAGCGCTTGTAGGGGTTCAGAGTCTGACCCATATACCCCTGAAGCTCAAGTGGTCCCTACAGGGTTATATATGAAAATTGCAACGGCAAACTCATTACGATAATTAACTAGGATGTCCCTACAGGGGCCCCTTTTGGAAACTTGAGTAACCTCTCTGAGGAGAGAAAGTGGTCCCTAGAGGGGAGCCTTCAAGGGGCCCATAGATTGCCCCTAGAGTAACCACTCTGGAGTTCCTATGATCTTGCAAAGCTCCCATTCAGCCAAGCGGCTGCGGCGAGATCCTGACTGCAAACTCGAACTGGACCTCGACAACCTTCACGTTCGGAGATAAAAAGAACTATCAGGAATTCCGCAAGGAATACTCTTTCTGCAACCATTGGATCAGCGTTTGTTCTCCTTTCGCTTCGACTTTATAAAGGGCCTTTTATAGGCCCCGGAAGGCAAGAAAATCGAAATTCAAGTTGATATAAAGAGTGAACCCATGTGCTGGTATGGGTGCGACGTGAATGGAATCGAGATCAAGACGCTCGAGGACAAGAAAATCGTCAATCCGAGGTTAGAAATCGAAAAAAGTGAATATAATCTGTGTGCCACGATTTGAAATTTCACAGAACGACATTCCGCTGTTCCGCTGCGTGCGTTCGCGAAGCGTCTTACGAATCTCGGTCACGCTTTCAATTTATTGTTATTGCTGTGCGAGCACATGAGAATAAAGAACCTCATAAGAGAAAAAAAAAAATTAAAAGCGCGACCGAGTTTCGCAAAGGGGCGCAGCGGAACAGCGGAATGTCGTTGGGTGAAATTCCAAGTCGTGGTAAACCTACTATAGATGTCTAAAAAAAAATCAGGATCTTTATTTTCTACATCTAGAAGGAATTTGACCAAGAAAATCCCTAAACATGAAGTGTAATGAATAAAACTATGTCAGAAAACTTAGTTAGACCCTTGGTTATTTACTTATAGCTGCGCCTGACCTTGAGCGACTTTTACTTGAAGTAGTTTTTTATCGATAACCGCAAAGCTTCCTTTTCAAGTCGAACTTCCAAAAGTTACTTCAAAAAAAAAACTGTTCAGAATCTGCTGCAAGACTGATGAGATCTTCCAAAGCGCCCTGAACCCAACGCCCATCATCTCCTACAGCATCTACTATTATTCTACTTACGTTCTCAAATATCGTTATGTCTAATTTTGTGACGTTAGGGGATAATAAACATTCGATCATTGCAACTTGCAAAAAAAGTCTTTGAGAGAACGGAAAATTTGCAAATTACACATAAATTGAAAGTTTTCGTATGGTTACACAAGAGAAATTTGAAAGAAACAAAAAAAAAAGTGAAAAACCGAATAATGGCGATAGAGCAACTTTACTGCAAACCAAGCTCTTCCGGTTATTTATTTATTTATTTACTTCACTCAAACATAGTGGTCTTTTTCCCTCCCTGCAACACCACCATATCATCCGGATGTTGCGAAAAATAAAGTGATCGAAAAAAAAAACACAAAAAAACGAAGTTATCGGGATTTCTAACTTTTTTCTCAGCGACTTTGAATCATTTTTCTCCTAAACTTTTAATACCTGCAAATTTTTGAGTATATTATATTATATGATATATACTGTATATAGTTCAACGCTTGGGAGCCCTACAAAATGTCATATTTATCACAAGCCCATTTTTTAGTGCTTATATGCCTTCAAAAATCAATAAATTTAGTTTTTTTCTTAAGACGATCCACTGTTTGAACATGTGAAGATTACAAAAAATGGACCAAAAGTGTTTGAAAAAATGAAGAAGTTTTTGAAAAAAAAACCTTCAGGGTGATGTAAAGTTGACGCCGAACATCTGATTTTTTTTGTCCATGTATACAAAAATCAAAAATTTTAAAACCAAATCAAAATTTTGTGTCAAAAACGGCTTCTGAAAAATATTGAGCTGCAAGTTGCAGATATATAATTTTAATGGACTCAGTGCAAATGTTTGTTATATACAGTACCGCTCAAAAGTGTATTAAGTTTTGGTTTTTTGAGGATATCTCAGCGAGTACTTATCCGATTTATATATAACTTTCAGGGATTATGTAAAATGTACTTTGAAACATATACGGTATACAAATACATGTCCGCAATCACTGTGACGCGTTTTAGGAATTTTTTTTTGAATTCAATTTTTTTTTTATGCTTTTATTTTTATTTGTTTTTATTAAATTTTTTAAAAGTAATAATGTTGCCATATGTTTTTTTTCATGTTTTCAGACATGGGAAGAACCTCTGGAAAAGAGGATTTGACTGATAACGACAAAAGAGCCATCGTTGTGGGTCGTCAAAATGGACTGACCATGATGACGTTGGCAGGAATGTTCGGCGTGACAGAGGCGGGCATTTCTCAGTACCTAAAGCGTCAGAAAGCTCAAGATGGCAATACTAAGAGCCAACGCACTGGAAGACCACGCGTCACTGATCTTAATGACAATAGAAACATTTTGAAGACGTCTAGAACCAATCCAAGACTCAGCGTCCCTGCGATCAGACGGGAAGTTTGCTTGATATCGCAATCTCCGCCATCCGTCTCGACCGTGAAACGACGTCTGAATGCTGCTGGAATCATGAGAAGACGTCCAGTGAAGAAACCGTTGATTTCTGAAAAGAATCGAGCCGCCAGGGTGAAGTGGGCGAAAGAGCATCTAAACTGGACCCGTCAAGACTGGAACAAGATTCTGTGGTCCGACGAAACGCTCCTCCATCATGTTTCACAGTGGGTAATTGGTATTTCGGATGATATCTGGACCCACTTGGTCTACGAACCCACTGAATTCCGTCACTTCCGAAGAGGAGGAACTTTTAATTCAAAAAAAAAAATTCCTAAAACGCGTCACAGTGATTGCGGACATGTATTTGTATACCGTATATGTTTCAAAGTATATTTTTACATTATCCCTGAAAGTTATATATATATATATATATATATATGTCAAATCTAGAGCAGAGTCGATTACAAATTGGGACGACGAGCTAAAGAAGATCGAAAAATGAGAACCCGTCTGAACAAGCCGAAGAGGCTGTCCAGGCGAATGAGTCCTTGTGAAATATTTCTCTGCGCTTGGAAAATGATAGATGCCCAAGACAATTTTTTTGGAGAGTTAGCAATTTTTTTAAGAAGATATACTAGCATTTTCATAGTTCAAAGATGAAACCACTTTCAGTTCGATTGGTTAAGCCACAGAATTTTTGAAAAATTGATTTTTTTAATCAAACCGGTTGAGTTTACGCCAGTCTCAGATTTTAGCCAGAATCGGTTTTCGGAAAATATCGATCTTAAAAAAATAGCTGGAGATTATTATAATTTTTCATTGAGTTTATCGCAAAGTTTTTAAAAGCTTCATGAAAATAAAAAAACTTCTCATCGATTATTTTTCTCATATTTATAAGGAAGGTCATTTTAATTTGCAATTGGGATCCCCTCAAAACTGGTCAGAATATTCGGGTTTAATATTTTTTTATTTGTAAAAAAAGTAATATTTAATGTAACAAAAGAAGACCCAAGAAGTCTCTCAATAAATAAGGGCTCAAAGCCTCGAAATAGCCAACTTTTTCGATTTTGAGGCGTCCTTACTGGAAAAAAAAAACGGAACTGGTGTAGGTTAAGACTTCTAGGATCTTTATCTTCTACATCAAGAAGCAATCTGGCTGATTCTCAGCCAACCAAAAAATAAAATGACCTTCCTTGTCAGCTTTTGGACAAGGTTCACAGGCAAAGTCATGTTTGCCAATATTATCACGTCGTTGCAATGCCCAAAATCACCTGGGAAAGGTAGGAATGTCTTTGTATTATTCGTGTTTTGTACCTGAATGGTTTAATTGGAGTTCTGTGAAAAATTTCAGGTTGAATCCTCTCGATTCAATTGAAAAAAGTGTTCGATTGGTTCAGGAAGTCAAAAAAATTTACATTATCGAAAAAAAGTAAAATGTTATGTACACAATGGAAAACAAGGTATAAAAGCGAGAGAATTCCGGGAAAAAGTACTCTTTTGGCAAGACCCGAGCCAAAATGCGACTCCTACTGTGGACCGGTCTCCTCTTCGTCGCCATTTCCATCTATGGCGTTCAAGTTTTTCAATATTCTCTTCATTTTTGAATTTCCCATGTTCCAGAGCTCTTCTGGACAAGAAGGCTTCGAGGAAAAGAAGAAGGAATTCCTTCGGAAACGCTTGGGAAAGCTTCATAGCCGAGCCAATCGAGTTTTCGTCGATGGGGAGAATCCGGAAGACTCTAAGAAACATCTGAAGAAGGTTAATTTTGATTCACAATTGAAACTTGGAAAGTCAAAACACTTTCGTGAAAGTCATGGCTGTTCGTTTTATTTAACTGAACTATTTTGATGCAGATCCACCCGAAACTCGGAGAAGATCTGTTCACGTTGAACAAAAGAGTGGGAGTCGCTGATCGAATGTTCCAGGGCGACATCAACCTTAGCGAGTAATTTAATGCTCCCGGAAGTTGGAAATGATCTTCTTAATCTCAGGAACCAATGGAAGTTCATTAAAAGCCAAGGAAAAACCAATGGTAGACAAAAACGACAGGTAACGACCTGGATACCGTTGTGGGCCAACAACACGGTCAACTACTGGGTCGATAACACTATCGGTGAGTTTTTGCGCTTGTCTGTGAAGGTCTTATTATCAAACAACTTCATAAGTAAACCACTCCTCACGGAATAACTGAGTTCTGCATGATCACAGCCATTCTCAGAACTTGCCGACTCAACAACGATTTTCGAAATGTTCCAGACGAAGTGAAACAAAATTCGATCGTCAAGGCTCTGAGCTACATCTCGTCGAGAACCTGCCTCAACTTTGTGAATGACCCGAACGCGGAAAACCGCATTCGAGTGACCAGGGATGTGGGCTGCTACGCAGAACTCGGCATGATCGGAGGCGAACAGACTCTGTCCCTTGGTGATGGCTGCGTACAGGTTATTAGAAAGATCGAAAGAAAATAATACGGAGAGCAGCTTTTGGTCTTCAGACCTTGCCGAGAAAACTCCAACAGTACCTAAAAAGAAGCTTTAAACAAGGCCCTTAAAAAGGGTCTTCTTGTAAGGTTAACAAGAAATCACTTAGATTTTTCCTTGTTCAAAGTCTCTACGGAGGGCTGAAGAAGAATACAGCTTTTTCTCTTGAGATGGGCACGGTCGCTCACGAGTTCACCCACGCTCTGGGAGTTTGGCACACTCAAATGAGGTCCGACCGCGATAAGTACGTCGCCGTCGACGTCTCAGCCATTGGAGTGAGTTTTTGAAGGTGTTCACACGTACTCAGGAACGATAAAGTGGTCCCCAGTGGAGCATCTTTAGGGTTACTCGAAGGTTCCTCTCTAGGGACCACCTTCCATTAAAGATGAAAATCAATAACAAGTTAAAACGTAACCTTGGTGAAGTTGCAACTTTGAGGAGGACTACCGGTTCGCCTACGATAGATTGACCGAAGAGGAAGAAGTGAACCTTGTCCCCTATGAGTACGGCAGCATGATGCACTACGGACCCACCTTGTGAGAACTACTTCTCCCGATTCGAGGCTTCAACTTTCCTTTTCAGTTTCATCACCAACGCGACGAAGCTGTCGATGGTCGCCACAGATCCCCGCTACCAATACACGATGGGAAGTCGTCAGATTTCCTTCTACGACATTCAGAACATCAACAACGCCTACAACTGCGCAGGAAAGTGCGGGAAGACCCTGGATTGCAAAAATGGAGGCGTTCAAAATCCGAAATCTTGCGACGAGTGCATCTGCCCCGCGGGTTACGCTGGTAGATTCTGCGATGAGAGGGTAGGTTTTTGTGGAAGAAATTTTATTTTGATGTACCAGGTTTGGCGCCTTGCGATTACCGTATTGTAGCTTGGAATTGTGCTCACATCAAATGATCTTATTGAATGTTTTGAAACAAATTTGCGATTTTGAAAATCTAGTTTTCCTAGTAGTAACTAACAAAGAGAGCTCAAAAAGTAAAATCCAGATAGTCCTGGAGTGAAATCAGAAGTTCTCAGATTTTTTTAAGTTTCTTTTTTTTTTGATTTTTCGTGCTCTCACTTCATCCGCGGACACCTTCTAGTTCAAAATTTCATAAAAAGAACCAAATATATGCATTTAAACCGCCACAATTTGAAAATTTAGCCAAGCGGCTGCGGTGAGATCCTAAATGCCAATTCGAACTGGACATCTACGACCTATACCTTTGGAGATGAAGTAAACTTTTGGGAAAGTCGGATGGACTTCGACTTCTGTAATCATTGGATCAAGGTTAGTTCTCGTTCTGATTCGACTCTATATAATCTTTCAAAGGCCCCGGAAGGCAAGAAAATCGAAGTTCAAATCGTAGAGCAGTTCCGACCGGATTGCTCTTACGGGTGCGATTGGAATGGAATCGAAATCAAGACGCTCGAGGACAAGAAAATCGTCAATCCGAGGTGAGAAATTGGCGAATTCGAGTCGAAATGCTGTAAAAAGCATGGAAAGGCTTTTTGATCCAAAATAGTCCGTTTGCCGCAGCTTGACAGTTTTGGAGTGTCTGCGTCTCTCTGTTCCCTCTCTGGCAAGGTCAGAGAAGCATGAAAATAGCACAAAAAGATGAGAGGGTCGCCGAGGGATAAGGAGGGCGCAGAGAAGTCTGATCCTTCCGAGTTGCGAGAACCGACTAACGAAAGCCGGACATTTCTGAGCATTTATCGCTTTTAGCGCTCAAGTAGTCACTCAAAATTGAAATTTAGCGGCTCCAGAACTCTCAAGTGATTATTTGAAATGCTCAGAACGTGTAGACCATTTTCGGTTCTCATAAAGACTAAGCAGTTCTGGTTACACCTTTAGCTGCGCCCGACCTTTAGCGACTTCAGTTTTTTGTCGTTAACCGCAGAGCTCCAATTTCTAGTCGCATTTTCAAGAAGAATTCCAAGGAATCTGTTCAGAATCTGCTGCGAAACCGATGAGATCTTCCAAAGCGCCCTGAACCCGACGCCGATCATCTCCTACAACCGCTACTATTTCTCCACTTACACTCTCAAATATCGCTATGTTTGATTTTGGGATCGAGTGAGTAATAAACCTTCAAGCATTGCAAAGAATATAGTTGAGATTTGCGAAGAAAAAAATCCCGGAGAAGAAAAAATGAAGAAATTGCGGTGTGGATCGAACTTGTGACCCTTTGGACCGTGCACAGACACCTAACTTTTAAAGCTAAAAGAAAGTTCATATCTTAATGCAGAGGCCCCAAAAAGAAGTTTCTCAACAATACCTTCCTAACTTCTTCTTCTTCTTACGCCTTTTGTACCGCTTGAGCGGCGTCGGCGCCCCAAGTCGATTAGCCGAGGTCCTATCCTGATATCAGTGCACTGGCTCGAGTGACATATCCGTCCTTGTGTGTGACGGCTGGGGATTATGAAGCCGTGGTTTCCCACTACCAACATTTCTTAAACCCCTTGGTTGGGTCGGGGATCGAACTTGTGACCCAGTGGACCGTAGACAGGCACACAACCTGTTGCGCTACGACGCGCCCTAATACCTTTCTAACTGTTTTTCCCGAATATTTTTTTCAAAAAAAGTTCCTATTTTTTTTTAAGAGATGAAAAGGAGTCAGAAGGCCAGAAAAGGAGAAAAGCTCAAAAGAAAAAATTTTCAAAAAATGAACTATTTTCTAGTTTCTTCAAAAGGATGTTATTATAGTCGCCAGAGTTGAAAAAAACTGGAAACCAAGAAAAAATTCTTTTCTTAAAAGAACTAACGAGTAAAGCAACGGCCTGAAAATCGTTAGAAGAAGCAGCAAAAACAAAGAAAAATGGGTCCAAATGAGACAAAAGATCCCAGAATTTAGTGCTTTTTCTGAGTCTATACGATGCTTTGAAATCGCCTTTTTCAGTTTTAAGCTTGATTTGATTGTTTTGAAAGTTTTCTATGTTCAGGAGTTACTACGATATGAGAAAAAGCTTTCATGAAAAATTTTTCTGCTTTATGCGTTGTTCAACTTATAGGGATAGAATTTGATATGAGTAATATTTTTCCGTGAAATTTATATTTTTAAAAAAATATTTTTTTGAAGTTTTTCTAATGCTAATCTGATTACATACTTGAAAAATTCACGAAAGTTCGGCGTTTTGAAAAAAATTACCAAAAAGAATGAAAAGTTTTAAAATCCAAATGGAAGTGTTTTTGAATAGAATTCTTCGAAAAGATCCTTCGAAATATTCATTTTGTGCTTTTTTTTCCGAAAATGAAGAGTTTTGAGCTGAGCTTTTTTCGTCTTTAGACTTTCTAATCTTTGATTTTCGACTCCAATTAACTAGTCTTTCTTTGCGAATTGCTCAACCGGAAAGAGCGTTTGGAATGTACTGAGGCGAGAATATTATTGAAATGAGCCGGGGCTCATCCCGGCTCGAGTGCGAATGAAAGGACCACGGCCCGCAAATTGCTTTATCTCTTCTTTTCTTTTTTTTTTCCCCCGGCTCCTCCCAATTCATTTTTGTTCGACGACCATTTCCAGCACTTTCTTTTTTGGATATTCCAACAACTAATCCCTTCCGCCCATGGAATAAAGCAAAGCTGAGATTGAGGACATTTTTAATCCTGATCCTTTCGCGTTAGCTCTTTCAATCCTTCCTCCACGCTTTTTTTTCAGCTTTTTCATATCTTTTTCGCTGATTTTTATATAAACCAACAAGGTGCAAGATAACCAAGAAACATAGTTGAGAATTCCGTTTAAAAATACCTTGTTTCCAAATAAAATGAAAACAGAAAAAAAAACTCACTTTTTAATCCGTTTCTCCTGATTAGAATAATTTACACCAGTTGACGGAAAATCGCAAGAAAATTACCTATTCCACTTCGTAAACAAAAATATTTATGATTTCTGGAAAAATAAAAAAATTTGATTCATTCCTCTAATCGTAAAACTTTTTTTCAAATAACCGAAATTTAAAAAAATTGTAAAAATTTTTTTCGAAACTCTTTTGCGCTCCAGCGCACACCACATTTTCTGAATTGTTTTTTTCACTTTTTTTGAACGGATATTCGAACCTCTCTCGTGTTTTTTTCTGCTTTCAAAAAAATGAAATTAAGATCAATTATTAGTTTTTTTCACGATGTCAGATGAAAATTTCAATTGAAAAAAAAATTTTTTAATAGAAAAAAACATTAAAATTTGATTTTTTTGACCCTCATTGGTTTTTGACGAGAACTTTCAGTTCAAAATGAACCAAGCCTGCTTTAAAAAATTGAAGCTTTCAGAAAAATACTTTAGCCAAAATTTTTATGATTTTTGGAGATTTTTGAAATAATTTTTTAAAACTGAATTTTGCCATTGAGGAAATAGCAATTAGGTTCAAGCATCCATCAAACGAGTTCCTCCTACTCACTAGGAAACTTTCTCTATTTGTAAACATCGGCTCGCATTTCACGCTTTCTTTCCCTAAGAAGTACTAGGTAAATCCATTTCCTATTTTTATTCCTTTGTTAAGCATTTTGTAGTTTTTCTTTAGATTTGGAGGATGCAAAATATGAAAATAGAAGTGCAAATCCGAGATTTGGATTAAAATCGTGGGGATTTTTGGATAATTCTGATTAAAGGGATTCTCGGATCCTCTGCAGATGTCCTCTTTCAAGCTTCAATTTTGCTGATTCATCATTTTTCGAGGCATGGAAGGCTGTCATATTCAATTTGTTGTTCAGAACCAATTTTTCTGTCGGTAAGCTTCCAATTCAACAAGTTTTTGACGATACTCTTTTTTCGGTTTTTTTCGTTTTTCATTTTTTAATTTCTAAGAAAAAAACGTAGTGTATGGAAAAAAAGTTGAATTTTCAGATTATAAAAAACTTTTTTTTTCAAAATTTACTGAAATTTAGAAGTTATTCTGTTACTAATTGCCGTCATAAGCTTGAAATTTGAAAATTGAATGTGTTTGAAAAAATACAATTTTTTAAATCTTATATTTTCTTATCAGTAGTGTACGGCCTCGCGTTTTAGATTCTCAGTTTTTTTTTCCCAAATCAACAATTTTACACTGATAATAAATGAAACGCAAAATATCACTAACCCAATCGAAATCTATCATTTTTCACGAGAGTAGCATTTTGCGACCAAAGTTTGCAAATTTAGCATGAATATAGTCTGTTCAGATTTTGAATGTCAAGTCGTCGCTCAAGCTCCGCCCACAATGGTGTGATAAACCAATCAGAGAGCGAGCCATCCACAGAGTGTTTTTGAATGACGTCATTGCACTTGACATTCAAAATCTGAACAGACTATAGAAAGCTTTTGTGACGAAAAGAACTTTGGTGACAACATAAAAAATTGGAATTTGAAAAAAAACGAAGGAAAAAGCGAAAATCCAAAAAAATGGCGAAGCGTTTTGTCCATGGAGCAACTTTACTGCAAAGTGCCCTTTTGGCGAGAACTCAAATTCTCCTCTCTCCGACTTTGAATGATTTTTTTCTCCAAAAATAGGAACATCTGTACGTTTCCAAGTTCACCGTTCGATTCGCAATGAAAAACTCTACAAAGTGCTGCTTTGAACTGAAAAATCTTTTTTTTTTACTGCCCCTTTGTCTTTAAGTTAAAATGTTCATTATAAAACCTCTGTATCGATTCTTTTCGTCCGTTTATGCTTCCTTTTATCAATAATCTTCTTATCTATCCATTTTCTACAATATCAAAAAATCTTCTTCAATTTTCGGCGTCTCTTTCTTGTTTCCTCCGTCTAAAAGGTCTTTCCCCGCCCCCTTCATTCAGTGCTTTCTAACAAGTAAGTGCATGCAACTCGGACTGCGCCATTGATTACTCGTGCTCCGAGAGATAATGAGACGTCGACGTGATTAGAAGCGACGCAGGTGCGGCTAGAAGGCGGGGCCATGTGGGGCATGATGAGGATGCGGACCTTGCGGAGGTCGACCGCGCGGCGGCTCCGACCTGAGCTCCGGATGAAGCGGCCACGGGCCAGCGAGCGTCAGAGGACCCTCGAGAGGTGGGTCTACTTGTCCATGGGGCAGATTGTCTTTGATAATCATTGGAGAATGAAATTTGATAGGCATCTCGTCCAGACAAGTCTTTACCGTTTTGATAACTCATTTTTCGCAACTTGAAAAGATTAGACTTCTCTGCGCCCTCCTCGTCTTTCGGCGACCCTCTCATGTTGACGTGCTATTTTCATGTTTCTCTAATCTCGCCGGTGAGAAAGCAGAGAGACGCAGACATCCTAAAATTTTCAAATCGCGCCGAACGGAGTAAAATTCAAAATATTGAAGATGTTTCACGAACCACGAGATATAGCAAGGAGAGCCTTTGATGTTTTGTCCTTTTTTGTCCATGGCGCGGATTTTCTCTGAGCTTTTAAACGAGTATAAACTTGAATAAAGGTCTCGTAGCGAAAATTTTGACAGCGTTATTTTAGGATACAACAACTTTTGAACTAAAGTTTAGTCAAAAATCACAAAACCTTCCTTTTTTTTGTCATCAATATTTATTTTTTGACTTTTATACATGCCACACATGAATTATACGCGTTACGTGATTTTTGCCATAATATTCTCGATAGAAAATACAGATTATACAAAATCGATCACTAGAAACCCATAGTGAAACATAAAAACCGGTTTACTTTGTTCTCATAAAATTTTCGTTAATTTCACGAATTTCTGGTTGAATTCAGCTTCGTTATGACCATCCGAAGCTCTCAACAAAAGCTTAAATTGGGATTTTGTGCTTGAAGTTGAGTTAGTACCTAATAGGGTTGATGAGTAAGCCATTTAGAGGGCTCGTTCGATTGAAAAATGATTTAGTCATGAATTTTCAGAAAGAAGTTTTCGCCCGCTTTTTGAAGAAATTATTTTTAGGAGGCTTTCCTGACCTTTTTTGTCAAATTTTTTCAAGCTTAAATCACTTTTTTTACGATTAATTCAATTTTTCTAGAGGTTTAAGAATAATGAACCTTTTTTTACTTAATTTTTCAAATGGATTTGAATAACCAACAGGAAATTTGTTCAGGGCTAGCTTCCAAAGAAAAAAATCTCAAGATCTCGTTCCATTTTTTTGATTTTTTTAACATTAAAAAAATGAAGTCTGGAAATCCATTTTTAAAAAGAACTTCGGCAAAGTTTCCCCATTGAACAAGTTAATATCCGTTCAAAATATCTATTTTTTTGGGCCCTTGTTTTTGCAATTTGTCCATTTTTAGCGACATCTCTATGCAGGAGTTGAATTTCAAGGCAAATTTTCAGTGAAAATTCTGAGTTTTCCTACTGAATCATATTTTTCCGTCTATATATTTTTTTTCCTTGAGTAGACGCTTTTTTGCTTCGAGCTCTTACTAGAAAGGTTCATTAGAGCTGCAATTCACGAGGCAAAAACTCTATTTTTAGAGAATAGGCGATAGGAAATGAGTTGGCCATGTTTTCTGAGGCTGAATTTTGAATATATGAATGCTATATTTGCTAGTTTTGAAGGAGAAAGAGATTCGAGTCTAGAATACTTTTAATAATAAAAAAATTGATCATTTTTAGAAAATCACAAGAAAAAAATTAAAAAAATGGTATGAATACCTAGGTTTCAAAAATTCAAAAAAATATAAGCTTTTTTTCTAAATTTTTTTCTCGGAAAACTCGTAAACTTGCTTTTTAATTTATATTTAGAAAAAAATCTTTGACCAATATTTTTTTCGCCAAAAAAAACTGGGATTTTTTTGAGAATTTTTTGCTTCAAAAAAATTGATATTTTTTTAATGATAATTTACAAAAAAATCTAAAAAAATAAGATAAAAAGATGTTCTGAATAGTAAGAAATCTTTTTGCTTTCAATAGAAACTTGATAATTTCAAAACTTCAATTTTGAAAAAAAATAAGAATTTGAATTAAAAATTGCCAGCTTCTTCCTACTTAATTATGAAGAACTATTGTTTTTTTATGATTTTTTTCTAGGTAATTAAAAATATTTTTGATCTCGAATTTATGTCAGAATACCTTTTTCCCGACCACAAAGAAATCGAAAAAGGGTATTTCTCTTAAAATATTTCGAAATCGAAAAAAAGGGTATTTCTTAACCGGAAAAGTTGTTTTTGAATAATTTCGTACAGAAAAAAAAAAGAAAAAAAAAATTTTCAGCTTTTTTCGAGCTCCAAATAAAAGAAATTGTGATCCCAAGACAAAAAAAACCTTTTTACTTCACCTTCATGTCAAAATACCTTCTCACGACCCCGGAAATATCAAAAAAGCTGAAGGAAAAGGCATTTTTGATCCGGAAAAGCGAGCTCAATTAACTCCACCGTTGTTTTTTCCACGCAGAAATTGGCTCTCGGCGTCGATTATCCCAGAAGAAGGGCAAAAACGAGAAAACGAGGAGCCGATTAATTCCATTAAGTTTCCCCGTACTCATCCATTTCGTGAATTATTCCTCTTTCTTCTCGGCTCCGTGCTACGAAAAGGACGATTTTTTTTGTCTTTTTTGAAGTGTACGGTGTGGAAAAGTCCGCATATGGCGTGTTTGCACAGTGGTCCTAAATTATCGTTTTTTCCATTTTTATTATAATATTTTTAATTTTCGTTTTATATAGTAAGTCAGATTGAATAATTTATGTTATTTAACTCTTTCCTATAGTTTTGATCCATTTCGAAAGATTTTAGAAAAGAACGAGTAAATGGGACAACTCAGAATGTGCAAACACACGCCAAATGCGGACTATCACATACCGTACCCATCGGAAAATGAGAGATCACCCTTTTCGTAGCACCCTCTGCTCTCCATTAGTTCGAATATATATCAACTCCAAATTTTCAAACTCTTTTTTCTTTGAATGAGAGTTGAAACGGAATAATGATGTACGTTGGAAACACCCGACGGCCAACTTCGGCTTTATTTTCGCCGGCTTCTTCTTACTCTCTTGGAAGGCAGTCTTCATGGTAATTAGTAATGGTTCTTCAAATTTCAAATTTTTGAAAAGATTCTGCGGCATTTGGAATGACTTTGTGATGGAATTTTATCAAAAAACCTGATTTTACGATGAAAGTTAAATTTTAACTGCATTTAAAAGTTTAAAAGTTTTAACATCGTTCAGAGGTATTATTATTGAAGAGTTCTTTTTGCCTGAAAAAGAAATAAAGTAAAATAATCATTCAAAAAAAAAGTTTGTACAGAAAGAGTTCATTTTTTTCACCGGTTCTCGTTTAAAAAAAGGTTTTTATTCGATTTGAACCACGGAGAAAAAAAGTTTTACTTTCATCAAAAAAATGGGCGGAGCTCATCAAGATCTCACTGATATATTTATTATATTTATAATTTCAGGCACTTCGGTTCGAGAACCCCTTGCAAGAACCCGTTTTTCAACGCAATATACTGGGCTTTCAGAAGGTGTCAATATTGGCTCTGTTTTTACGACGATGGTAATTTTCATAGAAAAATACAAAATAAATGAGCTGAACTTCAGAAGTGGAAGTAGACGTGGAAGATCTGCTATCGAATCCATTCAATACCCAGCCGCCTTCTCTGGATCAACTCGTTCAGTTGACCTCCTTCAATAGAAAATGGCTCATGTTCATGTACCGCAATTTCAAGCAGGTAAAATGTTTCAAAAGTTGAAAAAAATGAAAAAAATCTATTAAAATTTTAATGATTGGTTCTTTAACAAGTTATACTTAAAATATGGCTTTTTAGAGTCATTATTCATGAGAATTATAATGATAAAAAAATAAATTGGTTTTTCACGTTATTTTTTTGAACGTAGGATTATTGCGCCTAATTTTTATCGTTTCTTTGAAATTCCTGTTTCAGTTATGTTTCTACTGATAGGTAAATACAGAAAACACGAATAAATCTTGTTCTTGCTCTTGTATACTCTTATATAGACGATCTTTCGTTTTCTTCAAAATTTTTTTTTCTTTCAAATTGCATTGTTAAAATTTTCCTTTTTTTTGGCGCTCATAAAAAAAATTTAGATGCTGCGAAATAATCCTAAAAACTCGCTATCCATTTTTTTTGTCCTAAGAATGTTTTCAATCAAAGGTTTTACGAAAAGAGCGAGTATTCCGAAGAGTAAACTTTCAATCAATTAAACTTCAAACTATTGTATGTGAAAGACCGCATTTGGCATGTTTGTACATTCTGAGTGGATCTATTTCCGCTTTCAAAAGTTGAAAAATGGAAATTTGAGAAAAAAATATGGAAAACCGAGGAAATGGAAGACGCGGAGATAGTGCCATTTAAATAGTGCAAACACGCAAAATGCGGACTTTTTCCTACAGTAACCTTCAGAAAAGGAAAATCGCCTTGTCGCAGCACTTAATCAAACATCATACAGAAATGCGCGAACGGCCGAATGACCGAATCTCAATGGAGAATTCTGTTCCGGGCCCTTTTTCCCAACGCAAATGACACATATTTCGTCGATCGGCTCTACGCAGCGATCATCTCGAACAAAAATCATCAGCAAATCACTTTCCAGGTTTGAAATCGATCACAAAAATCAATAATCCTGGAATTTCTAGGACTTGGTTTTGTTCTTGTGGGAACTGACGGAAGGTTGTCATTCTTCAGAGCCTTCTTGCTCTTCTGCCGCCGCTCAGTTCACGTTTTCTTTGATGGAGCCGGATAAAAAAGTAAATTTTTGATAGTTAATTTTTTTTAACTCCTGTTTTTCTGTGCAGGCTTGTTTGACAAGATTATGGTATTTTTCTATGGGAGTTACGTTTCCAAATTTTTCTGGGTGAATCGCTGAATTTGAATTTTTTTCGGTATTTATTTTGAAAAAAATAAAAAAATTTCAGTTTTGCAACGTCATGAAAGACTCTAAAGAGCTTTTTAAATATCGATTTTGAAATTTTCCTATGGGTTTTGGTGATTTTCCTTTTCAGGGACGTGTTGATGAGCTCTCTTTTGCGAAATACACGAGAAGTATTTTCGCGCTGACCGCGTCGCGTCACACGTGCGACGCGGCTGTGATTGGACTTCCTTCCAGCAGCATTTACCGAACTAAGGTATCATTATTGGAGTTCTTTATGGTTTTTGATGTCCTTCTTGAAATTTTCTAATCTTTTCCGTGAACCATTGAGAGAAATTCTTTCTTGACTCAATGACATTTGAAATCTTTTAAGATTCGTTTTAAGTTTTGTATTATTTTCCAACTAACTAGTAAGAAATGATAAACAATTTGAAGCTTTTCTTGCGATTCTTAACTTTCTTCTCATAATTTTTTTAACAAATTTTGTAAACTAATATAATTCATCCTTTCGTGACGCTTTTCATAATCAAAAAAAGGGAGTATTTTCCGCCTCAAATTGAGCTTTTGAGGAAATTAAGCTGGAGCGCACTTTCCCACCTCCTGAATTTTTGAATAAAATATCGATAGGGGCTTAATCAATCAAGATTTATTGAGTACATGTTTTAGTTTTCAAATCATGATCATTTAAAGATCCCTATAGTGACCACTTGAGATTGAAAGGCCCAAAAGGGAGCACTTTTTTCCCCTTTTGAGGCTGTTTTTCCGCTAACCCCTATAGGGGTCACTCTGGCGTTCCTAAGAGGCTTAAAAAATTCCCTTGTGAGCTTTTCATCTAATCCTTCAACACTACTTTTTGTTCAGAGTGCTGATGACGATTTTAAGCCGTTATCTCCAATGATAGCTCGATACGCTTCGCAAAGATTTAAGGTAGAATAAATCAATAAATGATTTAAAAAATGAGTAATAACATTTCTAGGAACTCGACTCGGATGGCGACGGATTCATCACGGCCAACGATATCCAGAGGGTGATGGATTCTCATCGAGAAGTCGCCGTTCTGAGAAGTTGCCGCGACGTCGGCGAGTCTTCAGAGAAAAAATGAGCAAACTTTCTGATCTTTCCTGAGAAATAAAATACATATCAATCGATTCTTGGAGCTGAGAAAAAGTCAGAAATTCCGTTTTTTAAAGGCAAAAAAAAACATCTGAATGACTTTCGGATTGTGATTTCTACCTTGAAGCTCCCCTACTGGGAAAATTTTTAGTGGTCACTATAGGGTTTTGACGTTTTAGTGGCCAACATTTAAAAGGCTGAAAAGTGTAGGAAAAGTTGAAGAATATCTATTTAAAAGAAAGCATATCAACAATGGTGTAATTAAAAGAATACAATTTTTCTTTTCTCTTTTTTTAGTAATCGACTCAATTTTAAAGCTTACCGGTAAGAATAAAGTCACGAATTTTCCTCTTTATAAGCAAAAAAGATTTGATTCAGAAATGTGTTTTCTAACGAAACTGACCTTGAAAATCTTGAAAAAATCAAAACTTTTATTCAAACTTCAAGAATTTTTAATCAAAATGCTCAAAAAAGTACTCGGGGCTTGGTAACGCGAATCGGACGTGTCAGGGCATTTCTAGTGACCACTTTAGTATCTTCAGCCCTCTTTAGTGACCCCTAGAATCGCACAGAAACGTCCGGAGCACGTCCGTTTCGTGTTACTAGTGTCCGAGAATACCGAAAAATGGCGAAGCGCTTTGTCCATAGGGCAACTTTGCTCCGAACCGCGCGGGAATTCAAACTTTTTCTCTTCTTCTTTGAATAATTTTTACTGAAAAAATAGGAACTTTTGTATGATATCAAGTATACCGTTCGACAGTCAATAAAGAGCTCTAAAAATACACATTTATCTCAAAAACCGTTTTTTACTGTCCATAGGCCTTTAATGTAAGCTAAATTTCTTTAAAAAGTTATAATTTTCGACACTAAAAGCCCATTCAGAAGAAATAACATATAAACTAACTTTGGATGATCTCCACTGGAACGAATGTTAGTGGAACGGCAAGCGATTAAAATAACCATTAATGAATCGTTTGGCAAACTGGTTTATCTGCTTATCAAGTGAACTTGTAAGTTGTTCCAGGCAAAACTTTTGGGGGTTTAAAGGGGTCCCTAGAGTGGTTAGGAAAAAACAGCTTCTACAGGAAGCAAAAAGAGCTCTCTAGAGGAGTAACAGACAAGTGGTCACTATAGATGTTTAGGGTCGGAATACTAAAGCTTAACTGGTCCCTATAAGGTTTTTCTGTTTTTTTTTTTACTTCAAAGTTTTTCATAAAGACCCAAGCCTCGGTGGATATTTTTCTTTCAAAAAACGCTAGTTTATTGATTTTTTCCCATCGGGATAAACGGCTAGCATGCTCCCCTAAAATGGCCACTTTTTGCAAGATTTGGAGCCCCTATAGGGTAAATTGACCCCTAGAGGGGAACTTTTAAGTGCCCTTAAAGGCATAGGGGCAGTAAAAAATGACTTTTCAGGTGAAATCAGTATTTAAAAAAACTGTTTATTGCATCTTCAATGTAAGAGTACATGTGCAATCGACTTTCATTGATTTGGCTGTGTTTAAACGGCGGCAGGAGCTGTGGCTTAAGCAGAGAAGTTGTGAATTTCGCTTGTTGATCATCAGGTACAAGAGAGGTCGTAGGAAGAAGTACGGTGCCGGCTTTCCAAAGGCCGATGGCAGAGATTGAGCCTTTTCGCTGCATGCAGCTCCCAATTTTATCTACCCCGGAGGGAAATCAGTATCTTGTATAGTTTTTCTTTGCGAATCGAATGGTGTACTCAAAAAAATTACAGAGATTTCTGCTTCAAATCGAAGGTTTCTTCTCTGAAAAAACATTAAGTCGAACTAAAAAAACACTGATAATAAAGAAAACAAAAATATCGCTATCCCAATCGAAACCTGTGTAAAATCATCATTTTTCACCAGAAAAGCATTTTTGCGATCAAAGTTTGCAAATTATACATGAATAGAAAGCTTTTGTGACGAAAAGAACTTTGGTGTCAACAGAAAAAATTTAAATTTGAAAGAAACGAAGAAAAAAGCGAAAATGCGAAAAATGGCGAAGCCTGTTGTCCATAGAGCAACTTTACTGCCAAGTGCCCTTTTCGTGGGAACTAAAACTTTCCTTTCTCCGACTTTGGATTATTTTTTCTCCAAAACTAGGAAGTTTGGCACGTTTTCAAGTTCACCGTTCGATTCGCAATGAAAAGCCCTACAAAGTACTGCTTTGAACCGAAAAACCGTTTTTTACTGTCCCCATGCCTTCAAGCAACTCTAAGTTTCCCCTTAAGGGACCAAGTCTTCCTGGAAGTCTTTTTAATCTTTATTTTCTAATTTTTTATCCTAAAAACCACAACGATGGTTTTCGAACTGTACACATTTTTCTGCATTTTCGCTCTTCCGAATGCTTGACTTCCTGCTAGACTGAACAGTCACTTAGAACGGCAACTATACATTCTCAGAAGGAAGCTGTTGTGGGCATCTCCCTGCGTCTCTCGTTTCGACACACTCTTTCGCCACTTGAAGTCGCGATTCCAGTAGCCGCCACTCCATATAAAATCCCACGGCTTTTTCCGCCCATCGCCACTTTTACAGGCTTTTCGCCTCGCTGATCACATCATCTGTTACTTTTCTAACTTGTTCTTTTCTCTATTTTATTGTCGTCACTTTTCTCTTTCATCTTCTTAACTTACTGGTAGGAAAAAAATATTCTCTATTTATCCAAGAAAGAATTTAAACTTTGGAGTGTCGACAAAAAGTGAATTTTCAAGCTTTTTTTTTTGAAGAATCAGGGTGCTCCAAAAAGACCACCTCACTCTGTGAAAAAAACCATTTCTGTGAAAAAAATAATTTTTGGAAGAAAATGGCCATCGAACGGTTTTGTAACGGTTTCAATCATGAAGTTTCAACATTTTCATCGTAATCCTTCAAAAAAAATAATGGCAAAAAACGTTAGCGACAAAAAGATTCGAACGTTCATCATCGGCGTCGCAGGCTACCGCGCTAGCCACTGCACCACGCTCCTAGCGGCTATGAAATGAGTGGTAGCGGGGATACTTTCCTTCCAAACGGTCTCACTTGTTTAAGGACAAAAACTTTAAAAATTCATATCTCCAAAACGAAAATTTTGCGCAGATAGCGACTATGCGAGATCGGTTCCCAGTCCATCAAAGATTGTTTTGACAAATTTATAGAAAATTCCAAATCCTACGCAAAAATGACCTTCCATGTCAGCAAATTTTCGTCGATTCTTTGTCTTTTTATAACTTCCCCTACCTTACTACTTCAGAATTTCTTGAAAACTTGGCCAGAAAGCTCTGATTTACTGGATAAAGACCCTGAGAGTTTCAAAAATTGAGAAATTTCATTTTCTGGGAAACGTCTCGAAGTTTGAGTCTTTCTGAAAGAAGTGAGAGCTTTTTTTTTTCGAAAACTAGCGAATCCGCAAGGTCAGGGCTTTCAAAATCTTCATTCAAAGTATCTGTCTTTCAGCAAAGTTCCAGAAAGTTCTAAAGTTCTGAGTATTTCACGTTCCTTATCAGATCCTCTAGAAAAAAAACCTTTTTTCAGACCTCGATGGGTAATCCTGCTGAATTCGTCGGTTATGCGTCGATTCTTTCTTCAATCGTGGTCATTTCCACAATGTTGACTTATTTGCCGCATATGATCAGTTCGATCGATAGGATCAGTGATAGTTTGAAGGTGGGGTCTTGATGAAAAAAATAGGATAATTTTGGGAGGGATTTTCAAGCTTTTTCTGTGGAATTTCCAATTTTCTGGATGCTGAAAAAGTTGTCTCCAGTGTATTATTATGAAAAAGCTTCAGTGGTCACTATAGAGGTTTCTCGAGGATTACTTGGAGAGGACACTTAAGTGGCCACTAAACCCACCTCTATAGTGGCCACTATTTTTCGTTTTAGTGGCCACTATAGGCGTTCTCTATTTATTGGCCACTTCAGTAGTTTTTCATCCAGTATTCCTTCCGATAACTCTGATAACTTGAGAAAAAAACAGATTGGACCAGTTATGTTGATCCATTGACCCCTAAAGTGGCCACTAAAATGTTTAGGGGTCTAGTAGTAGCACTTAGACCTCTATAGTGGCTACTAACTGTGCACCACTCAAGTGGCCACTAATTTGACCACTATAGTTGCCACTAAAACTTTCACAGAATAATGTTACCTTTCAGACCCACAACGACGAGTTCAGCGTCTTGGAGCAGAAAGCTCGCCTAGAACTTCAAGGCGCCAGAGTTTTCGCGCCCAGAGCTCCTCGAGCTGTAACCAAGCGAGAAGCCGAGTGTGGTCGGTTTTTTATTTTCCGTATGAGGTCTTTTTTGTGGTAGAAGATTGGATAATCCGATGATTTTCTCTGGTAAACACCAAGTAAAAAAGCTCTAAGCCTCTAAAAACCAGTTTTTGTAAAGGAAAAAGTCAATTTTCTTCATAGAAGTCTTTAAATCGTAGATTCAAGATCAACTCAACACATTGAAAACCAAACTCTAAATAAGAATTTTATGAGTTCCAATCAATAATAATTGAAACTTAGTCGCATGATGAATGGCTTGAAAAGTCGCGATTCAAGCTTAAAAAACGACTTTGGGGCATTCCAATACAATGGTGCGCAAGTAGTTTTATGTCGGTTACATCTTCAAACCAACCGCTCCGCAGCCGCGACGCATTGAGCCATTCTCATTGAGACTCACTTGTTTCAAGCCTACTTTTTAGAAAGGAAAACCAACGTAATCACAGATTTTTCGAACGATTGAAAACTTTTTATTTACTACTTTTCTTAAAAATTTCACAAAACTCAAACAAAATTAAAATTTCAGCCTGCAGCGGAAATAATTTGTGCCCTTCTGGACCTCCAGGACGGCCTGGTCCGAATGGACAAGACGGGGCTCCAGGTTTAAAATGGACCTTTTTGGATAATTTACTCATTTTCGAAATTTTAGGAGAACCAGGTTCGCAAGGAGTTCCCGGTGAAATTGGAGTCGTTCCAGCTTCGGAATATGTCGAGGTTACTTTTGAATTTTCGAAATCCTGACTGGGACTTTAAAGGATCATAGTACAGTTTTATAAAGGTCTCAAAGCGAAAAATTGTCTTCAGTCATTTTTTAAAGCTTTAGAGATTTCTAACCAGGTTTCAGTGAAATAAACGAACTTTTCAGCCGAAAGAATGTCGTCAATGCCCACCAGGACTTCCCGGAAACGACGGATATCCAGGGCCGATGGGACCTCAAGGAGAACCGGTAAATTATTGAATGAAAGTCAAAAGAAAAATAGAAAACTGATGTGAAAAAGGTTGAAAAAAAACCCCCGGAAAAAAATAGCTTCGTGAAAAGGTGAATGTGTGCTCCACGGCTAACTCAAGGAAAAATTAAAAATTCTTTTGTTTTTTTCTTATTATCCTACATTTTCACTGTTTTTTCGCAAAAAAACAGAAAAAAATGGACATATTAAAAATGTCATTAAATTAGCCGTAGAGCGCACTTTCACTGGAATCTCAAGGCTAATTTCACTTCTCTGTTTCTTAAGAGCTATTTTTTTAAAAAAACGGAATCATTTTTCGGGATGTTTTTTTGAACTTGTTATATCGGAAGAAAAAAAACGAAAAAAATGATAAAATCATGAAATTTAGCCGTGGAGTGCGATCTCGCTATTTATTATTATTTATTTAAGATTTTTGGTTTCCGGGCGTATTTAAAGACACTGTGCCATTATTAATTGGAAAAATACAACTCTCATAAATTTATATTAGAGCATAGACACGGGAAAGCTGGGTAAGAAAAAAAAAGCGCCCGACTCAAAGCGACTTGCGCCTTCTTGTATCGTAAAGTCTTAGAAAAAGCTGCTTCAAACATGTAACTTAGGCTATTCCACATCGTTTTAGGACAAAATTTAGAAAAATTGAATTCAATGGATCTTCTTCTCTAGGGAGTGGCGGGAGTACTCGGAAACCCAGGCAGACCCGGAAACACCGGACCACAAGGACCACCCGGAGAGGCCGGAATGCCGGGAGCCGCCGGAAATCCTGGACCCATCGGACTTCCAGGCCAGGAAGGCGTCCGTGGGAGCAAAGGTTCAGATTTTTTTTATTTTTTGGGTTTCTGCAGGAAAGCCGTTCAAATAGCTTATAAAAAATAGCCGAAATTTTCCCTAGGACTTGATTTTTTTGACCTCTTTTCCGAACTATTCTGTCATGTACCTTACTTTTCACCTTGTGGATCACGGCGTTTTTTGTCCACTATATTTCTTGCGTGAAATGTAGTGTGTAGTGTGCATACACTGCGGCGCTCTCGCACATACCGTGTTTGAATTAATTTTCGCAAAATTCAAAATAATCTCTGAATTTCCGAAATTCAGTTGTATTTTTCACTTTCTGGCGGATATTTTGAAACGAGCGGAATCACTTTGAACACGGTAAAAAAAAGGAAAAAAAAATGCGGTTTTTTGAATGAGAAATCGATTCGTGTCATGACCCATTGAACATGCGCCTTTAATATTCCCTGCTGTTTACGCGTTTTTCCCATGACGTCACATGGGAACGGCGGAGATTTTGACCACGCCCCCTTAATTTTTGGTTTTTCTTCCACTAAAAAATCGCCGTGGGATGAGTGACTATATTATATTTAAAGGACCAAGCGGACCCATTGGCCAAAGGGGAGATGGAGGCAGCAAGGGCCTGCCCGGGTTCGTCGGCCGAGACGGAAACACCGGGGCTCAGGGCCCGACGGGCCCGCCCGGACCTCCCGGAAAGGACGGAAGCCCCGGTTACATGGGGTTCGACGGCTTGCCTGGACCCAATGTTCGTTTTTTTTTTATAACTCTAGAAAAAAGTGAAATTGGGTTTTTGGAGAACATAGTCTGTTTATAGGACCTTGAGTCAAAATTTGAAAGTGTAATTTTTGGGAAAGTTTAGATTAAAATTTCACAAAAACAAAAAAATTGAGCTTTTTTTATTTATCGAGATGACTTCAGAGAAGAAAAAAATCCTCTATGAAATGTGATAAAAATTTTTCTTCGAAATATTGATTTCAACTATTAAAAAAATCGATAATTGATCAAAATGTCTTCTTTTTTTATAATCTGACAAATTTCCAGGGAGCTCCCGGAGAGGACTCTGGCTACTGCAAATGCCCATCCCGCAGTGCCGTTTCCAAAGCAATCAAGAAAGTTTCGGCGAGCTGAGGATAATAAAAAATTTATTCCTGATATATTTTACGATATTTTCGATGGCTAGACAGTACAGCGTTCGTAGAAAAGGTCCAAAAGATCGTCGTCGATTTCGCCGAGGAGAATTCCGCGCTGTTGAAGTTCTCGGTACGGCCGGAGTAGGCCTGAAATGAGGATAAAGCTTAGAAACGCTAGAGTGGCCCCTAGAGGGGTTAGTCCCGTTCGCTCTAGGGACCACTTCACCTCCTCCTATAGGGCTCTAAATCATCCAAAAGCGGCCACTCAAGGGGTTTTAGTGACCGGTAACTTTAGAGGAGCATGCTCGCGTTCCCTATACGCCTTTTCACTGTGAAATCAGAAAAAAAGATTCAAATACCCTTAAGAGACGACTAAACCTTCAGGGGCTTATGGGTGAAGCCTCAAACTTCTACAAAGACCACTTAAATTTGATCCCTCTAGGGAGCACTATTTGTTCACTACGCGAGTTTCTTTCCCTAATCCCTCTGGTGGCCACTCTTGCAGTCCTCAATTTTTTTTAACCTCTAAAAAATTAGCTTAGAACTCCTTGATGAAAATAAAAATCTGTTTTACTCAAAGAAATGCTGAAAAATGAAGCTTTTCGCTTCGAGACTTCAAAAATTACTTTATCCTTTTTTTCGAAATCTCCCGAAAATATTTACAACCCTGATACTGTACGCGGAACACGAAAAAGACCTTTTTGAACAATATCAACTCAAAAAAAGAACAAAAAAACGTATTTTTTTAATGAAAAAAAGTCTTTTAAATTACTGTCTAGTAATTTTTTTGATTTTTTTAATAAAGAAAAAAATTGACAAAACTGCACATAATAGTTTTTTTATGGATTTAATTCCTGATTGAAACAGAGACTAAAGAAATTCTGTAGAAAATTAGTTCGACTCGAACTAAATTAAATCATGTTTTGGAATCTGAACTATACGCGTATAGATTTTTCTTACGGAAAATTCACAGGAAGTTATATTTAGGAAAAAAATAAAATTGACATTGCTATTTTTTTCCAAATTTCAAATTAAAAAAAATTTTTTTTACCTTAATGAGGTGCTAAAAAAAGAAAAAATATATATAATTAACTAAATCATGAAGATCTGAGAATATGGCGAACTAAGGCACTTTAGGAAAAAATTGAGCAATGTAGAAAAAAAGAGGAATATACATTCACGATTCTTAGTAAGAGTAATGAGGCCAAAAATATGTTTTTATTGGCTCCAAAATTTACAAAAGAAACTTTTTGACTTTTTAAAAAGGAAAAAAATTTCAACTGATTGATTTTTTTCTTGCAGAAAGTTAAAATGATTCTCAATTCTCCCACCTGTCCTACTTTCATTGATACCGGCAGCAAGTATCACGGGGACGGTGAGGTACATGTGAATCGAGAGAAGAACGAGTACGGTATTCCAAGTTTGCGGAAGTCGGCGACCGCACAGAATGCGCGCCAAACGACGCGCAAATCTCCTTTGGCTCGGTGTCATTTCATTTTGGGCTGAAAAAAAGATCTGATTGATTTGAATCAAAATTTTAATGATATGTCTTTGAAATAGTACGAAACTGACTTCAATTTTTCGGAGAATATACTGGAGGCAAATAATTTTTCGAAAAAAAAAGAAAAAAAAAACGAGAGCGGATCATTTATTCTCAGTTGAAAAAGAGAAAAAGATTGAAAACACAACAATTTAAAAGTTTATATAGGACTTAAGAAACGGGAAAGCATGCTTATGAAAAAAATTTCACGTTTACTTAATTTTTTTCAGTAGAAATTCTTTTTTTCTAGCCTGAAAAACCGTTTGTTTTGCACATTTTTGAAAGTGTAACGATTTTTTTCGAAATTATGATGAATTGATTCGAAATAGTTGTAAGAAGAAAAATTGAAAAAAACTCGAATTCTACAAGGCTATACGGATACAAAGGAACAGGAAAGTAAGCTAAAAAAATTTTTCCATAAGCCATTCATTCTTGTGTTTGTTCAAGTCTTTTGGAGCTATTTTATGGACCGCACGTGGAATGGCTCATTGTATTACGGACTATCAAAAACGCATCCGACCAAATACGACTTGCGCTCGGGAGTATCAAAAATCGTGATGAAAAGCTTCTTGAAGTCAAGAAGGCTAGCGCGACTTCGACAGTTTGAGCCAAGTGCGACCGTGAAATTTTTGAATATAATAAGATTTTTTTAACCACTACTTTCGTAGAAGAAAATAGAAGAAAAAAATTGCTTTTTAAATTTTTTTGTTCTAATCTTTCTTATAATTAACAGAAAGGATGTGAGTGTGAATAATATTCTGGTGATGATATTTCAATAAAATAAAATAGAAGAAGAAAAAAAGATGGTTTGAAACTTGGAGTTCGGTAAAAAGCTTTTCTAGAGCCCAAAAAAAATTTTCCTGGATTTTTTGCAAGTATTTCAGGGTTTAAAAAGAAAGAAGACCACGACCAACTTGAGAAAAACATTATGAAAATCCGTATAAAATAAATCGGAGCAAAGGGAAGCGTTCAGCCGGCAGTTGCTCCATAATTGGCATCGGAACGAGGCAATTTGCCAGGCAAAAAAAAAAGATCTCAGCCTACTTCTTCTGGTTGTTCTTCTTCTTTTTCCCCTGCTCGAAGGCTTCTCAAAAGGAATCCGCTAGACAATGGCGATTTCCCGGCGACTGCCTTCCTTTAAGTGCTTTTTCTCAGATAACGGCAGTTGCAATGGAGGGGAAAAATCGACGGAGGCGTCCATTAGGATGAGTTTGGGAGTCTGAGCTGAGCAATGTGCGAGAACAATGAGAAACAATGATGAATTTAGTAAAAAATAATAGTTTTAATCATAACTTTTCAGGTTAAAAAACTTCTCATGAACTCTATAGAAAGGTAATTTATTTATGTACGCTTAACACACTCAAAAAAAGACATTTCAATGATCCATTACCTGAAAATCGTGAGAAAAATTTTTTTAGACCTTTTTATAAAAAAATGGAAATTTTAAATTTTTTTGAAAATCCTTCAGGCTATTTTTTTGAGGATTTTTCTAAATTAAAACACCTCCCTTATCAGCTAGAAAGGCAGACAACTTATTTTATGGAACTAGAAAAGACTAAAAAAAGAGCAAAAAAAATCTGACCTGGTGAGGACTCGAACCTGCGACCTTGTGGATTTCAGAAATCTAAAACTCGCCACTAAGCTATTCTATTGATTTTTATTCTTAGGTTTAAAACTTTTGTAGGTACCTTCAAGCTACTTTTTAGTAATGTACTTTTTAGTAAAAAGTCTCCTTATCCATCCACAGAAGCAGAAAACTTATTTTATATGAATAAAAGAGACTAAAAAAAAGAGCAAAAAAAAGATTTAACCTGGCTAGGACTCGAACCTGCGACCTCATGGCTCCTTGAAACCAACGCTCTTTTTCCGTTATGCTATTCCATCGATTATTATTTTTTTTCTTTAAACGAAATGGCTTTTCTTGGACTTTAGAACAAATTATGACGAACATTTTGTAAGAGAAATGCAAACAATTTTCAAAAAAGGTAGAAAAATGGCCTAGGAGAGGCAATGAAATGTGTTGTCTATCATTTTTATCCGTTCAACAGGGCCAACCAAAAAAGAAAAATTGAGTATTCAAATCGTTTAATCTGGTCTCATGGTCTCTTAAAAATTTTTGAAAAAGTTGGAAGGGAAAATATTGAAAATAAAAAGTTTTACGTGGTTTCATATAACTTTCGACGTAAATTCAAATTCTTCACATAGTCAGAAGCTTGTATCGAAAGCTTAATATTGTCGCATTTGTCAAAGTTTGAAAATGAGCCCGGATTTTGCAAAATCGAAAGAAATTTTCTCGATTTTTCGATGGTTTTATCACTTTATTTTCATTTTTTCTTTTCTGCACTCCTTTTCTTTTGACTTCACGCTCAAAACCAACACTCGAAAAGTGCAAAAGAGGGTGTTCGATGGGATCAATCGATAAATGATGGGCGACGGATCCGACGACGTTCAAACGACGACGTCGAGGCGACGTTTTATAGGCCGTGACCCAGATCGGCTCCTCGGCAGACCTTCTTCCGTCTCTCCCTTCAGTTATCAATGTCCCAGCCATTGGCCGTTTCTGAAACAGCCATGCAAGTGACAAAGATCTTGGATCGACTTTTTTTCAAAGCTTCTACAGCCTTCAGGAAGGTCTAACAAAATAGAAAAAGTCAGGCTTTTCAGCTGCTTTTATTTAATGATCCTTTACCTCGCTGAAATAAAACTTGAGCCTTAGAATCGAGTCAGATTTTAAAAGTTAACAAAAAAAAACTGTCTTTCAGATCACTCGGACCTCGAGACGTTTCTGAGCGATTCTAGGGACCACTTGAGAGTTCTGACGCTACTAAAGTGGTCACTAGAAATTCTCAGAAACGTCGGGGTCGAATCCGGTACGCGCTACCAAGGTCCGAGATATGTGTTGAAAAATCGCTTCTGATTATCCATGGAGCGCATGATCCCTTTTATTCCTATTTGATCACCTTTTTTTAAAAATCCCAGTAAATTATTACTGCAGAAATTCTTATTCATACGAACTGTCCAAGGAAGAAAACTCGAAAACAAAAATTTTTTAAAAAAGCCGGGTATGCGCTCCATGGATTATAATCCGCATCGGTTGACTCTTTTTTGAATTTTTGATTTTTGATTAATTTATCATTGACCGATGTATCTTTTCATCAAAAGTTATTTGGAAACGCAAATCGGACGCGCTCCGGAAGATTCTAGCAATTCTAGAGACCACTTAAAGATACTTGGGACGCTAAAGTGGACACTATACTCGGCAGACACCTCGGCCCGGTGCAACCCCCAAATTTGCTCTCTTTTCCCCATCTTTTGCACTTTGCAAGTGGTAGTGACAAACCGTAACATTTTCGAGTCTTTTTCGTGCGAAAGGAGAGGCTGCACAGTGCTGACCACGAAATTCAAAATGCAAGAAAAAAAAAATTATTATCAACGGTGCGACTTAACCTATTCCCATGGGGCGCAAAAGAGGTAAGCTATTACGATAGCTGCAGATTCTATTTAAGTTCAAAAGATCTACTAAATAAAATTTTAGAATTGAATTTGAGAAAATTACAGATTTGAGATTCGCTTTTTTCGCTCGCTTTCTCCCCTGAAATTGCACTGAATTGACTCGGAATTTCGAAAACTCCACTCTCGAGGTCATTGCGCAATAAAATGTCACCGCGCTCGGTTCTGCCCCTGAATGTGCGAGAAAAAGCACCGAAAATTTAAAGGCCGCATCCCAGATAGGGTCTGCCCGGAGCATAATTCCTGCCGAGTAAATGCTCAGGAACGTCAGGGGAACGTCCGGTTTGAGATGTCCTAGTAAGTTTAAAAAAAATTTTCAATTGATCTCGATTTTCGTCATCTGATTACCCTAATTTTATGACTAAAATGTATTGACTTGAAAAACTCCGTTACCGGGCTTCTACACGAATAACTGAATAACTTTTTTTCCAAGCAAACGGTGATTGAACTCCACCATTTCTTCAATCATTCTCCATTTTTCGACCATTCTCCCGCCTGCGAATCACCAAAAAACCCTCCTCGATGAAGCTAAATAGCCTGTTCACCAAGGAGCGATCGATCTCCCGCAGTCGTATCAAACCACCGAAAAAACTTGTCAAATCGAGCGAGAATAATCAGAAGGTGTGAACTGGATATTCTGGATTTGTGGATCTTGTTCTCCTGGGTCGCTCGCCTCGTGTATCATTCGCCCTGTTGGTCCACCCGCGGCCTTTCTCTTTTCCGCCCAAATCCCGCCGTTTCTCTCGTCTTCATTTTCGTTATTTACCCTTTGAATCTGTCGATTGTGATAAAAGTTCATCTAATTATTTTAGTTATTTTGATTTTTGAGCCTTTTACACCTTCAGATCGAGATTTGACCTTTTTTTAATCACTGGAAAATTTTTTTGTGGCCACTATAGAGGCTCACCAAGGACTATTTGGAGATGACACTAAAGTGGCCCCTAAACCTACCTCTATAGTGGCCACTATTTTCCGTTTTAGTGACCACTATAGAGGTTCTCTATTTAGTGGCCACTCCAGTAGTTATTCATCCAGTATTCCTTCCAGTAATTCTGATAATTTTACAGATTTGACCAGCTATGACGATCCATTGACCCCTAAAGTGGCCACTAAAATGTTTAGTGGTCTGGTAGTAGCACTAAGACCCCTATAGTGGCCACTGATTTTTTAACCCCTTAAGTGGGCCACTACTTTGACTACTATAGTGGTCACTAAAAGGTCAAAACCCTATAGTGGCCACTAAAAATTTTCCCAGTTTTGTCTGCTCAAAAATGCTTGATTTAAAGGATCATAGACTGCTATTTTTTTTTATTTTTTGAAGTGAAAAACAGTTTCCAGAGCTATTTATGGTATTGCAAACTTTTTTGAAAACTCAGAAAAGATTTTTGAAAAAAAAATGTGATCATTGGAAAAAAAAAACTTGATCTTGAGATAAGAGATAACCTGCTTATCACGCCTTCGAAGTCGTTTCGTTTCACGAATTTATATCACCATTTTTTGATTTCATCCAAGTCTTGGTCGCACTTGGAATGGCTTAAGGCGTCGCGGTCGCGTTGCGGCTGGCTTAAATTCCTTTTAGAGAATTAAGATTTTTTTTTTGAAATTTATCTGGTTTCAACTAACTTATAAACCTAAGGTACACATTCAAAACAAAACAACCTTTTTAAGTTGATTTTTTGAAATTTGTAATCTACTTTTTTAGGGGTTTTGAAGCACAATCCTCAATCCTAAACTGTCTCTGTGTACTGAAAAAATTTTTGAACCGTTTTTGAAAACCATTTTTTCAACTTTATAACGTTTCCTCGTCTGTTTCTGACCGAAAGACTATCAAAGTTCGGCAAAACGTCTCCCCGCGACCAAAAAATAGGTCAACACTTTTTGATTTTTACCACTCTTTTCACGTCACTTTTCCACGGAACAAATCGTTTTTGTCTAGACTCTTTGAAGAAAAATGTTACTTTCAATGGATAGACATTAATTCTTGTCACAGTCACTTGGATTTCTAGGCTAAGCACTGTCGTTTCACCGTCTCTCGTGCAAAATGACCCCTTTCCTACCATAAATTCTTTCTTGGGTACGATTTTTTTGTGTTGGATCTTTTTTTCTGTGAATTTTTTTGAAAAAAATTTAAAGTTTATATTCATCCATTTTCACCTGAACCTTGCTGAAAAAAAGGCGTTTTTTTCACTCTTTTATGTATAAAATTTTTTTAATAAATAGTTGAATTTTTCAAAACTTTCCCTATAACCTCCAAAAAGATAAGCCTGTAAATTTTTCAAAAAAAGTCTATTTTTCGGTCGAAATTTTTCCCTTGCCATTCATATTTCACTGTTTCAAATAGAAAACATATTGGGAATAAACTGAAAAAAATAATGATTTTACCAATAAAATAAACAGCTTGTACAAATCTCAGGGCGACTTTATTCAAAAAAACAAACCGGTCTGGTTTTCAAAAATTCAAATACTTTACCAAAAATTAAACCTTATTTACATCTTTTAGCCTAAATTTCTCTCAATTATTTTTCAGATCCCTTCAATTTTCTCTTTTCAAAATTTTTTCAATAGTTTCGCTCTAACCATTAAGTATAACTAGACCTTCTCAATTGGAAGCGACCTTGAAGGAGTATCCGACTTGAAACGACTTTCGCGAAGTGGTATCAGAATTATCAGCGGAAACTTTCGAATCCCGAAACCGCAGCGCAACCGTGACGCTTTGAGTCATTCCAAGTGCGGTCAAGTATTTTCTTCTAAAAATGAGAGCTCCGTCTTTCTTCCATGGAAATTTTCACTTTTTTTTGATTTCTGATGCTTCTCCCTGATTTTTTTTTCAAGTTCTCAATATTCAAAAATTCAGTTTCAACCCTGGTTTTTCAAAATGGTTCTCCTCATACATTTTTTATAAAATCCCTCACCAAAAATTAAATCCTCTTTTCCTCTATTCATCCCTTTTCAAACCGAAATAGATCATAATAAAAAAATTAAAAAGGCTACCTCCTTCCAAGTCTTCTTGAATAAAAGGCAGTACTACATTTTGACGTTATAACTCACCTTTCAATTCGATCAATACTACCTTCTGGGGCTCCAACTTATTCTTACACCTTATTTATTGAAATTTTCGTGAGTCAAGCCCTTCTCCTGGACTGACTGAGTTCTATATCGTATAATTAGGAAGCTTTTTTGACTTTCCAATCTTTTTCCAGTTTTTTTTTGGTATTTTTTAAAATTCAAGCTTAAGTTTCACTTTCTCAATCAAACCCTCATCCATTTTTCAACATAAAAAATCACTATTTTTAATCCTTGAATCTCACGATTTTTCCTAAAGCTCTCAAGATTCAACTCCAAATTCCTGGTTCAGGATGTTACTTGCCGCCTTTTCAAAACGAACTCGGATTTCCTCTACTTTATCCGTTGAATATTCTCCATCTTTTTTGAAGTTCCAAAGCGAAAGTTTCAGGATGCTGTTCCTCATACTTGCCGCGCTGCTCGCCACGGCCGAAGCCCAGAATCCGCTGACGAAGGCGTGGAACGAGGCGGTGCCGGGCGTGCAGCCCTTCTGGGAGAAGTACCAGACGGGGCCGCACGGCGTCGTCATCCGCGGCTGGCAGTTCAGCAGATGCGCCAGCGAGCAATGGACCAACTACGTCGTCAACGTCTCCAACATCGTCATCTGGCCGGATTATCCGCGGTTCCCGGGTCCGATCTTCTTCAACGTCACCATGGACGTCAGCGAGGACTTGCCCGTCGAGAAGATCGAGATGGACCTCGAGGTGAGAGTCGTGGGAAAATTCGTTTTGATTTCGAATCTTGACTACTTTCTCAGGTAAAAGTTGGGAAGCTTCTGCTTTTTTGGAAGCTTTCCAGCAAGTGGCCTAACGCCTTCCACATAGCTTCCCAACACCTTCTACTTAAAAAAAGCCTGCCGGAAGCCTTCCAGAAGCTTTCCAGCAGGCTTCTGGAAGGCTTCCGGTAGGCGTTTTTTATTTTAACCTTCCCAATAATTTCCCTTCTAGCTTCCATACACCTTCTAACCTTCTGCTGGTTACCTTCCCGAGTTGAAGATTACGCTCTTATTTACGTTTATGTGAATTTCATTATAGGATTATTGAAAATAAAGTATTGCAGGTTCGCCACGCCGTGACCAACAAACAAGGCTCCAAGGGGTGGCAAGTAATTCCTTGCCAGGGATGGAACATCATCGACGGATGTGATGGGGTCGGATCTTGGTGGGTTTATAATGTCCTTATATTGCTTTCTATAGCTCCATCCTTTCTTCTTTTTGCGCGGCGTCTTCGCCCCTTTTCCTAACCCTTTATTTGAGGTTCCCTGAGGGCTCCAAGTTTCTAGAAAAATCAAGCCATTTTTTGATTATTAAGACCCAAATACTCGAATTATACAAACCTACAGACTAAATTATGATTTTATGAAATTATCAAATAACTCCTATCGCGGCGGGAATCGAACTTTTGACCCTTTGAACGGAAGACAGGTACACAACCTATTGCGCCATGGTGGGCCTTTAGCTTCTTCTGAGGATTAGAAGAGAGGGGGAGGCGTTTAAAGCGTACAAGCGGAAAGGGGGGGGGGATTTTTCAAAGGGTTTCTAGAAGATTTCCAGTTAAAATAACGTTCTAAAAAGTTCGATTGAAAAAAAGAAAACTCACAGCCGATACTGCGACATGCTGGACAAGTGCAACGAAGCCGTCAAAGGCGCCCACAAGTACATCAAGGACCGGAAAGCCATCGACTTCCTGAAACAGAACAAGGTTTCTTAAATCGTACTGTATCATACTCCAAAAATATACTTCAAAAACAATGACGCAAGCACATCCCTATAGCTTACAAAACCGTTTAAACTTTGATTTCTGTTCAAAATTTGCTAAACTTCCAGCTCTGCCCACCACCCAAGGGACACTGGACCATGACCTTCTCCAAGGTTTTCAGCTCTGAAGACTTGCCAAAGTCCTTCTTCGGACCTCTTCAGTCGGTTAGTTTTGTTTTTTTGGACTATTTTCACATTGAGAACTTTGTGAATTCGAATAAAAAATTTATCAAAAATGAAAAAATGAAAGTTTTGATTCAGAACGAATACTGGTTGACGTTCTCTTTCACCGACGGCAAGGACAAAAAACTCGGATGTGCTCGGTGAGTACTACATTTTTTTCTTATTTTTTTAACTTACAGTAAGAAGGATAAAAATTAATAATTTTTCATGGAAATTTGACGTTGATATCATATCCAAGCTCAAAATATGCCAATGAAGTCTATGAAAACATTTTTTTGGCTTCTAAAATTTTTGAAACTATTTTTTTCTGATATTTAGAAAACTATCGAAGAAATCATCAATCAGCTTTTTCAAAAAATGAAGAAGTTTTTCAATATTTTTAAGAGAAATAATACGTTATCTTTATTTATTAACTTGAATCTGGCCCAATCGGAGCCTTTTTATCTAACTTTGGACTGGTCTAACTTTATTCGAAGACCACATTGCAAATTTTGGAGTCCAAATTCTGAATCCCCGGGAAAAACTGCACCAAGTGAGTATTTTGAACTCTCAAAAGTTTTTTTATAAGGACAATGAAAAATCAAAAAAGTTGCTGAAACTTCGTAGATCTGATTAAGAGAAATTATAACCATAAAAAGAAATAAATTTTACGCTCTTAAGATTTTTAGTTCAATTCTAAAGTCTTACAGTTTGTATTTTTTTTTCCTTTTTGTGAGAAGGGAAACGGGAATGTGACCTATTTGAGGCGTTATAAGTCCACTCCAAATCAAAAAGAGTTCGAATGTTTTTTGAATTTATAAAATTTTCAGGGATTTTACTTCTGCGCAATTTTTTAACACTTTCCAAAATATATTTCCCTTCAGACTCTGGGTGGACGTCTGCAAGTACCACCTCCAAGACAAGGCCCAAAAATGCCTGCGAGACCCGAACGCCTTCAAAAACTTCATCAACGAAATCTCGTCGCAGGCCGATCAGATCCGCAACCGTGGATAAATCTTTCTTGTAATTTATTTGGGTTCCTCTATTTTTCTCAAATTCCTTTGTCTCGCAATCTCACGCTCACTTGTACTTGTTGTTGCTGCAATTCACCGAAAAATGACGGATAATTTGTCTCGTTTGAAAAAGAAAATAAAATTGAATAAGCCGTAAAAAAATTTCATTTTTTGTTCAAAATGACTCAGTCGGCCTCTTCGGCGGCGTATGCGAAGCTTGTGGAACAATCAAGAATTAGAAGGGCAAGATTTTTTTATTGATTTTTTTGTTTTTACTGTACCTTAAAATTTAAAAAAATCAATCAATCAAATAAAAATTTGATTTTTCGAGAAAAATTCAAAAAAAAAATAAAGGATAAAATTCAAATAAAAAAACGTTTTTTTCACTTATTGTTCTCATAAAAAAACACTGTTCAAAAAGTCAATTTTTGATTATTCAAAAAAATTTCATGACTTTTGAAAAAAAGGCTATTCGCCTCAAGACCGTTATGAAAAATTAACATATGCTCCTTTTAAAAAAACCCCCGTTAGCGATTTTTTTGATAAGAATTGATTTTTATTGATTTTTTTCTCAAGCTTTTTGAGGGTTCTCAGAAATCTGATCGAAAATTTATTTTTTCAATGAAAGAAAAAAAGTTTTTTTCTTGTTTTAAAAATCAGGAATATTTTTCAAGATACCAGACTCAAAAAAATTGAAAAATCATGACGGAGTTTCATTATTTCAATAAACTTGATTCCTTTTTTTCAAAAAGACCAAATTTTAATTTTTCTCAAAAAAATTGATTGTTTTTCAGAAATAGCTTGATTCCGGTTAATTTTTTAAAAAAATTTCCTGCAATTCAGAGAAAAAAATTTGAAGAATAAAAAAATCAAATTTTTTTCGATTTGAAAAAAAGAGCACAAAAATAATAAGGTCGTGAAAAAAATCTTGAAAATATTCATTAATTTATAATATATCTTAAAAACAAATGGAAACTTCAAGACCTCGAAGAAAAAAAAATGAAAAATTCCAGGAAATCGAAGGGTTGCACAAGCGTCCACGAACCTACATAAAAAAAGCGTTTCGAAACCCAATGAGAATAAGGAAATCTATCAGTTTCGACTTCGTGGAGTGAAAAAATATAACAAATCCAATAAATCGAATCAAATTCAGGAAGGCGATATTTACAGAAACACATTTTTAACCTTCCAACTTGACCTAACCGTCGAGTATCCCTTCAAACCGCCAATTCTTCGATTTACTCATCCGGTTTTTTCTTATTTTACTTTGGGAAAATGAAACAAAATCATCCGGACCCAGCATATCGATATTTTAGAACTAGGTGACCAAAGGAGGCTTTTTTTCGGCTAGAGAAACTTTTTTTTTGGTAACTTCTGAAGTCTATTTCTTATAGGGAACTCAAAAAAACTTGATAGGTTCGGAGAAAGAAATTTTAATAGTATTAAAGCGTATAGTCAGTAAGGAAAAAGGAGAACAAAATTTTTCAGGAAAGGGTTGTAAAAATAAACAGAAAACGAGGGAAAAGTGGAAAAAAAAGAAATATAGTTACTCATGGAAAAAAAAATCAATAAATGATGATTTTCCGTGGAGCGACTTTGCCGCAGAGTGCGACAATTCAATTTTTTTTTCCGTTTGCTGGAAAAATTTTTAGTGGCCACTATAGAGCACGGTGTTTCTTTTGCGACGCCCCGCCCACTTTTCTCCGTCAATTAGGACGTGTTTAGTGCATGCACAAAAAATTTGGAAAATAAGGTTAACCGATGATATAAGTGTGAGAAACGAATGAACATTGAAGAAAAAAAGACGAGGAAATTAAAATAGATTAAATAAAACTATATTGCTGTGGAGAAGCAAATAAAAGATGTTTTACTGCAAGTACTTTTTATTGTAAAAAGTTGACGGAATATCCGGATATAAATGAATTCCGGAACATACTTTCTCAACTTCACATACTTTTTTCATGTAACTTCATCTCATTGATGTCCACAACCTAGGAATCAGAACAATCGACAAAAATAGAATAAGAAAACATAAAATGGGGTGAAACATGTTCCATACAAACAGGTGGAGATTTTCAAAACGCTTCTTCATCACGAGTTTTAAAGTTAGCCTCACAGAACTACTTTCAAAAAACGTCTAACAACCCAGAGTATACCCCGATCGTGGTCCCGCAATACTATCAGCAATCTACGAAAAAGAAAAAAAGCGAAAAAAATATGAAAAAAATTGACTAAAAAAATCAAAAAAATAAAGCCACTTTTTTTCAAATTTCGCGGGCGAATTTCGAGAAGTGCGCAGACTTTGCCGAGTTTCAAATTCCTTGCATTTTCTTCAACTGGCAGAAACGCCGTGAGAGGCTTGCCAAGGACTACTTGGAAAGAACACTAAAGTGGTCACTAAACCCACCTCTAGAGTGGCCACTATTTTCAGTTTTAGTGGCCATTATAGAGGTTCTCTATTTAGTGGCCACTTCAGTAATTTTTCATCCAGTATTCCTTCCAGTAACTCTGATAATTATATAACAAACAGATTGGATCAGTTATGTTGATCCATTAACCCCTAAAGTGTCCACTAAAACTTTTCATGGTCTAGTAATAGCACTTAAACCTCTATAGTGGCCCTTAATTTTTAACCCCTTAAGTGGCCACTGATTTGACTACTATAGTGGCCACTAAAACGTCAAAACCCTATAGTGGCCATCAAAAATTTTTCCAGTAGATGATTTTCCGTGGAGCGACTTTGCCGCAAAGTGCAAAAATTTGATTTTTTTATATCGATTTCGTTTTTTCCATACTTTTCAGTTTTTAAAAGACCTTTTTCAATAAAAAGCTCTATAATATGATTATTCTTAACTCAAAACCTTACTTTATACTGCTCCAAAACCATAAATAATCATTTTTTTCAAAGATGTACCATCCAAACGTGGATCAAATAGCCAACGAAATGTGCTCCTCACTATTGAGCTCAGAAAATTGGAAGCCTGCGACTACCATTGAAGATAGTTGGCATAATTATTGGAATATAAGTTCATTTTGAACTGCTTTCAGTCCTTCTGAACGTGTTGGAGTTGCTCAACGATCCGGATCTCTCAAGGCCTGTCAACTTCGAAGCCGCTCATGATTTTATTGAGGTTGAATTTGCAACTTTCGAATTTTCCTAGAAAAATAAGTTCAGAACCACGAGAAGTACGTGAAGAAGTGCAGCGAACTTGCGCGGCGGCAAACTAGTTGAACTCAACTTTTTCCTTGATTTTTTTTTGGTGATAAAGAATTTATTCAAATTGCTGACGTGTGAAACAAGTTTCCGAAAACCAAAAAAAAACGTTCATTTCAATTGAAAGCTGAAATTAGCGTGAGATTTCAAACAACATCAAGCTTCATTTCCACCACCTACGTACGAAGATCGACAGCTCATCCGAACTCTTCTCTGGCAGGTCTTTCTTCTTCAAATCCAACTGGAGACTTTGAAAAAGGGCTTGAAATGAAGCCTCAACTTCAATTTCAAAGGAAAAACCGGAAAAAGAGCACTCCAAGAGAAAATGAAACGTTAGGAAAAAAAAGAGTAGGAATTTCATTTTCCGAATTTCATGCATAATTTCTTCCGAGAAGCCTGTTTTATTTGAACTTTCAAAATTATTCAAACTGTGACTTGAAATTTCTCGGCGAAGCTTTTTTTGAAAAACCCTTGTTTTTTTCGCTCTTCAGAAGAAAAAAACCGAAGCTCTTTTAAATCAAATTAAAACTCTGAAGATTTGAGAAAGAATGAAAATTTTTTTGGATCAAACTACTCAAAACGAAAAAAAGAAAGACTTTTCAAGCAGAAAATTGCGTGAAGATCGTTTCGAAAAAGTCATTCAATCGAAAAACAGAAAATTCTGAAATTTTTCAAAACACCATTGAGCTGTTGTTTCTCGCTCGAATGAGAAAGTTACTTATTATCTATGGAGCGTAAACGCTTTTATTTTCACGGCTATTTATTATCAGAAGAGAAAGAAAATTAAATTCAAGCGTTAGCCACGTAATCAAGCCGAAATGAATATTTAATAGTATCAAGTTTAATTTTTCAATACTTTCAGATGGAAGATTGGGATGTGCGGACAGCAGAAACGTTGACGAGCCCACCAACAAGTACAGGTATACGGTAGCTCCAAAACTACAGTAACCCAATTTTCCCCCAGCAATGCACTACTCGTCTCCAAATACTGCAACCAATTCCAGCTTCATGGTTTTTTTCAAATAAACTCCTACCGTAACCTCATTTTTTTAGAAAAACCAAGGCGACTCAATGGAACAGCCGTTCTATTTGGTTACCGAAGATGGAGTGAAGGTTTTACCTACTGTAGGGCTACTGTAGCTTAATTCTCTACAGAAAGAAGTCGACCGGTGCGAACTCGCTTATTACTCGAAATTCTTCCGTTCACTGTTCACCAGTGATTATTCTGACTCCCGATCGTCAGTTTTCAGGTTTTGAGTTAGATGTGCAGGTTTTCAAGAACGGATTACGGTAGACTGAGCATCGTCCACTCGTCGGACATCGAGGCCCTGCTCGGAGTGCACAAAGACTTTGAGCGCGGCCTGTCTCCCCAGTTCAGCATCTCAGAAGCCCTTAATGTTAAGGACTACTGTATTCTGAGGTTACGGTATCATTTTTGTAGCTACTGACGCCTGCCGCCTACCTACAGTTCGACACGGTTGTTGAATACCTATCTAATGTCATCGCCGCCAAAGTAACGCCACAAAGTGAGGAAAAATGTACAGAAATCTTTGCTGGAGTTTAAAGGAGCATGGAAAGGTCTCAAGACGAAAACTGTTTTCAATGTTATTTCGAGGCTTCTTTTAGCATTTCAGCAAGGATCTTTTAATATTTATGGAGTACTGTATGATTTAGATATAATCACGTTACTACGGTACTCATTAATGAGATCGGCGTTATTAGCCCGCAAAATCTGGAGCGTCATTGTCCGGGAATTTCAAGTGGTGAGTGAGCAACGAGGAAAAAAAAAATCTCAACTTTTCAGCTCTACGCAACAAAGGAATTCCTAAAACTACAAGAATCGGAGCTCATTGCACTATTGTCGGACAAGAACCTCGTGATCGACTCCAAAGACGAGGTGAACGTTGTCGAAGAGTGGCGAGCCGTAAGTGACGTCTTCTTGAGAAGCCGTGACGTCTTCAGGCTCATCCGGAAAGCACGCGTCTGACTTCCTTCTCCAAGGCAAGGTTCACAAAACGACATCTTCCTGACGGAGCCTACAATCCAGTGATAAGAAATCGGGTGCCAGCAGAAGCCATTGTAGCCCATGGTAACAAATTCGCATACTGAATAGTTTGAAATTCTTACTGTTTTGGTAAAATAATTGGCTGAAACCGTGAATTCCTCGAAATGATAAAAAAAAAATGCGGCCGTTTGCTCAATAAATTATTTAAAATTTCTCTTAACTTCTTCAAACCACACAGCCAGGATGTGAAATATAATATTTCATCATTCAAAAAGACATTTACAAACATAGAAAAAAAAAAAAAAAAAAAAAGGAAAAAAGTTCTTTTGCCACAGTAAGAAAAAAATTGTCACTGAAGCACACTTGCTGCAAAAAAACTTAATAATTCTTTTTTTAAATTCATTTTTTTGTTAGATTCTTTTTCAAAGAAGTGGGAATTTTAGGAGGTTGGGGCAACAATGGAGCCACAGCGATTATCGAAATCTACAACAGCCGTGCACAACGATGGTATCCGTGTAGGCTTGGTTTGGAGTCAGTTTCCTATTACTTTTTATTTTTTTTTTGAATGATTCGTTTGGATTTCTCTTGAAGTAGAATTCTTTTTTGGAAGGAATTTTGTTTTCGTAACGACTGACTTTATTTAGATCGCCTATTAATTAAAAATACTTGTTCAGAAGCGAGCCTCCTCGAGCGTATCACGGCGTCGAGCTTATCAACGATTCCCTCGTCGTTTGCGGCGGTTTCGACGGTGTCACTCAATTCCAAACGACTCGGATATTCGACCTACCAACCAGAGTTGGAAATTTCCTCATTTCGGACCAGAAAATACAAATTAATCTCGTTCAGAAGTGGCGAGATGGCCGGAATATGAACGAAAAGCGGTGTTATTTGACAACAACGCAAATTGTAGATAGCTACGGCCATTCTCACATTGCCGCCTGTGGAGGGTTCATTTTAGAGGTTTTATCGCTTGAATTTTGAAAAAAGTTCAGTTTCAATGGCACGAATCGATTATTATCCGTCGAGTTTTACAATCCAATTGTCGACAAATGGGCAAAAGGAGCTTCTTTGTCGAAAGTCAGGTGCGGGAAAGTTCTTTAGAAAGAAAAGTTTTTTTTTGCAAAAATTAGTCTGTTCTTAACTTTTCGGAACGTTTAGACCTTTGAAAAAATATTGAGACGAATTTTTCCCTACTCAAATTCACGTAGTTTGGTGAGATTACCATTTCAGAAAAAATATAATTTCACTGTCTAGTTTCTCATTTTAGTGATATTAAATTGTGAAGTTTCAAATCGATTTTTTTAAAAATTATTCGGTAATGATTAAGAAAAACGCTTCTTTGTCACATTTGTGATATCATCATAAGTTTTTAAAATATGGGGTTGAACTGGTTTTTTTTTTTCAGTGCGTATCAGATTTCCTATCTCGCGCTCTAGTCTGTTTGAATGGTTTTCAATTTTTTAAGGCTAGCCTAAATTCTTAGGTCCGATGGAGCAACATTCACCTTAAATGGTAAAGTTTACTGTGTCGGCGGCTTTGACGGCAGTTCAATGCATTGGGACGCTGAATATTTCGATGCAGAGGCGAATTCTTGGTATGGATTTTTTTTTTCAGCAGCTCTTTTCTGATAGTTTCATGGCCCAATAGAGGGAGAAAAAAAGTGCCCAAATTTTAAATGTCAAGTCGTTGCTCAAGCTCCGCTTCGCGGCGCAATACCCATAAGAATAAATGCTGCTCAAGGATACACAAGCCTAAAAGATTTTATGGAACTTTTTGAAGGGTCCAAATGTCGCGACACATGAGGATACGAAGGACCGGCTGTGCCGGAACCGCTTTGACAGATAATGTTGCGATTGTCGGCGGAGGGTATTTTCTGCGATTTTTCTCCGGTGACTGTAGGCGAAATTTGAAGGTTTGACGGCCGAAAAAGGCTCAACTCGGCCGAGATGATGGACCGACGAGAGGGAATCTGGCATCCCTTGCCGGAAATGTTGACAGGACGGTAAGATAATTGAGATCACTTTTTTTAAAGATTTCTGTTCCAAGGTGAAAAAGTAGAGATTTTGACAGGTCTACTTGTAAATTTTGGCTTTGAAAATAAGATTTACAGCTTTTTAATAGATTTTTCGTGTTCCTCTGTATTACCCAATTTCAGTTGAAATATGGAAATATCCCACAATAAGAATTCATCTTTATCTCTTCTCTTCTTTGCAATTTCTTTCAAATCTAACTTTTTTTTTGATTTTTTCCTGTACCTTGTGAAACTCTGTAATTAAAAGTCCTCAAGATTGTGAAAAACTATTCGCAAAAACCTCAAAAAGTCGAGCACTGAGATATTTGTATTTTCCTCTCCTATCAAATATTTTCTGAACCTTATTCGATAATTCAGTTTTTTTGAATGTTTTTTTCCTGTAACTTGTGAAATTCTGACCAAAAAGTTAAGGTCAAACTTTGGTATGAGCGTCCTCGGCAACTATGTTCACGTGGCCGGCGGCTTTGACGGTGAACGGACAACTCACGAAAATGAGCGCTTCGATTTTAGGAATCGAAGGTGGCAGGTTGGACGGTCTAATGAAAAAAAAAGAAATATTGGGAGCTTATTTCTTTGGGATTTCGCGAAATTCAAAAATAGCCATCAGAGAGTGAGAAATACAATGAATTTCAGAAAATCAGATATTATTTTGAATTTTGCGAAATTACTTTGAACGTGGCATGTGCGAGAGCGCCGCAGTGCATGCACACAAAACACGACAACTTACGGAAAAAATATGAGCGAGGCGTCGCCAAAAAAAACGCCGTGAAAAAAGCTTGCCAGACCTTCTTATTGATATTTCGCAGGAGTCGTGTGAATTAAAAAAGTGGAAATTTGAGGCGCTGCCAGACTTGTCGGAGACGAAATCCGCCCTGCGGCTGATCAAGATCGCGTCTCAGCCGACGCTCGAGGCGCTGCTCCACGTCCCCGACGAGAAGATCGTCGTGGAATGGTAGCCAAGGCCTCCCAGATGACTGACTGACCGACGAGTGTGGACCCCCCACTGATCAACTACTGACGCCACTGCGCTACTTGTTCCCCCCGAGATTTGAATTTCGATAATGATCCGTTGCAAACGTCCTGATAACCTCATAAACGCCTTTGGTTCTGTGTTTTTTTTTTCCGCAAAATTGACTTTTTGCCTGTTTGAATCAATATTTGGAGAATTGAACTTGAAGAAAACATTTTTCATATTTTGACGGGATTTTATTGCTAATATTAATTAAAAATCTTCACTCCATCAAAAAATTGAAGAAAGTTTAGAGTTTAAAAAAACATCCGGGCTCTTAAGCCACGATGATTTTGTTAGTAGAAGAAAATGCAAATCCAAAAATGAAGGGGGCGTGGTCAAAATCTCTGCCGTTCCCATGTGACGTCATGGAAAAAACGCGTAAACAACAGGGAATATCAAAGGCGCATGTTCAATGGGTCATGAGGCGAATCTATTTCTCCTTTAAAAAAACGCGATTTTTCTGTTTCATTGTTTAAAAAAACAAATGCCGTGTTGAAAATGATTCCGCGAAATTCAAAATAGCCACTAGAGAGTGAAAAATATAATCGAATTTCGGAAATTCAGAGATGATTTCGAATTTCGCGAAACTACTTTGAACGTGGCATGTGCGAGAGCGCCACGGTGCATGCACACGACACACTAAACTTCACAGAAAAAAATATGGGCGACCTAAAAACGCCGGGAAGAAACGGGTTTTACAAAATCTGATTTTTGGGTGCTCTTTTCTCTTTTTTCCTAGCACTTTCTTTTTTTTTTCGGACCCCGAATGAATTAGGCTAGCAGCTTTGAAGTCCATAGTTTTAATAATCTTTAATATTTTCCCCAATTTTTTTCACAGGGTTTTTTTGAAAATTTAAAAAAATCCAACCGTTTTTTTCATGTCTTCTCAGTTTTTTTTTATAAAATATCAAAATAAAATGTTCATTAATGCAACGCATCACGCCGTGTAGCTAGATTTCTCTTCGGAACGGAATTTTTGCTCTTGTACTGTTGATAAAGTGAAGAAAGGAAAGACACAGGGATAACTGTAGGGATGAGGAAGTAGTCGAAGGCGTAGAATGAATAGACGAGAGGAACTTTTCGGAAAGCTGAGCTCAGAAGTCACGGAGGAAGGACCAAAACCAATAGGACCTGTAAGTGAAGTGAAGTTTAGTAATGACCCATCTTATAGTCTGTGTGCCACGACTTGGAATTTCACCGAACGACATTCCGCTCGGTCGCTGCGCGCCTTTGCGAACCTTGGTCGCGCTTTTAATTTTTTTTTAAGGTACTCTACTTTCATGTGCTCCCACAGCAATAGAAATCGGTTGAAAGCGTGACCTAGAATCGAAAGACGCTTCGCGAACGCACGCAGCGGAACAGCGGAATGTCGTTCGGTGAAATTCCAAGTCGTGGCACACAGACTATAAGATGGATCATTACTAAATTTCAAGTAGTAGAGTACCTTAAAAAAAAAAATTAAAAGCGCGACCAAGGTTCGCAAAGGCGCGCAGCGACCGAGCGGAATGTCGTTCCGTGAAATTCCAAGTCGTGGTACACAGACTATACTAGGGAATGTTTTTTTCCCATCGGTCGAAATTATGACGAAACTTTGCTGGAGTCTACTCTAGGACTTCTTTTTTCGAGAACATGAAGAAATTTCTCGCAATGGTTCTCGTTTTCTAGTTATGAAGCTTTTAAGTTTGAGAAATACGCAAATTATGACGTCAAATTTTCAAGCCTTTGAAGGATCCTAACTTTGAAAAAAGATCTATTGCGAGAAATTTTTTTAAATGTAATTAGTAGGTCTTGAAGTACACTTCAGCTGAGTCTCATCGAAATAGTATAGTCTGTTCAGATTTTGAATGTCCAGTCGTCGCTCAAGCTCCGTCCTTAATGGCGCGATAAACCAATCAGAGAGCGAGCCATCCACAGAGTGTTTTTGAATGACGTCATTGCTTGACATTAAAATTTTGAACAGACTATACAACGGGATGGGGGGAGTAAAAAGTTCACTAGCAAATTCACTTTTTCTCACCATTTTGGCAATAGCAAAAAGGCAACGCCTGTCTCATAACTCTCTTCTCGGGTCGATATTGCTTTTTTCGAAATCAGCGAAGCCATCACATGAACTTTTCTGTACACTAAATAGTATAAAACGATACTTAACGCCGCAAAAAGTTTGTCGCATATCGCGAAAGTCTGGAAAAAAGCTCAAATTGTAAATTAAACAGAAAGTAGCTCACATATATGATCGAAACGTCTCTAGTTCTTTGACAACGAATTATTGGATCGTGAGGAGTGTAGTGGCAGGAATCTGGAACACACATAACTCAAAAATTTATTTTTTTTTCACTCACAGATAATCAGTCCCTAAGTGAAAAAAAGCAGAGGAGCCAAGCGGTCCAAACACAAAAATTTCAACTTTTTTTCCTGAAAGTATTTTAAAAAAATTCTTTTTATTAGAAATAAAGTCTTACCCAGTCAATATTCCGTGATAACATGGACGACAACAGACCACAAAAAACCGTTGTAAAGTTAAGAGAGTTAGTAAAATATTGACATTCAGAGGAATCATCGGAACTGTCAGAAAATAATAAATATAGCTGAAACCCGCGATAGCTAATGAGAAGATAGCTTTGCTGAAAAATGGAAATCGAATAAATTTTAATATGGAGTTTTTTCCAGAAATTAAGAAAATGAAAAGGGGTTTTTCAGTTGGTGTTTTTCGTTTTGTAATTTTTTTTTCAGGTAACTATCCAACGTACTCATGTTCTTTGTTCCGTTCCACAACGCAAAATGAACTTATGGCTGCGAACAAAGCAAAACATCCGAATTGAGTCATCGTGGTCGAAGCCGTCAAATTATTGAGCAAAGAGTCGTACATTTGCTGAACTCTTCTATTTTATATAGTGTGTGTGCGACGATTTGAAATTTCACCGAACGACATTCCGCTGTTCCGCTGCGTGCGATCGCGAAGCGTCTTTCGAATCTAGGTCATGCTTTCAATTGATTTTTATTGCTATGGTAGCACAGGAAAGTACCTTAATAAAAAAAAGAAAAAAAAAACTAAAAGCGCGACCAAGGTTCGCAAATGCGCGCAGAGGCACAGCGGAATGTCGTTCCGTGAAATTCCAAGTCGTGGTACTATAACATTTTCACACATTGAACTCACTTTTTCTTTTTTGTCGAGGCTTTTAAGATAAAAGAAGAGATACGGAGGCACGATAAGGACAATCGTCACGATTAAAATCAAGATACAAGTTATAATCACGAAAAATAAATAGCCAGTCAGAGCTTGTTCTTCGTTGAGGTCGGTTGTGAATTTGTTGACTGCTTCGAAGATTTTGAGTAAGTCCATTCACGAACTTGAAACTATGGAAAGTGGTGGTGATATTGGCGTAGGCGCAACTTTTTTGAAACATCTGCTCGGAAGTTATTTTGAGATATGTCATTAGACAACATTTTCTATTAGAACTATCTCACGCACTCAAAATCACAATTGAAAAAATAGTTTTATTCCTGGGAAAAATTTAGAGGTCTAAGTGCTACTACTAGGTCACTAAAAATTTTAGTGGCCACTTTAGGGGTCAATGGATCAATATAACTGTTCCAATCTGTTTGTTTTTAAATTATCAGAGTTACTGGAAGGAATACTATATGAAAAACTACTGAAGTGGCCACTAAAACGGAAAAAGTGTCCACTATAGAGGAGGGTTAAGTGGTCACTTTAGTGTCCTCTCTAAGTAGTCCTTGGCGAGCCTCTATAGGGGCCACTAAACATTTTCCCAGTTCTAAGCCAAAATATTAAGTTTCAGGTTGGCATCATATTTCTGTATCTTTGTAGAAAAAGATGCTCAAAATTATTCTCAATGTTTTATTATTGAAAAAAAAATTTTTTTTGAGGAGGGTCATATTTTTTTCAAATATATTCTTCAGTTAATTTTCTAAGATTCCGAATCAAGAACTCCAGAGTGGTTCCTATAGGGGCATCCTTGAAGGGCCTCTAGGGAACACTTTACCTCTTTCTAGAGGGATCGATTTAGCTTTATGGGCTCGGCATTCAGACCCGAAACCCCTATAGAAGCCACTTAAATTTTGCTCTTTTTTTTGTTCCTTATAGGGGCTGGTTTTTCCTCTAATCCTTATAGGGAGCACTCTGGCGATCCTGAGGATAAAAAAATTGAAATAAGAAATTTTGAATTTCCTACATAATTTTTAAAATATTACTTCAGCTTTTTTTCTCAGTTCAAGTCAAATTTTTTTCCTCCATTTCCGGCCGATAAGAAGATCACACACATTTGTAAAATTATCAAACACGCGAAAAATTTATCATTGATAAGGATTCGATATAAAAAAGGATTCAGTAGAACAAAAATTGTCCATTTTTCAAAATGCATCAGGTTCTCCTATTTCTTGTCATTTTTATCTAGCCTTCATCCTTCAGAAAGTGTTTTGGTTCGTTTTTTTGATAATTTCGAGAGGATTTAGAAAATTTCAGGGAATTGAAACATCATCCGCCTTCCAACAGTTCAAAAAAACTACACTCAAAGGTAATAATTTTTTTAGAAAATGAAAAAAATTCCTGTGGAAACGATTATTCAGATATTCGAAAACCTATCATTCCGGTGAAGAATTTCGAGCTCGTTTTCTTAATTTTCAAAAAAATCTTCAAGTTATTGAGAAGTAAGTTTGAATTAAAGGAGATTTGACAAGTAATTTTGACAAAGATTAATAGAAAAATCGGATGGAACGACTCGATTTGGGGTCAATGAATACACTGACATGAGCTGGGAAGAGTTCATAAAGGTTGAAATTATTATTTTTAAAGTGGAATTTCTGATTTATTTGCGGTATCGATGCAAATTCAGCTGTTTTTGATTAAACCGAAAAAAAGGGATACTGGGAAAATTTTTATTGGTCACTATAGAGGCTCGCCAAGGACTTCTTGGAGAGGGCACTAAAGTGGCCACTAAAACCACTTCTATAGTGGCCACTTCAGTAGATTTTCATCCAGTAATCCTTCCAGTAACTCTGATAATTTTAAAACAAACAGATTGGACCAGTTATGTTGATCCAGTGACCCCTAAAGTGGCCACTTTTTTTTTTTTAGTGGTCTAGTAGTAGCACTTAGAACTCTATAATGGCCACTAATTTTTGAAACCCTTAAGAGGCCACAAATTTGACTACTATAGTGGCCACTAAAACGTCACAATTCTATAGTGGCCACTGAAAATTTTCACAGTAATTGATTTTTTTCGTATTTTTTTTTCCATATTTTATCGTTCCATTAAAAAAGAGACAATTTTTTAGACCATGCTGATGACCAACAAGCCAAGTTTCGAGTTCCAAGAAATTTCTGAAGCGACACCGAAAGTCAACCGAACTCAACTCCGAGTTTCCGACCTCGACTACCGTCAACGGGGCATCATTGGTCCCATCAAAAATCAAGGGAAATGCGGCGCGAGCTACGCTTTCGCCACGGTTTCCGTGGTGGAGGCGATGGCGGCCAAGCAGGGCCGAGGTCTGAACGTCCTTTCGGAGCAGCATCTCGTCGACTGCGTCCCCGACGGATGTTTTGGAGGAAGTCTCGAAAAGGCTTTTGGGTCTGTTTTTTTCATGTGACTTCTGATTCACGGCTGACTTAAGACATCGAAAAAAGGGTCCTGAAGCAATGAAAAAAAGACAGTGATTGGTTAGTGGTGAGCTCAGACAAGCCACGCCCCCTTAAAGTCCCAAGCTAGACTTGAATCGGCTATATAATCGATTTGGATTGAGAAAACAGAAAATAGGTCTCGAGACGATTATAAGAAGGAACACGTGGTTTTACGTGGATATAAGTTTTCTCGCCTCTTAAGTCAACGATGAATAGGCTATACTTCCTAAATAACGACAGAGCGGTCATTGAAGGGGCTAGGGATAAAATGTAGGGGATGAACTTCATTGGGGAACTTTTGGGGAGTCTTGATGATCGAAAAAAAAAGGAAATTAGGGGTTGGTTTTGACAGCAACAGACCTCAAACGGTTTAGCGAATTTGCTGCGTTGAGTGTATCTCTGTTTGTTTACTCTTCACACCTCCCCGACAAAGAGAGATATGATGACGACATAAACACCCAACAAATCGATATACAACTCGGCGGACCCGTTCCAGGTCGGCTGCAGCCAGATCGCCGTCTATATAAGGCAGATCTTTCTGACGGTGCTATCGGTGGTGCTGCCCGATTTTCGTCTGAATGATCGCCGATTTGTGATGCCGTATCTTTAGACAGTCCGCCAGTGACTTCCGACGGCCCGGACTGGCTGCCGCGGTGAAAGTCGCTTCGAAAGGTCCAGTCCCAATTGCTGAGCCGCCCCAAAAAACCTACCAAAACAGTAGAATTAGTTAAAAACCTTAACAGCACCACCCATGGGGACTCGAATGTCCAAATTTTTTTAAAAAAAGAAATTTATTTTTTTATTTTTTTAAAAATTTTTTTCTGATGTCTTCCGATAGTCCCAAGAGAGATGCTCAATCTTTTTTTCAAAACTTTGTCAGCCGTTTTTTTCAAAATTTTTCCGAGGATCTGTCCCTTTTTAGCTATTTTTTTGAGCTTGAATAAATTATAGAAGAAGATGTTGTGAAGATTCAATTTTTCATAATTTTTTTCATACAAATCGTGAAGACGTTTTTTTAGACTTTATTAAAAAATCGTAACCTTTCAAGTTGACTTTTCGATGGCTCCCACAAGCTTGTTTCAAAGACTTAGGAATTTCCTAGTAGAAAACCTCAAAACTTATTCACCGAGGTTAAAATTTTACTGTTACGTATCTGGAAAAAAAGAGCAAAAAAAACTTTGACCTGGCGAGGACTCGAACCTGCGACCTTTGGGTTCCTTGGAATCGGAGACTTTTCTACAATTGGACGGATTCGGAAGCGTGGAAAAAAGCTCCATAGAAATGTTCCTTTTAGGGTGATGAAGACTTCCTTGTTGCTGCCTTTTTGCGCCATTTCATCGGCCCTTATGCACCATTTTTGCTGCCTCTCCCTTTTCCACCATTTCTTGAGCCTTCAAAATCCCTGAAAAAAATGGAGGGCTCGATAAAGGGACTCTCTTTGCAGCCTTTTTGCGACCTTTTTCACGCTTTTTCACGGCGACACCAAATCGACGCCACACCCACCTCAACGGCGAAAATAAAATGTGTTGTACGCAGTGCACACGATGCATGAAAAGCGACGCGCAAAAAGCGAAATTGATCGTTTATAGTAAATAAAATCAATTTTCTGGCTGGTATTTATCCAGGGATCGCCGGAAAAAATTTCTACAATATTAATACAATACAATACAATATTTATTGGTTGTTTTAGTCAGATGGTATCGACTAGGCGGTGAAAAAATTGCTCTTTTGAGCGGCACTAACACCGCCTTTGGCGAAAAAGAAGTCAAAACGTGTAGTCGATTGAATTGAAAGCATGATCTTACGGTCCTTCGCCTCGTTCTTCCACAAGTTGATCCCTCAGTTTCGCTTGTACGGGCACGGCGATGATGGTGGGGCTCGGGCACGGACTCCGTGTACACTCTAGGGTAGCCTCGGCCGACTGAGAGAGCTACCACTTCGAGTGAAGAAAATACACGGAATGAAGAAAATACACGGAATATTTAAAAAAAAATCCCAACCAGAATTAAAATGTAGAGAAATAACTACTTTTAAAACTAATACTTTATTTCAACCTACAAAATGTTTTTCTAACCTCTAAACACTAGTGAAAATCTTGAATTTACAATAAAAAACAAGATTCTGTCACAAAAAATTCTTATGTAACGGGAAAAAAAAATTCTTTGAGGTTCTCCCTTTTAGCGGCCATTATCCAGCATTCCGAACTTGCCCGAGAGTTTTGCTATACCTCTTAAAAAAATCCAAAGCTTTTTTTGAATTTTTGAGAACTTTGAAAAATGCACTTTTTTCAGGTCCGCAAAAGACTTTGGCCTCCCTTCCGATAGTGACTATCCTTACAAAAAAGCCCAGCAAAGGTGTCGTGGCGCCACCCCAAAAGTAAAAAAAACCTCTTCAAAAAATTTCTGATTTAATTTCAAGATCAAGCTGAGAGAATTCCTTCGAATGTCGCCAAATGAAGAAGAAATGGTTTATTCCTTATTGGACGGTGGTCCAATGGCCGTTAGTGAGTTAAAACATTGAATGAATTCTTCAGAATAGGATAATTTATAGCCTTCAAAGCTGGACCGTCTTTCCAGCACTACACTGGGGGAATTTTGCAGAGTAGGGACTGCGAATCAACGGTGGGTAATGTAAAAATTGCCAAGCTTTTTAAATAGTTGGCGGCAATTGAATTGAACTTGTGCCAAGAACCGCGTACGCACACGCTACGCGTCCCGCCCCTTGCCCCGCCTCCCTCGCCTTTCAAGTCGGGAAACATTGACTATAAACAGAACGTTGAAAATTTCGCCAAGACTCTCAAAATTTACAAATAAACGTTTAAAATGATTCATTTTTTAAGGTAAAGCCATGAAAAAAAGGCAGAATTTTTCGAGATTAATCCATTTTTTTACCCTTTTTGAATCAAAAAAAGACATCCTAGTTGCTGGATTCGTCAAACTTTTTTTAAAGACATCTTTGAAAAAAATCAAAAAAATCAAAAAAATTTATGGATAAACATTATAAAAAAATTTGTTAGGGCTTTTTAAAGGAGCATAGAAAATGCCATAGAGGTCTCGAAACGAAAAAGCCGCTTTAAGATCTTTTGTCATGATGTGCCTTTAAATTAGTGATAAACAGGATGTTGTAAATTTCGCCAAGACTCTCAAAATTTCCAAATAAACGTTCAAAATGATCCATTTTTTAAGGTAAAGCCATGAAAAAATCAAAATTTTCAAAATTAAGCCATTTTTAATCCTCTTTGAATCAAAATGGACACCCTAGCTGCTTATTTCGTCGAATTTTACACAAAAGAGACCTTCGTAAAATCAAAGAACGGAAATTTTCATGATAAACAGTACAAAAAAACTTGTTGGGACTTTTAAATGAGCATAGAAAAGGTCGTAAAGGTCTCGAAGCGAATAGCCTTTTTCGAGTTTTTAGATCATGCTGCGCCTTTAAATTAGTGATAAACAGAATTTTGTGAAATTCGCATTGACTCTTAAAAATTCTAAATAGACGTTCGAACTGCATTCATTTTTCAAGGTAAAGCCATGAAAAAAATCAAAATTTTCGAAATTAATCCATTTTTGATCCTGTTTGAGTTAAAACATCCTAGCTGCTCATTTCATTAAATTTTACTCAAACGTCGCTAATCAAAAAACGATAATTTTTATGATAGAAAGTAGGGCGTTTTTTTGGCTACGCCCATATTTTTCCGTAAAGTTTAGTGTGTCGTGTGCATACACTGCGGCGCTCTGGCACACGCTTTTTTTCTTCCACTAACAAAAACGCCGTGTACTGACAAAGGACTTTTAAAGGAACATGTAGACAAGGTCGTAAGGGTCTCGAAGCGAATAGATATTTTTTGAGCTTTTCAGGTCGTTCTGCGCCTTTAAACGTCTTTTTTAATTTTCTGACAATCTGTAAGAATTGTCGAGCGCGTTGATATCAATTTCAACTTGAAAATCTTAAAAACAAGCTTTTTGTGTAAGCTTTCAAAATGGTTGAAAGAAGCTTTCAAAATGGTTATAAATCGACCAAGTCTTCAGTTCGGTTGGTTGTCAGTCTCGTTGATCGGCTTCGGCGTCGAAGGTTCCAAGGAGTTCTGGTTGGGGCGCAATTCGATGGGACTCGGTTGGGGAGAAGGCGGCTATTTTCGAGCAAAAAGGAACGTCACTTGGTGCGCCATCGCCAATGATCCCATAGCTGGATTCGTTTGAATTTTATTGTCATTTTTGTGTTGATAAACTCGTTTCGGGTCTCGGAAAAATTCAGAAAAATCATAAGAAATTTCAAAATAATCGTAAACGTCTTGGAACAAATCTTCCAATAAATGAGATTTTTCAAGTTTCCCACAGTGAGTCATAGTTTATATCTTGGAAGTTTTGATTCAAAATAAATAAAATTTTTTTAGTTGAGCTACAGTAATCATGAGTACGGTAGCCTTAAAATTTCCCTTTATTTAATTCATTTTTTTGACCGGAAAAAAATAAGGAATAAGGACCCTCCAATAAACTAAATTATCTTTTAAAAAAATGAGCTTATTTGTTAATTTATCTACAGATTCCGTTAAGAAATTCATTGATTCCCATTTTTTTCAAATATCAAAAAAAGGCCAATAATTCAATCTTTTTCCTCTCAAAGCTCTTTCAATCTTTTTTTCCTCTCAAAGCTCTACCTTTCGAAAAAAATAAAACATTTATCCAATACTATGAATAAAGAGAAAAAAACCAGGATTTCGAGTTTTCTGAATTCGCCGGTAAAGGAAGAAAACACCAGGAGAAAAGAGAAAAATGAATAAATAAAAATTCGAATCAAAGTTGCTCCGAAGCGATTTTTGGAGCAAGTATTCAGCAAGAATGTGTTTTTTTTTTGTCTTTGAATAAATCCGATAACAATTAAAGGGAGCATTACCCATAAAACGAGTTGCCGCTTGACTGAAATGATAAGAAAGGGAAAACAGAAAATTCTGGCAAAAACCGAGTAAAAAAGGTATTGAAATGGTTTCGTTTGGCGTTTTGAATGAGAATCGATACCCTAGAAGAAACGGAAGACACGAAAGCTAAAAGTTTATCTTCGAATCTACCGGGGAAAAGGTGAAGGAATTCAAAAAACGAAGGGAACAAGAGAAAAAAAAAAGAGAGAAGAAATCAGCCGACGACAACTTTTCCCGTGTCTTCTTTTCCGGCCATTCTCGGTTTTCCGACCGTGAATGGGATGTAGCGGTACTTGATCATGTGCTGGAAAAATTAAATCTTTTTTTTTTGATAAAAAAATTCGTATTTTCTATATTTATTGCATCAGTTCAGTACTTGTATGGGAGAAATAAAAATTTTTTTCGATTAATTTTTCAAATTTTTTTAATAATGAAGCTTCAAGAGAGCTTAAAAATCTCCATTTTCAAAGAAATCATCTCTTGATTTTTCTTTAAAGTTAGAGAGCGTTGAAAAAAACGAGAGGGCGGGTGTTTTTTTCTCTAAGTCCTCTTGTTTAGCAGTGCTCTCTAGCTTGCTTCGAAACGCTCATTTTTCTCACTAAATATCCTTTTTAGGAAAAAAATATAATGTATCATTTATATAACTCCTGAATATGATATTTTGAAAAACAGTTCCCAACATATAACTATTTTTTTAGAGTCAAAAAAATCTAATCAAAGCCAAAAAAAGACTGTCAGAGGAGACTAAACCATCACCCTTCCAATGAGAAATTCCAGAAAATCTAATTTCCAACTTCTTTTTTTGAATAAATTTCGAAAAAAAGTAAGAGATTTTTCTTAAAAAAAGCTCAAAAAAAACAGTCTCAAAAAGATTTATGGTTTGAAAAAAAGTTCAAAAGAAGTTCAACTAGAAAAAGAGAAAAAAATCTGGAAAAATTTTTAAAAAAATTTTTCAAAGTTGTAAATTCATATTTTTTTCCTTTATTTATTTTTTCAAGTTGATTCTTCTTCAACTCCATAAGAAAAATAAATTATAAAGCTGGAAAAAAAATTTATTTTTTTGAAGGTCAAGTACTAGTTTTAATGATATAACATACCATAAAAATATGAAAAAGTAAATTAGAAATAAAAAAATTATTTAACTGGTCGGAGAAACACAAGTTGCTGTTTCAATTAAGATAAATAAATATATCAACTTTTACAAAGTTCGATCAGTAGCTTCCTCATACTAACTCCTATCAAAACGAATATAGAAAAATGGTTTTTTTCATTAATTAATTAGAAAAAAATTACCGAAAAAAACTTTTTACTTTCAAAAAAATTATTTTTCACAATGGTAGAAATCGGCAGAAGAAGCCCTAACTTGTAAAATTTGATTTAAAGAATAATAATATTAAAAAGAAGAACAAACCATAATTTGGCGCTTCATCGTGAGGAAGGTGAGGATGATGAAGTACATGACGAGGATGGGCCAGAAGACGGGAACGTCGAAAAAATCGAAGAAGGTGCACGTCGTCGCGATGACCGTCGCCTTCATGAACGAGTACCTGAGAAAGGAGATTTTAGTAAAATTGGAAACATACAGGAGGAAAAAAGACTACCAAGCGATCATACGGAACTTTTCCCGCGTTTAAAGTGATTCCGGGAAATTTAAAATAGCCGTCAGAGAAAGAGAAAGATAACTAAAATTTGGAGAGTCAGAGATGATTCGGAACTTCGAAAACGACTTTTTTTTTTGAGAATCGTCGATTTTCGCGTTTTTACAACTCATAAATCGACTGAATTTTTTGCAAAAACATGTTTTTTTTTCGATTTTTTTTTCTTCCGTAGCTTGTAAAAAAATTCTTATTTGATTGAGTTTCTTTCAAAATTTAGCATCTAGAGACTTTTTCAAGTACAGAAAAAAATTGAGAGAAGACTGAAAAATTGTTTTTTTAAACTGTCTTTGCTTTTGAAGCCAAAAAGTGAAAAAAAAAGTTGCCCAAAAAAAAACTGAGAAGTTTTAGAAGTCATAAAAAATGGATACTCGTTGCGGACTTTTTGGTCCAAATTTATCAATTTTCAGCTGCTTGGACCTTTTCAAAGGCGAAGCGATACTTTTATTATTGTTTGTCAGTGAATTTCGATTCGCAAACAGAATAATTAATAGGCAAAGTGGCCCTTCAAGGGTCCATAAAGGCTAAAGAGGATAAGGCTCCATAAGAATTGTTCCTTTTTTCAGCCTTTCTGAGCAATTTTTTCGTCTTTTTTGCACCCTTTTTTCCGCATTTCTCGCGGTTTTTCCTGCAAAATCTTCCCCTTTTCAACTTTTTTTGAATTTTAAATTCAATTTTTTCAGAAACAGGCTATGAAAACATACGCATTACGTTTGAAACAGGTTCCCCAACAAATCGCAAATTCCTCAACAATCATTTACATCATCTCAGAAAATGCCAAGTCATTTATTTTCTTTCAGTTAACTCTTGTCTCTGTTTACGGCTTCGAAATAAACCAAAATATAAAAAAAGAAGTTATTTTCAGTCTTTGCTCAATCTCGTAACTTGAAAAAAAAATTTTCCGCGTGCTAATTTTTGGAAAAATCTTTGTTTAAAGAGGATCGTTTCAAAAATTAAGGCACAAAAAGTGTATATGAAGAAAATGTTTTCACCCACCCAAAGTTGAGAAAATATTCATTCTTGCGAAAATTCAGTCTATTGACCTATGAAAATGCCAAAATTTTCTTTTTCCAAATGAATGAAAAATAATTAAGATCATCTTTTAGAAGGATACTGAGGCTTGAAAAAAATATTTTTCCAGTTTTTATTTTTGAAAAAAACTTTGAGAGTTGTGGTTAGAGTTTTTTTCTAATGAAAGTCGAGGCATTGGTGAGGAACGAGAGCTTAGAAATTATTAAAAAAAGAACAAAAAAAGTGAAAAAAATGAAAAAAAGAGATGAAAACTGACCAGAATTTGAATTCAGGCAGACGACGCATGAATGGTCGGAACTCGTCGTTGGTTTTTTTGCGGCAAAAACTGGGCCGTCGTCGTCGTCCTTTAAAAATATGAATTTATTATAAACATCCAGTGTTTTAAGCTTTGATATGTTCAAAAATTAATCAAAAAGCCTCGCTGACGTGCTTGAAGGAGCGCAGCAAACTTTCAAAAGGTGTTTTCGAATTTTTAGTTGATTTAATAAATGAAGTCATTTTATTTTGCGGTTGAGAATTTCTTAAGAAGCGGCCAAAAGGAGCAGAAAAAGATCTTGAACGTTTTAACCTGCAAAACTTCCTAGTTTCAGAGAAATGAAAGCTCAAAAAGGCCCATTTTTGAGATTTTCGACATTTTCTTTGACTTTAACAGGGTGGTCATTTTATATTGCGGTTGGGAATTTTCTGAAAGTTAGCCAGAGCACTTCTTGATGTACCAAATGAAGATCCCGAAAGTCTCAACCTGTAAAACATTAAAGTTTTTGAGAAATAAGGGCTCAACGCCTCAAAATACCATATTTTTATGGATTATGAAGGGTTTCTTTGACTTAGAGGCGTCGCTTTTCAAAAACGAAGATGTTCTGCAGGTTGAGACTTTTAGAATCTACTTGTGGTACATCAAGGAGTGTTCTGGCCAAATTTCAAGAAATTCCCAATCACAAAGCCAAATGACCTTCCTTGTAAGCAAAAATCAGTATCAATCGTTTTACAAACTATAATTTTTTCAAAAAAACCTGACTCAAATAAAATTTTCTGTAAAACTATAAAGACAGCATCATAAACTTCTAATCTGTAAAAATTTACATCGAATTCGAGAGCCGGATCGATCGAAGGCGTCAAGAAGAGGAGGAAAAGATTGAGGTAGTAAATTCCGACAGCGTAGGCGACAATGTAGAAACCCTGAAAATTATCAATTTTTCAACTGAAAGTATGATTTTTCAAACAAACCTGTAGGAAAACTATCCGTGAAGCGAAGAAAACGAGAAGAATGAGGGCGATCAGCCACCGAACTGCGGTGAAAGGCGTCAAACGATCCAGGTAGTACTGATACTTCTAAAAAAAAAACCAGTTATTATAATAAAAACACTAAAATTCCCTCCTATTCCACATTTTAATAGTTTTTCGTCATTTTTACACTTTCAAACACAAAAAAAAAGTAAACATCACAACATTATAAGCCACGCGAAATTCCCTTCCCAACTGGCCTAAATTTCCAAACTTCAAAAAAACTTACCACTTCTACGGAATGGAAGAGCCTTGAACAGAACCCTGGGCTGTCTCTTAAACTATCATCCATCTTATTTACCTGAAATTCAAAAATTAAAAAAATATTAACGGTTATTAAAAATCAACGGTTCAACAATTAATAAGTTAGTTTTTGCAATAACTTGTGATCATTATAGAAAAATAACTAACAAATGGATAAGCGGTAGACTTCAGAAAGTAAATGAAACGTTTAACACGTGAATTCACGTTGAATTACCCGCGGAAACAAAAAGAAAACGAGATCAAAAATTTCAAAAGGGGTTTTGCATATTGATTCGCGTAGAACACGTCATTTTGCGTGAATACGGCCGCACGCGCAAATGCACATATTTCAAAATTTTCAAAATTCACCCAATGAAAATCGGGTTTCATTAATTTGTTATTTGTTTGCTCGATTATGCTTCTATGCCACGTTTCGAATAAGTAGTGTATTGTTGAATTTTTATTATAGCTTCCTTGTTCCGTTTGGTCCGTGAAAAGTGTAGTAATAACTTTTAAAATCACTTAAAATGAGAGCTTTCTCGTTTTAGGATGATAAACTTCGACGAATGGGACATGGAGACTCTGATGATCGGCTTTTTGGGCGCTGCTTGTGTCCTGGCCGCCTCCGTGTTGTACCTGATGCGGCTTGAAAGGAAAGGAAACGAAGAAAGAATGTAATGGACTTATAGGACGAATTCGGAAAATATGATATTGTTTTAAGAGATGCCGAGATGGAAGAGGTGACAGAAGAACTGGAAGAGCCGATTCCAGCGGGAGAAACGAAGCGACAACGTCAGCAACGACTCAACGAACAGCGGAAATCGGTTTTAGAGTTTATTAATTTATAAATTTGACTTATAAAACTATTTCAGGGCAAAGAAAAGGCTTACGATCATCCGTGGTACGTTACCACGCTGAAAGGTCACACTTCTCCGGTCGTGGATGTTGATTTCGCGCCAGATGGCAAGAAATTCGTTTCGATTTCTTCAGATCGTTCAGTTTTCTTCTGGGATGTCAGGGTAATTTTTTCAAGCAAAATAACTTAAAAAAAAGAAAAAGTTGAGCCGAAAGTGGTGGTCAAGGCAGATAATTTTCAGACTCGTGTTCTTTGTATTTGTAATTTTTTTGTGATTTTTTTCTAGCAAGTGGCAAATTTATGAAAAAAATTTATACATTTATTGTTAAAACTGCCTAAAAAGTTATTTTTGAAGCGAAAAATTTTTACGAAGCGCTTTTAACCAATTTCAAGAATAGTTTTACTTTCCATGAAAAAGTGTAATTTCAACTTTTAGGATTGAAAAAAATCAGGATAAGGTGTTCAGATAAGAAAACGAAAAAAAGAAAAAGCTGAATAACGAATAAAAGATCCATTAGCCATGAAAGGTGTATAAAAGGAGCTTATCGCACTTTCCAAAGATTTTTTCGATTAGTTTTTTTTTTTGATTTTTATTTTTTCTTTAATATTCTTATTTTCAAAAAGTTTGTGCAAGGGCCAGCTTTCCAGTCTATCAGCCCTTTTTAATCCCGTTCCGGCCCGACCTTAGTAAGGCCTCAAGCAAAACAGCCGACCCCAAAAAACGCCTTTTTCGCAAGTCCAATATCGTTTTTTTTTACTACAAAAACAAAGTTTTTGGTTATTTTTAGTCACTCAAAATTCAAAAACTGTCATTTAACAAGTAAAAATAATTTTTTAGCACGGGTTGACCCGGGCCAGACCAAGCCTGACTCACAAGCTTGCCAGAAAAAGTCGGATCTCGGTAACGCCACGGAGTTTCTGAGCCCTTTTAGTGACCACTTTAGCAGCGTCAGAACCCTTAAGGGATCTCTAGAATCGCTCAGAAAGGTTCGGTTTGCGTTACCGAGGTGCGAGAGGCTAGAAGGTTACTCACTGATTTCCCTTGGAGCGCATTTTGACAAATATTTCTCTCCTAATGATTTTCATATTCTGGCTTTGCTCTCAAAATGATTCTGACTTTCTTAAGTGAACACTCCAGAAGCACTAAAACCACTTAAGGGATCACTGGATGGCTCAGAGGCCTCAGAAAGCTTTCCTGTTTTTTTTTCCTGTGCTCAATGATTTTCTACCACTCTTTTTTCCGATCATTCTGTGAACGTGTTAGTTTGTTCAAAAAAAAAGATTTGGAAACCGTTTTCGGTGTTTTTTTAAAGTCTCTACGCTTCGAGACCTTCTCTATGCTCCTTTAAACTATCTAGTAGTCGATTTTGATCCGAATCTAGTTCCTTCATTAAAAGGGCTATTTCTTGATCTATCCTTTTCATAATATCCTTGATAGGTCTTTAAAAATAGGGTTTCGAAAGATCGCCTGAGGTTTTGGAATCTTTTCGCCTCGAGACCTTCTCTATGCTCCTTTAAATCCGCCAACAATCGATTTCAAACAGAGTATCCTCAATTTCTTCCTTTCAGGACTTTGAAGAAAGGGAGCACAAATGCAGCAGGCAGAAGTTGGATTTCGACACGCCGACTCACGTTTCTTTTGCACCTGACAGCAAAAGCGTCCTTTTCAGCGTTTCCCGTGACAACAAGGTGATTGCAAACGGCCAATTAACAGATTATACTCCCGGTTTACTAATGAAACGGCGGGAAATCTCCTAGTTGGGCTCGAAAATCCGTTTTTAGAGAAAAAAAAATGGGGTTTTAGTTATGAAATCGGAATAGATTTTCGAAAAAATCCCCATTTGATCCAGGAAAATCCCAAAAAGGCAACGGCGGTTTTTCAAAATTAATGTTTTTTTTGAGAAAATTGGAAAGTAGAGACTAAAGTTGCTTACACGTTCAAAATAGTCATATCAAATTTTTAATTATTTTTTTCATTTTAGTTAAAAATTTTTTTACGCCTTTCTGGAAAACTCGGTCCGTTCGGTCACTTTTTTTCAGAGTGGCCATTTTTTTGAAAAATTTTGAAAAATTTTTTAAGCTCTAAATTGTTTAAGTGTCCAAAATGCGTAGAATTCTCATTTTTTTGGTTAGATTTTTAGGTTTCGAAGAACCGAATATTTGCGGCTCAAAAATAGAAGATTTTGTATTTTTTTCAATACATTCAATGGAAATCTCTATAATTTGAACTGAAATCGAAATAAAGTTAATTAAAATTTGAGAGCATTTTTCTGGCTAAAAATGGAAAAAAATTAAAAAGGAGAAAAAAAGTGAATTTTTTTGTGAAAATAATGGCCAAAATTTTTCGAAAAAAACTGACATTGAAACTCGTATATAATAAAGAAATAAGTACTTCAAATCCATTAACACTTTTATAAAGCCAAAAAAAACTTTTTCAATTTTTTTGAAAACTTGGAAAAAAATGGGCGTCATAAAAAAAGTGACCAATGCCAATTTTTACTCAAGTCAGATTCTCTAAAAAAAGGAGCCGTCATAAATTCAAGGGTTTTTTTCATAATATTCAAAGTCTATTTTTTTCGTAAAAAAATACCAAGTGGGACCATTCAATATTTACTGTTTCAAAGAGTCTACATAAACTTTTTTTTTCTCGATTCAAATAATTGTCTTAAAATATGACCGAGAGCCTGAAGAACATTAAAAAGATTTCCGGAAACCTTTCTGAAGCTTTGAACGAGCTTTAGGGCTTAAATCTGGATCTCTTTCCAAATTGAGATTCAAGTCGATTTTCTATTCATGCCAACTTTTAAAAATCTTGCGGCTACACGTAGAAATGTTATGAAAAGTTACAGCTTCAAAGCAATCTCATTATTTTTTTGTTTATATTGATTTGATTCGATGGCTCTTATCTATGAAAAAAACCTGAAATATATCTTAAGATTTCATTCTGAACCTGAACTATAATTAAGTTTCAACGTTTGGATCAGAAGTCTCAAATCCGAATTTCAGTGACATTTTTTCAGTTTTAAGTCTTATTGGTATAACATTTTTATTCATACCCCACTCTAAAATTTTCCTTTTTTTCGCTCCTTAGGGTCCCTATAGGGGCATTTTTCAGGGCTCTTGAAGAGTCCCCTCTAGGGACGTTTTTTCAGAATATAAGAATTCGAAAATTGTAGAATTTTCTAAATTTATGCAATTTTTTTTCGAAAAGATTTCATAAAAATTATCTTTATCTTTTTTTCGGAAATCCTAGCTGCGCCCGACCCTGAGCGGCTTTTTTTTTTTTGAGATGACCCCGCACGCAAGTATATTTTAGTCCGGCGCATTGATAAAAAGAAATTTCAAGTCGGAAATCGCAAGAAAACTCCTTCTTTGCCACGTCAAAAAAATGAAGCGTCAAAAACTGGAGATGATCATCATCAAAAGTTTCAGCTTGTCGTTTTCAAGCTGACCAAAGGCAAGGCTGGAAATTGGGCGATGGTTAATGCGGATATTGACTACCCAAGTAGTCACCCTAAGGACATTTCTTGCATCGGGTTCGCTGGAAATGGTGAAAAATCACGAATTTCTGATCAAAAACGAGGAAATCTACAGCTAAATATGTTATGAGCGCCTCTCCGGATACGAAAATCGCGATTCACGACATCCGAGGCGACGTTTTGAAGGTTATTGAGGCAAAGGTTTGTTCTGAAAATAGTCAATAAAATACAAAATAATCAATAAAATAAATTTTTTGTAACTTTTTTTGCAGAAAATTGACCCAAATTTGCTGATTTCAATGTTTTAGGTCAGATTTTGGCAAAAGGTTGAACTTGGGGGTTAAAACTTTCATGGAAAAAAGGAGATTTTGACCATATTTTTTTGCAATGGAACGGCGTTCATCTCACTGAATCTATAGATGTTAAAAAATGTCTTTTTTTCAAAATTTTTTGCCGATTTTTAAGGTACTCTCTCATGTCGGTTTCTGGCAGTTGCAATGAAAAAGAAAAAAGTTAAGGTTTTTACGAAGATTATATAGAAATGATAAGCAAAACGAAGAGATCTACAGTAACCTCTCTAAAAGAAAAGCATTGAAGGAATTCACAAAATTAAATTTTTTTTTCTAGACTTGAGATTTTTCCTCAAAAATGATTTTTTCAAAGTTCCTGACCCTAGTTTTTTTGGTACCCTTTACCTTAAAATTATTCAAATCATCACTTTTTTTCATCTTTTTAATATTCTCATTCAGTGTTTGAACAGTTGTCTTGTAAAAAAATATGGATGATACCTGAAAGTAGAGATGTTTCCAGGTAAGTCAGCTTTACGATTGCCGCATTTCCCCAGACGGACGTTTCATTAGTGCTGCTGGATTTTCACCCGATTGTTTCGTTTATGAGGTTTTGAAATGAATAAAAATGGAAATTATATGAGAAATTTGTTCAGCCAGTCTTCGGGAAGGACAAGTCTTTCACTGACGCGAAGAAAGTCTTTGCTTTAACGGTGAGATTTTTTTTGCGATTTTGAGAGTTGGATTCAAGTTTTGACGGTGGGGTTTCAATTTTAGATGGAAAAAATTGCCGCTGTGTAGAGCTTTTCAATGTGATTTTACTGGTTTTTGCCATTTTGTGCCCAAAATCGTTTTTTTCTCTAAAGATTATCATTTTTTAGAGTTTTCTAATGCGAGTCTAATAGTATATTTGAAGTTCTACGGAAATCCTCAATTTTAGAGGGAATATTAAATAATAGTTCTATCGAAAATAATTTTCAATTTTTAAAAACAGTTGGCTTGGTCCAAGAATAGCTCAATTTTGAATGATATTATTGATTTTTTTGCTTTTTAGTACCTAAAAAAATTGATCATTTTGTAGAATTTTTTTCATGGCGATTCCAACGGTATATTTGAAGTTGTACGAAAATACTTACTTTTAGAGCAATATTGATTTAAGTTTCTAATGAAAATTTATTTTTTTAATTTTTTTAAAATTCCAGACTAGCTAAATTTTGGCTCATTTGACTGATTTTTTCCATTTTTTGCTTTTTTGTACCGAACTTGGTTATTTTACGAGTATTATCTTTTTTGAGAATTTGAATTATTTTTGATTAATTTTAGGGCCACGGAGCCGGTGTTTTTGCGGCGGCCTTCAACACGGCCTGTACCCGAGCCGTCACAATTTCTCGCGATGGCCTTTGGCGCGTTTTCGACACGGATATCCGTTATGTGGCTGGCCAGGACGCGAAAGTCTTGAGACAGTCCGTTTTTTCCCTTCTCTCAAAATTATAAAAAAATTCGTTTTTGCAGAGGCGAATGGCGGGAATTTCTGAATCCCACATCGAAAAATGTCAGTTTGGCGTTGAGCCCAAGCGGGGAATCTTTCGCTGTCGCCGTCGGCAGCACTTTGAAGATTTTCAGCTCCGAGGACGAAAAAGCCGATTTTCCAGCATGTTTCCTCGAAAAAATTGACCCAAAATGAAAGATTTCGGCTTCAGTGACCGACCTCCACACGGCTCCGATCACTTCGATCCGATTCTCGCCCGACGGAAAATATATTGCCACTTGTGGCGATAAATTCGTCAGAATTATCGAGAATATCCCACTTCACCATAGTATTGTGGTCAGGTGCAGTCGGGTGGGTTTTTTTTAAGGAGATTTGAAAAAACCGAGTAAATTTTTTTCAAGGGACCTTTCAGCAAAAAATTTTTTTGTCAGATCAAGAAAAAAACTTGTTCTTTTTGTAGGGGAAATGAAACAAAAAAGTTACGGAAAATCGAGTTTTTTTTTCGAGAATATTCTCCTCAAGGCACAAGTGTGCTCCATGGACAATTTAGTGGAAAACCATAAAAAAATCATATTTTTGAAAAATAAGTCATTTTTTTGTAGCATTGGAACTTTGAACGTTGAAAAAAATAAGCTTGAAAAAAATTACTTTTCCCGAAGAAATCTGCTGATTTTTAAATGTTGAAAATAGGGGAAAAAAAATATTGCAAATTTAACCATGGAGCGCACTTGATTTTTCCGACGTAACCAGAAGTTTTTTTCTGAGCTCAATTTTAATGTTTTTTTATACAATTTTTTATCTCCAGGAGCTCCCGGAAGTCACAAACGATGGCGCGAAGCGTCGACTCAAAGAGCAAATCGAAGAAGCTCAAGCGGAGCTCAAAAAGTACGGCCTCGCTTAAATTGTTGACCTTTTTTTTTAGTTATTTGGTTCTTGTTAATTAATTTATTTTCGGTCTTTTTTCTTACGTGTAACTTATGATTTTTCCTTTTATGACGGTGTATTTTCGTTTCATGTGATTAATTGGAATACGACATTTCACATAATGCGGCTTTTCACGTAATGAAATTTCACATAATGCGACTTTTCACATAATGCGGCTTTTCACATAATATAGCGGTTTCTGACTCCCCGCCCCTATCCCCATATAAAAGGCCACTAAATTTCCCATTCATTATTCTCTTGATCAGCGTCGTCTTCACTAGTTTCATTTCAAAGTTCCGTATTTGACTGCATTGTTTCATGGCACATCCAACTTTGAAAGTATACAATTCTTCCAGAGCAGGGAGAAAAAATGGGTTTGGTAAGGTTCTAGAATTAGAGGGTGCCGTTTTTCACATTGGTCGCTTACACAAGGTAAACGAGGAAACTCGGTACTATTGGCAGTGTTCGTTCCGTAATCCTCGATGTAACGCTCGCGTCATCACCGTGGTGTCGCCTACAGGCGATCACGTTGTTCGGAAGTACTCTGACCTGCACTGCCACACTGTCACCGGGACTGCCGCCGATGTTCGCCGTACCAAGAGTGTTCTCAAAAGTCTCGCTTCTAGCTCTACCAAGTCCACGTCCGAAGTCATAGACATTGTCCGCTCCACTATCCCAGCTTCTGTTCAGGCTATGCTACCTTCGAAAGCATCACTTCGTCGGAACGTTCAGCGAGCAAGGAAAACGAACCATTCCTTCCCAGCAGAACCCCAAAGTCTACTTGAAATCGAGATTCCGGAAGAATTCCAGCACATTATGTGTCGGGACATCAACGGAGGCCCAGATACCAAGTCAGATTTCGTCTTTGTCGATACAGGGGTAGCTGCGGGAGACAATCGCATCTTGGGCTTCAGCAGTGAAAGTCTTCTTGACTGTCTTCGAGGATCGCAGCACTGGATGATGGACGGCACTTTTCAAGCTTCTCCCAAAGTTTTCTACCAACTTTTTGTCGTTCACGCTCAATGGTCAGAAACGAACACCTCGGTTCCCTGCTTCTTTTTCCTGCTTCCAAACAAGACTGAGCTTACGTACAACTATGCGTTGTCTGAACTGAAATCTCTCCTCGGTGTCTCGCCAGATTCCGTCATGGTTGACTTCGAAAAAGGACTTCACAATGCTCTTGAGGATGTCTTTCCAGGGGTAGAAGTGTCGGGTTGTCTCTTTCATTTGTCGCAGTCAATTCGTAAGAAGACAGGAGATTTGGGGCTCATCTCACAGGTGAGAAACGACGTCGAATTGCGGCAACTTTGCGCGATGATCCGATCGATTGCCTTCCTTCCGGTCAACGATGTTCCGAATGGGTTTGCCTACGTGAAAGCCAAAGTCGAAAATCGGGCGCCTGCACTTCAACCTCTTCTTGACTACTTCGAGAACGTCTACATTGGTGAATTAACTCCAGGAAATCGTCGTTGTCCTTTGTTCGGACCGGAGATGTGGAACGTCAACCAGAGAGCTCTTCTTGGTAATCCCCGAACCAACAGTAGCGTTGAGAGCTCCCACAATCATCTCAAGTCGTTCCTAATCGTCCACAAGCCACACTTCTTAGCACTTCTCAAAAAACTGCACCCCTACTTGCGATCGATCGAAACGGATCTAATCGACCTGAAACACGCCAAAACTTTGGGAAAGGTAAGCGTAACATGGCAGAAACTGGAAAACAAACAAAAAGCGGCCCTGGAACTTTACGAAAGTAACAAAGACTTGCCACAGCTTATCACAGTCCTAGCCACTTATTTAAGCTTGTGAATATAACTTTCCAAGAAATACTCATAAGCAATGGTGTATCTTGTTATTTTGAAGATTACTATGTTATTATTTTTAAAACCCAGACAAAAATGCTTCGCTCTAATTGTAACGTCCTCGCCGTTCAAGTACATAAAAATTATGTTAGCCCCTGCTGAAAAGCCATTATGTGAAATGTCGCATTATGTGAAATTGTGGTTCATCATTGAGTAGAATAAAATACGACCTCGTTTAAATTGTTGCTTTTCTCATTCAGATATCCGGTTCCTGTTAATTTATTTATTTGCGGTCTTTTTTTCTTACGTGTAACATTATTGTTTTATTTATGAAAGTGTGGCGTCCCACAGACTCTTGGGGGTTTTGGTGGTTCAGTGGTTTTGTTGGGCGCTCCTGCTAGCTATCGCTTTTGATGCTACAAGTAAGAAGGATGGTTATATATATGTTTATTTTACGAGTGCAACAAAATAGGGTATAAAGGGGAAAGTATTGGAGGAGGCGAGAGAAAGTGCGCGGCCGTCGTCGCTCTTATGTGGTTTCGGCCAGCAGTTGTTCGGCGGCTGCTCGGCTTTGTTGTGGGTGGCGCGCAGTTGCATCAGAAGGCCTCGGCTGTCCTGCTCTCGTGGACTCCGTCCGCGATATTCCGGGCGGCGGCGAGAAGTGCGTCGTCGCTCTTAAAGTTGAATTAAATTCTTGCCAAGTGTTGTTGGCTAGTCTAAGGACGATTAGTGAAACATGATTTTTGTCTTTATTTTTTATTTTTCACACACACACAAGATTATATTGGATTTAACATTCCTAAAAAAATTTTCGCGAAATCATTGCCCAGTTCTTTCGAACTCTTGAGCCAGTTGTGTTAAGTTCGGCGTCATCGGTGCGACGGTCATGCTTTGCGCCGGCGCTTCTTCAAAGAGGCAGATGCTCTTGTGGTGTAGGATTCCATCGGATATGCAGACCGGTTGGTTGCAAGCTGCGCCGTACGGTGAGCTCGCGTTGGCGTCGACCTGGAGTAGTCGACATCGGTGAAGCAGATGATTCCTCTGATTGAAGCAGATTGGGCAAGGGTTCATTCGAAAAATGATGTCGATCTTCTGACGTCGGTCACTGGTACTGCACTTGTTGCTGAAGTGGTTCCCGTTGCAGAAGAGGCAACAGATGGTTCTAGGTAGTAGGTCCCGTTCCTGCTCTACACGCCTTCTTTTTCTATTGCGCTCTAGTTGGTTATTTGTTTCAATCAACGCAACGGCATCAGTGGGCGTTGACATCTAAAATTCCCTGAATGATTATTATGTTTCCTGTAGAGTGATAGAGATATGACCCGAGGTTTTGAACCTTGTAAGAATAATTCGATAGTGTTTTAAAAATTTACAACAATTTATTTGAACAGGAAGCAAGGGTACAGATATGAGAGCAAAAAAACTTGATAACTAAAAATATTTTTTGTCCTATCCATGTTGGTATGTTTTTGGGTTGAGGATAAAATTTATTTGGTCAATTCAATATATACCATTCTTCGAATCTATAAGGAGTGGACTGTTTGGATAGCGGGTCTTGAAATTTTCCGTTTCTTTTACGTGTTCCTGAAGACTAATTAGGGTGGTCCCGTTTGGTACGAGTCTGTTGGATGGCGTCATGCCTTCGAGGCTAAGGCAGCATTTGCAGACGTGCTTCCCGTTGGCCGCGTTGTAGTATCCAACGATTCTTTCGCTGTTGATACAGGCGTTTGCCATCTCTGCTGCGGTTTTATCCATATTATGGAGGCAATGCGACCGGAGCAGGAGGAGATCCGCTACGGTGATCCGAACTCGATCGGCAAGTTCTGGGAATCTATCCGCGTGCCAGGCGTCGAACGCGGCAAAGTCCGTCTAAATTTCAAGTGAGGATTAGGTGAAGTTTTATTTGTCGTTTTGATTCGGTTTTGATAAATATTGATGTTTTTGATCAAATTTTCTTGGTATATATATAATTATATATGTATTTATTGTCTAATAGGGTTATTTTTGGTTTCTTTCTAAATAGCTGCGCATTTTATTGCGCAGGGTAGTATGATTTTAAACAAAAGGTAAAGTATTCCTAACCCTATTCCTAACCCTATTGCTATTGAACCTGTTATTGTTAGTGCTCTCGTGGACTCCGTCCGCTATAGAAAGTGTATTTCTGTTTTATGTATTAATAGTTGAAATGAACGTGAGACGTTTTTTATTTTGGTTGGAGTCGGTCCCGATAGTTACTTGCTCCATTATGAACAGTTCTGAAGTACAGGTTTTGAAATTTATGATTTTTTCGAATGATTGAGGAATATACAGAGAGTCCCTCAATCTATAATAGACACGATAAACCAGTTGTTGTCAACGGCGCCGGCAAATGCGCCCTACGAAATCTCGATCAAAGGTTTTTCTTTTTTTTTCGAGGCTGGAGCTCAAAAGAATGGGAATTAGGCTTGATTTTGCAGTTAGTTTGGAAGAAAGAGAAATCCAGCCACAGACTTTGAATATTCCTGCCCCGCTGCCGCAGCCAATGCCTGTGAATAAATCCGATGAAAAAGAAATTCGAAGAGTTTGTTCATTTTTATTTCCTTAATTTTTCGAAAAATTTAATATATTAAACGAAAGACTCGTAAACTGAATTTCGCTTTTTGGGAAAATCTAAAAAAACACAAATTAGAATGAGCTTTCCATTCAAAAAAGTACTGGAGTTTATTCTGAATTTTAGGAACCGCAAAAGTTCGCCCATGTTCCGAAAACAGAGGTCCATGATGTCATTGGTTGAAGCTGCGCAGCAAGACCAGAAATATGTTCGTTTTTGAAGAGTCCGTGGAAACGGACCAGGGAATTTTTTGAGAAAAGAGGAACTTTAGGACACCTTGATCCCAAAAAAGTTCAAAAAAGCATATATTTTTTAGTTTTTTTTTTATTTTAGTAGACCTATAACGTTTCAAAGGTTGACTTTTACTAGCAGAAAATGCATAATTTGATTTTATTTGAATTAAAGCAATTTCAATGTTTTTTCTAAAAATTAATCGAGTTTGAACTTAATTTCTGAGAAGAAATCGCGGCGCTTTTGCTAATGGAAGAAAATGCAAAACCAAAAATGAAGTGGGCAGAGTCAACACTAAGAATAACTGCCGAGATAAACGCGAGACACTGGCGGTACATTGACGAGCTCGCAAACATCTCGCTTTTTTTCTCGCGCCGGTCTCGCAATTTTCTGGGCGCCAGCTCGCACTTTTCTAGGCGCGAGCTCGCATTTCTCTCGCAATTTGAAAATTTCCGAAATGCAAGATAAATGCGAGGTCGCGCCGAGAAAAATGCGAGGTCGCGCCGCGATAAATGCGAGATCGCGCCTAGAAAAAAGCGACATTTTTGCGAGTTCGATGTACCGCCACCGACCTCACGTTTATCTCGTCAGTTATTCTTAGTGAAAGTCTCCGCCTTATGTGCGAGAGCGCCGCAGTGTATGCACACGACACACTACACTTTACGGAAAAAATGTATGCGGGACGTCGTCAAAAAAAAAAAAACGCCGTGCCCTTTGGAATTCGAGCATATTTGAAACCATAGGCAAAAAAATTAGGTTTGTTTGAAATTGTGAGGTAGTTTTTTTAAAATTATTATTTTTTTAATAATTTTTTTTTTTGAATGTTGATTTTTAGGAGTCAGTTCTGTTCAAGAATAATATTTCTTGTTTTTCAGAGATGTGGCAGCGTAGAATCGTCAAAACCTTCAGAAAATATCTACGAACAGATTCCTGGCGTCGGAACTAGCAGCTCGTCTGTGTCTTTTCGTCTTTTGCCCACGGAAAAGGTTTTTTTCGGTTTTATTTGTAGTAATTTTCCAAAAAGAAACTGGAAAATGTTTTGAAATAAGAAATTTCTCAGGGAAGCTCGAAAATCAGCGTCGCCAACATATTCCCACGGAACAAATAAAGAGTTCTCTGTCTTGCTTTTTTTATTTTCTTTGTATTGACACTTTAAAAAAAACTTACTAAAAAAATTTGAATTTTTGTAGAAAAAAAGGGACTGAGAGTGTTCAAAAAAAGACGGAAAAAAATGATTATTATTATTATAGAAAATTAATGCCAAAAAAAGTTTGTGTGATTTTTCAAAACTGAATGTTCAAATAATTTTTTTAGAAACCTTCTGTTGTGTTTTTTTCTATTTTTCTAAAAATTTTTCATTTATTTAAAGTTCAAGGATTATAATTTGGAAGTCGTTTGAATGCCTGTTTTTCAATCAAGTAAAAAAATTGTTAATTTCTTTTTTCCTGTTACCATTTTTTTGCAGAGAAAAACAACGATTGATTTCATAGAAGGTAGCAATTTTTTTGTGTTAACAGCTTTTTCAAAATTTTCAGAAATCTAAATTTTATTGAAGAAAAGAGTTCAAATAAATCAGGAAGGCGGTAAAAAAAACACATCCAAAACAATTTTTTTCGAAATGAAGATCGAGAAGAAGAACTGAGTGAAGTATTGCACTTGAGTGTAGGGAAAAACCGCGTTATCGACCAGTAGAATTTATTTTTTTGACTATATCAAACTTCTCTTTCTACTCGTACAGTTTTAACGAAAGAGATTAGTTCCGTGACGATTTTTTCAAGGTTTTCGACTGCTTGAATCGTCTGAGCCCTGAATTATCAACTTTTGAACTTTTTTAAGGCGTGAAACTCACAAATCCGTGTTGGAAGAAAGCTGTTGAGCCGTATTCTTCACAATTTTCAGAGCTTTCAAACAAATGGCTGAAGCTGAACCAGAGCTTTTTCTTTGAACGTAAACCCAGCCCATGACGTTCTCAACTAAGAAAAGAGCCTAAAAATACAAAATCAAGTATTTTCATTGGTTTCGATGAGTTAACCATGTTGAAAAGCTTGGGAAGTTCCTCGATTTTCGGATCGACTTTTTTGAAGTTTTTCAGTTGATTGAGCAAATCTAGTTGGAACCGGGTGCTAAGACGTTGTTTCCGGGCTTCCAGGCAGATCTGGAAGATGTTTTATCATGACTTTTTTTGTAAAATTAGTTTTTTTTTGGTTGTATTCTGTTCAAAAAGTCTTGTTGAGAAGTTCAAAGATTATTCTAAAATTTAACTGGAAACATATTTTAAGATTTTTTGAATGGAATCTGAAGAAAATGAGCCAATTGGATGTATTATTTGATACTCGGAAGCTTATAACACAAAATTAAAAGAAAGATGAGAAATTATATTTTTGAGGTTTTGATCTTCATACTAAAACCAAAAAAATATGAAGAAAAAGCATTTTTTTAACTTTTTAACTCGGAAATCCTAATCTAAAAAAAGATATTAAAATTAAATGTGTTTTGGGAAGTTTCAGATAACTTTTCTATAGTGCTTTGGGTTCCACTTCTAATATATCATTTATCGCGATTTGAAAAAAAAAATAGCCGCATGGATAATGGCTCATCAAGTGGCCTCTGCGAAGCGGTTCGGTGCGCCCGACCAAAAACGACTTGCGCACTTTTTCAATGGATTGAAGACTTTTGAATACGCGTAAAAGCTTCAAATGCCCAGCCGCAACGCGATCAGCCATTCCCCATGCGACCATAAAATTCAATAACTTCACTCACATCGGCGACCTCTTTCCGAACCCTCGTCCCGAATCTTTGTTTCATCATCTCAAGTGTCAACGTCCGATACGCCATCGTGTACAGTTTTATGTACTGAAACCAGGATTTTTTTGATAGTTCATCAAGAATCAGTTTTCTCACTTGATAGGGGATCATTTGTCGGATTAGATTCCGACTTTCTCCATCTCTGGTCTTGTTCAAATGGCGAACATCTCCGTAAATCAAATTTATCCTTTCGATATCTGTTTCGAGCAACTCTTGCTTGCATTCTGGACATTTCAGCTCGGAAACGGGCATGGTTTTCTGGAATTTAGACTTGAGAACTTCCAAAAAAAGTTTATACTTGATTCGTCTTCACTTTGAATGCTCTGACCTGTCTGCGCTCTCCTGATCTCTCACCAGGGATTTTTCAAGCTTACTGGGAACTTTTTTAGCGGTCACTTTAGGGATTTGATGTTGCAGTGGTCGCTATAGTGGTCGAATTAGAGGACCTTTAAGTGGCTTGTTTAGAAGTCCGATTCTTACTACCAATGTACTGAAAACTACTATAGTAGCCACTAAAATGGAAAATAGAGGCCATTTTAGAGGTGGGTTTAGTGGCCACTTTAGTATTCCATCCAAGTAGTTCTTGAGGGATCTCTTAAGCGGCTACTAGTTATTTTTCCAACCCGATAAGATTCTTCAAGTAGAACAGATGCATAAGGCGTTTCTTATTTGGTTTCTCTGATCTTTCCGAGGAGAGAAAAGAGAGCGCAGACAAGTCAGACTGCTTGGATTATTCGAAATATTCCTCACTTCGAATTTGACTTTGCAAAAGTTGCACTCCAACTCGAGAAGATAGGAATCCGATTGGTCTTCGATGGTTTGAATTATATCTGTAAGAGGAACTTTTTATGATCAAAGTAGGTTCCTCCAAACTCACATTGGACGTCCCATTTTGGTTTCCACTCGGAATATTCTCCACAATTCATCGGCCAATGAACTTCTCCGGAACATTTCTCACACCGAACTTGGTGGCAAAAGCCGCATTTCACGCCGCATTTCGTTTCTTCTGAATTAGTTTTTGAATTTTAATGACTTCGAGAAGATTTTTCGCGATTTTTGACAGCGTTGAAAAGTCACGAAATTAGACATTCATAATCAAAATCCCTTCTTCTTATGGAATTTCAAGGAATATCGAGTTTTTTTCATTTTTAGACTCGCAGAGGTTTCAGATTCGGAACGTTTCGACAAAAATTTCAACTTTTTTGCAATCAAATTTGGCTTTTTTCAGTGTTAATCTTGTTCATAATGTGGACAGAAATGACAATTATTTCTCGAAACCTCGCCATTTTTGGGCATAAAAGCCAAGGTTTTTTCCTTTCAAAACTGACCCCAGAAAAAGATGGACAAAGAAATTCAAAAAAAAAGATACTGAGATCCAAAAAAAGGCATACCTGTAGAATCTTCTTTTTCCAGGTAGAGTAAAGCCGAGCAATTGAAACAATCGAAAAACTTTCCAGCTGTCCCGAAACTTGTGTAGATGTTCTCGAACAACCTCTGAAAGAATATGAAATCTTCCTCTTAATGAAACAAATTCGGTTCGAACCTTCGTATACCAGCTGAAGACGGTTATGGGGAGAATGACAGCAAGAGCGTCGAGTTCAGAATCTCCTTCATTCTGGGCCAACTGTAAGATTTATTTTTTCGTTCTAGATTTTCTTCAAAAAGTCTTGGCTGAGGATTTTAAAGGAGCATAGGGAGTTTTTATGAAGGTCTTGAGGCGAGGACCCTTACAAGGAAGGTTTTCTTAGTGTCTTAGTGAATTTTTGATGGAAATTATGTTAAGTGTATTTTTGGATCTTTTGATTTTCAGAAAAAGACATAAATTTGGAATTTGGTCTCATAGTCGAGTTCTGGCGATGAAAAGTTTGCAAATTACTTAAAATATGGAAATTTTTGAATTCTTTGATAAGTCACAACTCGATTAAAAGGGGAAATTTGTGAATTTTTCCCTTTTTCTGGAATTAGAAAGTCCTGAAGCCGAAAATTTTCATTCAAAGTTCATCCAAAAGTTGAAAAATTCCCTTGTTGAGTCGCACAACTCTTACAAACCCTTAGAAACAATTCTGAACTTAGTTTTGAAGAAAAACGGACATTTACAGTAACCGGGAAGATTTCCTGTCGCAACTGTCGATAGATGGAATGTCTCAGACAATTCAGACAACTCGAAGATCCGTCTTTCAAATCGTAGAGCTCCTTCCAATCGCCTGTCTTACAGCTTTCGCATTTCTGGCATCATCTTTTTGATTTTGAAATAATTTTTCAAGCTTACCCGGGTCGAGGAGAACCGTTTCGGTTCCAATTTATCAGTTTCGGAAACGAGGTAGTTATTCTGGATGAATGGGACGATTTCTTCTCGTTTTTGGGCGGTAGCCTGAGAAAAATAATTTTTTCGGAGCTGTAACAAATTTTAGTTTTAAAATAAGTCTTGAGAGTATCCCGAGTAAGTCAAAATAGTATGAAAAAAACTTTTTTTGAGTATAAAATTTGTTAAAATTTGAAAAAATCCACTTTTTCTATATTTAAAAGGCCATTTTTTGAGGGTTTTGCTCGAAAATTGAACATTTGCGAAACTATTTTTGAGCCTCGTGCTATTAACTTTCATGTTTAATTTTTTATATCTTCGATTTTTTTTGAATCTAAAGCTAATTCATTTTTATTTTCTACAGAAAACATACTTAAACCAAAAAAATTTTTTTTTACATTTTTATTTTCGGTTTTTTTAAGTACAACTCAATTAAAGTTTTAAATCTTAGGGCTCCTAAAAGTTATTATTTTCAAAGTATTAGCAAAATTTACCGTTGAATATAACTGAGGGACAAGATGAGATGAGTCGAAACCGGCCAAATTTTGAACCCTGAAAATTGAGCTCCTGTTTTTATGCGCTTGAGAAAATATCAATAAAATCTCTTAAAATCAATAATTTCTATTGCCGTGTTCAAAGTAATTTCCGCGAAATGCAAAATACCCGTTTGAGAAAGGAAAAGATCACTAAATTTTGGAGAGTCAGAGATCATTTTGCATTTCGCGGAAATTACTTTGAACACGGCATATGAATTTTTTTACTCCCATTCCAGAAGCTCTCACGAATGGACTATTTTGAGAACTTTGAAAAATCTCACGTTTTCGTGACAGGATGAGTTTGAAGACCCTTGATAGGCAGGCCTTTGACGACCCGGCCGATATCGTAGACCATCTCTACCATGCTTTTTTGGGTATTTATAGCAGAATGGATCTTCTGGACAGTGTTTTCCAAAGCTTTGAAGGAGGCATTTACAGCAACGCTGGAAAATATATCATTTTGTTTTTTTTTTTCTAAGAAAGTTCTGACCTCAGACATCTCCTCCCGACCATTCGAAAAACGATGAAAAGTGTGGAATTTGGCTTCTTCTGGACGAGATTTGAAGCATCTACCAAGATGCATCTGTTTCCAACGCTTCTCACTTGAATATCTTCTTCAGATTGCAGTTTTTCGACCTAGAAAGTAGAAAATTTCTTTGGAAGGCAGCAGCTTTGAAGTATTTCGCGTTGAATGGCTCAACGCCTTGCTGTTGCGCCGCAGTTTGGACTCCAGTTTCTAAGAATTTTCTTGAATTTGGCTACTTCAACATTTTCTCCCGTTGAGCCATTCCAAACGCGTCCAAAGATTTACCTCCGCTTCAAAATTGAACATATTCTCCTTGACGAACTCGTACGGCTTCACAGTGTAGACGTGGTCTTCAGAAAGTACTTCAGACAAATCGACTATTGGTTCAAATTCAGAAGTCTCTTCCACTTCTTCCCCATCAGGAAAATTTGAGAATTCTTCCATTTCCGTGGGTTTCCGATGGACTTTCTCCTTTTCGATCAGATAATCAGCAAAATTGACGTTGGCGTCATGATTATAGGAGTATTCAGAATCCTCGACGTCTTCCTCATCAGAATAATCTTCGTCATTCCCGACGTAGTCTTGGATATTCTTGATGTTCGCCGGTCGACCTCTGGTCCTGCCTTTTGCTTTGGATCCACCTGGAAATGGTCCGAATTAACTTGAGCTCATTTCGAAGCAAACTTTTCGCGTTGGAAAGTCCGGCCGTCGCGATTTCCTTGACCGGATGCGTGCGGACGATGTTGTACACGACCGTCGGTTTCTTGGCCATTTTTTCTTCCTTTTTCGGCTTCTTCTTGTCCTTTTTCTCACTCAGCTCTCTGGCTTCTGGGGCGAAGTTGGAGACCTTCAAAAGGGGTTTGAATAATGAATATATGGTTAACTGAACCTTTTGTCCCTTTCCGGCACATTTGGCAGTTCTGATACCGAAAGACTCGTCGTCGACGTCGTAGTCTGTTCTGGAGTGAACTGCGAAAGCCGTCGACTCCTCCTTGTCCTCGTTTTCTGAAAATTCCATGTTAGAAGGCTCTTTCCTCATCTTGAAGTACCGAAAAAGGAGACAAAGTTCCTTTCGACGACGGCGACGTCGGCCTTGGCCGAGACTTCTTTCATCAGATTCACGGGGTCAGTCTTCAAAATCTCATGTTTCCCCAGCTTTTCCTGAAAATCAACCTGTTCCCATCGATTTTTCTTGTTCATCGAGTAGACGACGTTAAACTGCAACTCATCGTTTTCCGCCAATCTCGCGATTTCTTTCTGGAATTTCTTGTATTTTCGAAAATAGTCTTTTTTCTCAATACTTTGCTAAGGACGATCCCGTCATTTTGAAGCTTTTTCTGAACAAATTGTTGAGTTTTCATCTGTTTGGCCAGATCGTCTTGATGACCGTCCCACGGCTTTCCTAGCCATCTACGGGTTCCTTTGTACCTGGAATAAGTATATTTTAGAAGGAATTTTTATCAAAAAATGATTTTACTTCTCGAGAAGAAATTCCTCGTATGTCTGCGGTTCAACGGCGGTCGACGCCATGGTTTCTTTCAAATTAGACGAAGTTGTAGATGATCCTTCGAGTGACGCCAGTGCTGGTCAAGCACTGAAAATGTAATGATTATGAGAGAAATGATAAGAAATAACATAGGAGTTCATTTTTTGATCTCTAAACAGGTGCTTTTATATGATAGCTGAGAAAATTGTGAGGAATTGCACAACACTTTCTCTGGCCGTCTGCGTCTCTCGTCTAGAGTGACTCAATGTTGGTTCTTTGGTGTCACAGGATGAATCATGGGAAGTGGAATGATTGAAAAAAAAAGAATAATTTTCAGGATATTGAGGCTGAAAAGAAAAATCAAGGTTTCAGTTCAAAAAGAGACAAAAAAACATTCAAAAAAAAATTTTTTTAATTCGACTGTTTTTTTCGGTTTTATTAAGTTTTTTTCGCTTTCAGGTGTTTTTTTCAGAGACTCTCAGATAGCATATGAATAAAAAAAAACTCAGCAAAATAAATGGTTATCAGAAATTTAGAAAAATAAAATTCATTCTTATCAAACTTTTATTTTTTTATGGTTTTCGCTTTTTTTGTCAGTAAAAGTAACTATAAAATATCATATATCTGATATTTAAAAGCGGAAAAATTCTTCATAATAAAACGGTTATCATAACTATAAACTATAAAAAAATTTGTTTGACTCATCAAATCTTTATCAAATTTCTTTTTGGGTATAGTAAACTTGAAAAATGTCGGTCGTGACGAATTTCCTTCCTTTTCCCTCTTTTTTTCCTGATTCCGAAACTCCAGTTCAAAGTTCACTCACACGCAGTCCGCCAAAGAACATCATACGGAAGGGAGAGAGGAAGAGACGCAGACGGTTAGAAGTGTTGTGCAATCCGGCCCAACGTGGGCCGACTAGACTCCTATTTAAGGCTGCCGGCTGACTTTCATCAGCAAGTTATTTTAAATTGTTTTCTCTAATATTCCTTCTATTTTTTACTATTATTTTCTCGAAAATACTCGCTTTTTTTGAGTTTCTGATTTTTTTACTCCGTTTTTTTTGTGATCGGAGGCTCCTTTTTTCGTGTTTTTTGCTGTTAGCTTGTTTTAAAAAGTATCAATTTTACTGTGAGACACTGTATATCATTTTGCTCTTCATTTCCTCATTCAAAAAAATTTCATAATCTTGAAAAAAATTGAAAAAAAAATTAAAGTCAATAAATTTCTCAAGTTATGGCTCGAAAAAAACAATGAATGAAATTGCATTTTTAAAAACCTTTTTTTCAAATTATAAATGATCTCTTCCAGGGAAAGAAATATAAATATTTTTTTGATAGTTCATCCACAGATATGTTGACCTTACATTTTTGATTTAGTTTAAAAACTTTGATTAGAACTTTTTCCTTAAGTTTTTTTCTCTTACAACAAGTCTGGATTTAACTCATCTTCAGACAAATTCAAATGCCAAAAAAATTTTTCGTAATGACGTCTGAGTCTCTACTTTTTCCGATGCTGTTTTTCCGCCACTTGTCAGAACCTTTTTTTTTTAAATTCACCGCTTTTTCCTGTTTTTCGTTCATCTTAATCGTAAAAAAATCATTCTGAACTTAAAAATTCTTCAGTTCTTCAAGATCATCTTTTAAAAAATTTTTCCAGCTTCATCATAAATTTCCCAATTCTCCGGTTTCAGAAAAGAGAAGAAAACTGGCGGCTGCTGAAGACACGTCTAGTTCTAGTTCATCGTCTAGCTTAGCTCTTCAAGAAAAAATGTCGTCCACAACTATTGCTGAAGATTTCCTTGAGGAATTCTATCCTTCCAGGTTGATCCAAAAATAATTTCCACGTTTAAATTTGGAATTTAGATGGAAGGGAACCCGTAGATGGCTAGGAAAGCCGTGGGATGGTCATCAAGACGATCTGACCAAACAGATGAAAACTCCCCAATTTGTTCAGAAAACGCTTCAAAATGACGGAATCGCCCTTAGCAAAGTATTGAAAAGAAGATAATTTTTGAAAATATCAGAAATTCCAGAAAGAAATCGCGAGATTGGCGGGAAACGATGAGTTGCAGTTTAACGTCGTGTACACGATGAACAAGAAGAATCGATGGGAACAGGTGGATTTTCAGGAAAAGCTGGAGAAACATGAGTTTTTGAAGGCTGACCCTGTGAATATGATGAAAGGAGTCTCGGCCAAGGCCGACGTCGCCGTCGTCGAAAGGAACTTTGTCTCCTTTTTTGGTACTTCAAGATGGAGAAAGAGCCTTTTTACATGAAGTTTCTAGAAAACGAGGACAAGGATGAATCGACGGCTTTCGCAGTTCACTCCAGAACAGACTACGACGTCGACGACGAGTCTTTCGGTATCAGAACTGCCAAATGTGCCGGAAAGGGACAAAAGGTTCAGTTAACCATATATTCATTATTCAAACCCCTTTTGAAGGTCTCCAACTTTGCCTCCAGAAGCCAGAGAGCTGAGCGAGAAAAAGGACAAGAAGAAGCCGAAAAAGGAAGAGAAAATGGCCGAGAAACCGACGGTCGTGTACAACATCGTCCGCACTCATCCGGTCAAGGAAATCGCGACGGCCGGACTTTCCAACGCGAAAAGTTTGCTTCGAAACGGAGCTCAAGTTATTTCGGACCATTTTCAGGTGGATCCAAAGCAAAAGGCAGGACCAGAGGTCGACCGGCGAACATCAAGAATATCCAAGACTACGTCGGAAATGACGAAGATTATTCTGACGAGGAAGACGTCGAGGATTCTGAATACGCCTATAATCATAACTCCAACGTCAACTTTTCTGATTATCTGATTGAAAAGGAGAGAATCGCCGAGAGAATGAATTCAATGCAATCGTTCGACTTGTGCGATGATTTCGAAGCGGCTAGCTCGTCTTGTTACGAGGAGGTTGAGCTTTTTCCTCTGTAAAGACTCAAATCGATGATTTTTAGATTGATGATGGTCTTCCTGAACTCCTCGACATCAATGATGTCCTTGCTGAGAAGCATCTGTTCACGATGAAAGACTTTGTGAACAAAGACGTAAAGAAGTACGATTTCGATGAGGAGGTAGGATAATTGGCCATAATGAACTCACCATGGGAACTTCGATTTTTTCGATTTTTCGTCGAGTTCCTGGCTTTGATTGAGTCTACTTTGAAATCTTCGAAAGTTAGAGAGCGTTGAAAAATGAGAGGGCACACTTTTTCTTCTTCTCTCGACGCCCTCTTCTTTACCAGTTCTCTCTAACTTCGAAGACTCGGAAGTAGACTCAATTGAGTGGAAAATAATATCTATAAACTAATTTTCGATTCAGGTCGAAAAACTCCGTGAAAATACCGATTTGATCGTCCGGACCGTCGGCAACAAATGCGTTTTCGTCAATGCTTCGCCCATGCTCCTTCCCAAGCCTTACTACACTTTCCTAATGGTTTTCCGGGTCGTTGAATCTAAATTTTTGAGGTTTCAACTCAAATTATCTGTCAGTATACAGCACATTTTTACAGTATCCAAGTGGATTCCACTGTCAAATGCAAGGATATGCATGTGGCGACTGTGCGGGATTGCATTGATTCCAACAAAAGCTTTATTGAAATTGTCCTGGCTGTCGCGAAATTCCTGAAAAGCTTACCCTTGGATGAGCCAAAGTTGGAAAAGGACATTTTCGGCGAAAAAGTGTAGGTTTTTTTAATAATTTTCATACGTTAGTAGCTCTCGTAACATAAATGACTTTGCAAAAAAGCTTTTGAAAACGGAAAAAAATTTTTTCAAAGTTTGTCCATGGAGCAGCTTTGACGTTAAACTTATTTTTAATTTTCGTAGTTGGAATTCTTTTTTTCCATTTTTTTTTTTTTTAAATGACTTTTTTATAGGATTTTTTTAGTAAAATTTCTAGATAAAGTTTGAAAAACGCTTTGAAAAAGTATTTTTACTGCTTTTTAAGTTTCCAAGAGTGGACAAAACGTCTATTGAAAATATTTATTAATTTTTACCATTAATTCTTTTTGAGAATTGAATTTCTTTCTCTTCTTTCTAACTATTTTTTTACACGTTGTTTAGTTTTTGCACCTGAATAATTATATCATCATGAAGTAAAATCTTAATGAGAAAAATTTGCAGTCCTGAATTGCCTACTGGTTTGGAAGCCCAGTCCCATTCGTCTCGATTCTATGTTCCGGTAAGTTCTTTTTTTTTATTCGAAATATTTTGTAGATTTTTAACTTTTTTGTGGTTTGAAGTATTTTGTAGATTTTAAGTTCAATAACAATACATGAAAAAAAAACCTCGAATTTTCAATTTTCCAGGCGAACGCTCAAGACCTCAAGGGCATGGATTCCTTCATCCATTCCACTTGTCTGTATATTTCTGATGAAACTGCTCAATCTTCTGTTGATACTCAGAACAAGGTTTTCCTAAAGTTTCCCCTCCAAGAATTTATATTCATTTTTCCAGAACTGCACCCACTGTCTTTCTCGTTACTGGAAGCACCTGTTCGCCTTGAAAAATGGGACTTTCGAGTGCCTTATTTGCCTCAGACACAAAATCTATCGACAGATCAGGCAACAGCTCTTCCCGGTTACTGTGAATGTAAATAATGATTTTTTGATTTTTTTGATTCAATGGGATAATTTCAGTTGCTGCTCAATGAAGGCGATTCGGAACTCGACGCCTTGGCTATGATCCTTCCTATTACTGTTTTCAATTTTTATGCCAAGAAGCTCTTCGAGAACCTCTACATCGGTTTCGGGGCCACTGGGAAGTTTCTCGAGTGTCCCTGTTGTTCGGCTCAACTTTATCTTGAAGATGATGGCCCCAAAGGTTAGTTTGCTGTTTCGAAACGAGAGGGGTCTGGTAAGAAAGGAAAAAAAAAGAGTTCTCAGTGTTTTTACATGTTCTGGAGAAAATTTTCCAAGAAAAAAATAGTTTTGTGTACACAATGAAAGTTTGTTAAAGAAAGAAAAAATCGCAAAAAATTAAAAAATCAAAAAAATTAAAAAATTGGAAGGATATACATATACTAACAGTTTCAGATTTACCCTGCGAATTTTTTTCGAGAGAATCTGATTTTTTTCAAATTTAAATAATCCATAGTTTTTTTCAAAAATCAAAGCTGAACTTTAGGGCCGATGTCGAGTAAATTTTGAAATCTTGATTGAAAAAAAATCCAAAAATGGTCATTTTCGACTCAAAATGTTTTCCCTTGACTTGAAATTGTTCAAATCGAGTTTTTTTCAGAAAACTATCGAATTTCCGTAAAATGCAGCGCCTGCAACAGCGTCTGGTGCAGGAATTGCCACGGCGAAACCCATTGGCCGATGAATTGCGAAGAGTTTTCCGAGTGGAAGCCCAAATGGGAAGTCCAATGTGGGTTTGAAAATTTGTTGAGAAATATTTCAGTGAAAAAGAAAAAAACGACTTTTTTTCAATCGAATTATGAGAAAATTTTTCGTTTTATGAGAAAAATTTTTGACTGTTTTTGAATTTTTTTGATTTTTTTCTTTTTTTAAGGGATATTGAAAATTGGAAGGAAAATAGCGAAAATATAACCTTTTAATTGAAAAAAATTCGTCGTTTTAAGTAATTTTCGAAAATTTTTTCAAGCGAAGTTTTGAATTTTGAAAGCAGATTCCACTGGAAAACGGCTTTTTAAAGCATTTCGTGAAGTTTTTTCAAAAGTTGTTGTTTAATTTTTTTCGAAAATCTAGTTTTTTTGAATAACAAAAAAATCTTCTTTGAAAACTGGATAAAAGATTCAAATTTTTCTTTTTTTTTTCTTGCCTTGAATTTCTACCTTATAACCTGACATTTTCCAGATATCATACAAAATCCCGACATGCGGCCCAATATGTACATGCTCGACATTGAATGCGACGATTGTAAAACAAAGTTTGATGTACGTTTCAATTTTCCAATAAAAAAAAGAAAATAGGCTTTTTAATGTTATCGGTTTGTAGGACAATTTGGAAATAGTGTGTTGATGGGGGAAGTTTAAATGACTTTTCAAGAGTTTTTTTAGGAGAGAATAGTTTTTGTTTTTTTGAAAAAAATCCAGGATTTTTTTAGATAAACAAAAAAACGAGTTTTTCACATGAATGTTTTTTTCATTAAAAAAATGACTTTTTCTAGATAAGAAGCTTACTGGAAAAAAAGGAAAAAGTTCGAGAAAAAAATAATTTAACTAAAAGTTCATGATTATCCTTTCTACCTAAAAATTAGAATAAAGAATTTTTCCAGATATAGAATTTCGATCAGAAAATCTAGGATTTTTTTCTATATTTTTTTGAATAAAAAAAGAACAAGGAATTTCTCAGAAAGAAAATTTGGAAATAATTATTCTACATTTTTTTGAAAAAAATAGAAAAATTCCAGACATACATCTTGATATAAAAAAATCCAGGAGTTTCTAAATTTTTCGAAAAAAAAATTACAGGGTTTTTCTCCCAGATAAGCAAAAAAATCTAGGATTTCTCAAAACCTTTGAAAAAAAGGAACAAAGGTTTTTTTGAGATGAATAGATTTGATTGAAAAAAATCAATGATTTTTTTCTAGATTACTATGAAAAACAAGAAGCTTTTTCAGATATTACTAAAAAAAGATCTTTCCAATAAATATTTTTCAAAAAAATAGACCAAATAAATTTCCAGATAATCATGCCGACGAGATTGGCGTCTTGTCCCGGCTGCTCGAAAGTCGTCGAAGAAAAAGCAAATGGAATATCTGTACCTTTCCTTCGGCAAATGGTGTTACCGGTACAAGCCCCAGGAAGGCAATACCCGCGAGCTTTACAATCCGATCGCGGTAAAAATCATTTATTGATTTTTCTCACTATTCTGTCTTACAGGCAAAGTATGACTTCCATGTGATTTACCGGGTCTTGACGCCGGAGCGAATGAAGAGAAAATGCGGCTCCAAAGTTAAGAAAAATGTCGCCGATGTGGGTTTTTTTGTCTTAAATTTGGGTCTTGAAAAAAATTAAGTCTTCAAGTTGGAATGTGAGAATCATTCACCCAAAAATGAAAAAGTTGTCTTTTTTCTCGCTTTCTTTTCCCTCGACGACTCTCAAGATTTAGGAATATTTTTAGAATTTTCATCCTCTCACCGGCGAGAGAAAAGAGGGCGCAGGCAGGTTAGACTGTTCTAAAGAAAGCCACAATAGTATTTTTTTAGTTATAAACATTTATCCTATTTACCTTTTTGCGCGTCGTTTCTGATGCATCGAGTGCATTGCGTACAACACATTTTATCTCCCGCCGTTAATGTCGCCGTGATGAATTAGTCAAATTTTCCTCAGTTTTTCAAAAAAATTTTCCCTGAAAGTGGAATTTTTTTATTTTTTTTCTATTTTAATCTTCAAAATCCAGCTTTTCTAGCCTCAAAATTCAATCAAGGAGCTGTAAAGGTTCACCTTTTTGATAGGGATTATCTCCGTTTTCAAAAAAACTTGTGAAAAATTATTCTTACCAAATTTTGTTCTAATTCAGTTACTACGACTCCTTTTTAGACTTTTCCTTAAGGTTTTAGGTTTTTTTTCTTAGATTCTAGGCTTCTCCAAGTGCTTTCCTAGAAAGTACAACGTTTAGAAAAAAATTCATTTTTCTCCACAAAATTGAGTCAAAAATGATTGAATAAAGGATTCATTGGATTCAATTAGGACCAATACCCAAACCAAATATTCGATTCTAAACTTTAGATCTGCACCGAACTCCGGAAACTGAGAATGGACGAAAAGTTCCGCTACGACATGCTCAAACGGATGTCCCATTTGAGAAAAGTCGATCCGAAAATTGACGAACTCCCAGAACTTTGTCCAACGGTAAAATGAAAATATTCTAGAACCCCAATTAAAGAAGGCCTTCCAGATCCTTTCTCTAGCCGAAAATCTTCTCGGACTGCTCTACGTCTCGAAGAAAAACACATTGGAAGTCACCAACTTGGCTTCGAGGGCTTTGAAAATCTTGGACCACTTTTCGGCTTCTTGTGAAATTGAAATTATTCCGTGAGTTGTTTTTTTCAATCCTTCCGACGTTTTTTTTTGACGACGCCTCCTTTATGCGTAAAGTTTCGTGTGTAGTGTGCATGCACTCTGGCGCTTTCGCGCAGAAAAAATGTAGTGAAAATTTTGATTCGACTCTTCCGTTGCCATGACGTCACGTGGGAACGGCTGAGGTTTTGACTCCGCCCACTCGTTTCGCATTTTCTTCCACTAAACAACGCCGAGAACAATGTTCCAGTTTTCAGGGCCCAACAACTACGCGAACTTCGGAAAATCTCCTCGGCTCTCTTTTCAATCGCCGAATCGACGAGAAATGATGTTTGAGAGCAACTTTTGAGACATTTGATTTGGAAAGGACAATAAATTGTGAATTTTGGCAAACAACTTGTGGCAGATGTTTTGACGTTGCCAAGTTCTAGATTTTTCATTTCCAAAATCGATGGACTTCATCCAATCTTCTCTGGACTCTGTCACAAACGCCGAGGCTTCCAATCATTATGTGACCTTATTAGGGCTCGGTTGCTTATTAACCGCCTCCCTGACGATCCTTCTCTTGATGCCCCCCTACCTTTTCTTCTATTTCAAAAGCCTCAAAAAGAAAGACGAGGTCTCGAGAAGAATCAAAAGGGAAAATATCGCAAGTTTCAGCAAATCTACGATTATTTGGTTCATAATCTGACCGTATCCACGACAATAATTCAGTTCGGTTTTTTATTTTTCTTGTTTGCGGCCATCAGTTTCGTCGCTCTCCGAGCTTATTATTGGTGGGGAATTTCGAAAAATTGCACATGACCGGAAAAAATGAGTTTTGAGGTTTTGACATGTCGAAAAATCTTCACAAAATTGTAGCATCTTCAAATTTTGAAAGTAAATAACGATGATGTCATTTTGAAACGCTCATTGGATTGGTTTATCGCGACGTTTGGGGCGGAGATTGAGCGAAAAAAAAATTGGCTATATACAAAAGAATATTGAATTTCATGAATACACGGCGAGAGTGCCTATTGCAGTACTGCCAGTAAGTGTGCTCTATGGGTAAAAGTCACCGCTGTTTTTATTTTCCTTCATTTTTCTTGATTAATAATTTTTTTCTATTTTTATAAAATCTTTAGTTATAGCTGATTCACGGCTGGCTTGAGCAATCGGAAAAAAAGCTCCTGACACCATGAAAAAAGATATAATACCTGGTTAGTAGAGAGAGCAGACAGGCCACGCCCCTTGGTGTCACAACCTAGCCGTGAATCGACTGGAGTCCGATTAAGATAGATTTTTCAGAAAATTCGAAAGGCATCGGTGGAAAATGAAGAACGGTAAGAAAAATTGCAACACGCTGCCCTTTCTCATAAGTTCAAGGGGGCTCTGGAAAAAAAGGTTTATGTGGGATTCCCAGTGAATATCAGGATATACGATGTGAACCAACAAAATGACGTGAATATCTCGAAAAACATATTTCCCGGCTTTAAAAGTTTATCTTTAGAACTTTCAGGAAACAGTTAATCGCTTTCGGATTTCTCGTCGTCGTCTACTTGTATCACTACTTAGCTTTTCCGATAATTCCCCTAGGTGTCAATATACTATTGGCAATCATAACGATGCAGAGATACTGTATGGTCTGTATGCATCCCAGATTTCATAAATATGTGAAAGGGTGAGAAATCCTCAGAACTCATTTCGAAACGTAGTGAATTGAGATTTATTCTGAAATGCAGTGTTATTGCGACTTGGCTATTTAGCTTCGGACACTTTTTGTTTCTTCATCGTGAGTATAAATTCATAGTTATTAGCTTAAAATTCCGTAACGTGGTATCCTTAATTTGCATGCGGAGCGGTCGCGATGCGGTTTGGCGCCGATTCAAAAATGATGGCATTCGTGAGATCTATTTTTCACGGCGTTTTTGTTAGTGGAAAAAAAAAAATGCGAAACCAAAAACACGGTGGGCGGAGTCAAAATATCCGCCGTTCTCACGTGACGTCATGGGAATGGCAGAGATTTCGGCTCTAAGAGCGTAGATAACAGAGCATATTAAAGGCTCAGGCCTCCTTATTGCCACAGGTCTTTGAAACTAATCGAAATTCCTCTACATGAACACAATTTTCCGCGCGAAAGTGCCGCAGCGCATGCACACAACATATGAAACTTTACGGAGAAAAGTGGGCGTGGCGTCGTTGAAAAACGCCGTGTTTTGTAAATCATCTTCAATCGTTTGATAAAGATGCTAAAGACATACCAAAGAAAAATGATGCATATTTATCAGTTTTATCAACAGAAACGTTCAAAAACTAGGTAAGTTTTGAAATCGCAACCGCTTTGCACCCTGGAAATAACGTTATTCGGCGATTCAATCCGTTAAAAAAAGGACTAAATGGTATTCCTAATAGACCGGCCTGTTACAGAAAATTGCAACTACCTGTTCATTACTTTATCAGCAACCAACTGCGAAGACCCGAAATATGCTTGGATCGTTTATGTGAGCGATTTCGAAACTATTTCTCAAATATTCCTGTGTCAGGAAATCTAGAATCAGTAATCGTTTTTTGAATTTTGAGAAAATGGTCTCGAGAGAAGTACTGTGCAAAAAAATATAATGAAATATAATTAGTTACGAAAATTTTGAAAGTAGTTTTTGAAGCTCAACAGTTCAGCTTTCAGAACGAAGATAAATTTTTCAGGCAGTTGTAATTTTTGATAAACTGTTAGCCGTGATCAGTGTGGTTCAATATTATCTGATCTACCGGAAAATATCCTCCTTATCTTCTATGGTCTCATCAAATCAGTATAGACCGGAGAAAAGAGTTATGCAACAAGCTCTGCCTTTTACGGTCGTCAAAATCGTATGTTGGGAAAAGACCGAAGTTTTCAAGTTTATATAGAACTTTTCAGATGCTTTTTATTTTGGTTCTGCCTCCTTGGTTACTTAATTCAACTTTCCGAGAAGATTTCCCTATTTATTTCGCTTTCTTGGCCTTCGACTATTTCCTAATCCCTACAGTGATCCCTTTATCCTTTCTTTCCACTTTCTATAGACAATATAAAATCAGTCTCAAGCCTGTTCCGCATCGGCCTAAAACTTATCGGTTGGAAAACTGAATTATTAAAAATAAAGTTGTTTTTTTCTTGGTTGTGAACGTGTAAAAAAATTTCGGAAAAGTTTTTTTGTGTTTAAAAAAGTTTTCTGAATTTTATCCTCGATTAAGATCCTTAGGAAAAAGATTTAAGGCTTTATTGCATGAATTTATTTTTTTGTGAAAAGTAAAATTTCTCCATTGGCGGTTTTTTTGTTAATTGAAAAGACTCGGTAATTTCCTAGATGGGTTTGAAATTTTTAAGATAAACGTTTTTCCATCTCTCAAGTGTATTCAAAATGAAAAGTTGTTTCACAGAGACTAATAACTTCTTGAGCCCCGAAAAATCAAGAAAAAAGTCTTTAAGAGCAATTTTGAGACCTTCAATTACAAAAGGACATTCCAAACCTGGAATTTGAAAACGCGCGAAAACTTCGCGACAGGTGTTTTTTTTTTCTTGGGTATTATTAGCCGAGTTAGCTTTCAGTCTTCACTATCATCAATGGACTTTGTCCAATCTTTTGTCAACTCTATAACAAGCGAGAACGCTTCCAATGGTTATCAGACTCTATTGGCGGCCGGATGTTTATTCATATTCTTCCTGACAATTGTTCTTTTGATGCCACCCTACCTTTACTTTTATTTGAGAAGCTTTGACAGGAGAAACAAGGTTGCAGGGAAAAAATGATGGTGCTGCGACAAGATCGAGTTTTCCATTTCTGAAAAGTACGGTATGTGAAAAGTCCGCATTTAACGTGCGCAATTCGCGTGTTTGCACATTTGAGCGGATTTCCGCGTTTTTTTTCCAAGCATCATTGAGATGGCTTACAACTATACCTATACCACTAATTATTATTTAAAAAAAAAAACTAAAAAATTAAAAATGAAATAGAAAAGCGGGAAGACGATACCACTCAAAATGTGCAAACACGCAAAGTTTACACGCCAAATGCGGACTTTTCACATACCGTACCCTTCGGTAAAGGAAAACTCGCCCTTGTCGTGGCACCAAAAGGATAGTCACTATAACACAAGTTTCAGCAAATCTATGATGATTTACTCCACAGCCTGACCTTGTCTGCTACCTTGATTCAATTTGGATTTCTCCTCGCTCTCCTCGGACTCCTGATGTGTTGGATCGCTCGCGGAGGAAGCATATTGTGCGATTCTCAATCAGATTTCAAGTTTTATTTTATGCAATTTCAGAGAACAAACCTTTTCTCTATCCTTTATAGTCATAGCATTTTTCTATCACTATTTATCTTTCCCAGTGATTCCCCTGGGTGTCAATGTCTTATTGGCGATGCTCACTTTACAGCGCTATTGTGTCGTTTGTATGCATCCCAGATATCATAAGAATGTTAAAGGGTGAGAAATGTTTCCAACTTGTTAGGAAAATGATTGAAATTGAGAATCGCACTGAAATACGCTGTGATGGCAACCTGGCTACTTAGCTTCACCCATTTGATTTTTCTCTTCCGTGAGTTTTTCTGAAGTGTGATGTTTGATGAGAGATACTTCAGATTTTTGCAATTATCAATTTTTGACGTCCTGGTCGACCTGCGAAGACCCGAAATATGCTTGGATCGTTTATGTGAGTGATATGTGACCTACTTAGGATCGCCATAGTGGTACCTTTAGGGGTTCGGGGGAAAACAGCCCGTACACCCCTACAGGGGGCAAAAAGTGTCTGCTATAGGAGGTTATGTCTGGCCCTTAAGCCTCTGAAGCACAAGTGGTCTTTATAGGGACTCGGTTGATATTTTTCATTCAAATAACGCCAGTTCATTGAGTTTTTCGCATAGAAATGCTTCTTCTTGAACGAAAATCGACTAGCTTCTCCCCTATAGATAGGGACCGCAGACGAATTTTCAAAAAAATTTTTTCAGCATTGAGCTTTGTATGGTTCGATAGCTGTTTCGATTCAAAACTCAGAACCGTTTAGTTTTTCAAAAAAGATTGAGGATGAAAAAAGTTATGACGGAAAAGGTGGCGCGCCGCGCACCATGTTTTTAGTACTGAAAATTTGGTATTTCCATTTTTGACATTTTTCTCGATTTTTCTTCTAGAACAAGTTTTGATACTGGTCTATTATGATGTAACAAATCATAATAGAGTGCTGAAATGATGCTAATCAGCTAGTTTGCCGAAAAAAAGTCGGTATTTTTCCAGAAAACAAAAAAAACTGGCGCTTGCGGGCATCGAACTCGCGACCTCAAAATGTAAAAATCGGAGCGCACGCGTTGCGCCAAGCTGTTAGGTCCAACGCGGGGAGCTTCCATCCCCCATACCCTTGAGCCGTTTGAATAGCACAGATTGCCTATTTCAAAAATAAAAACTTGAAGTAATTTAGCTATTTTTATCAGAATATGTTCGCAAATCTTTACTCAAACGTTTCGTGGAAATTCACTTCGAAAAAACTGTTTTTTTAGTGCTTTTTGCCTCGTTTAACGATCGCTGCATTAAAACGGCCCCGTAAATTTTTGGCAAAGACGAATTTTTTATTTTATTCTTTTAATTGAAAGATTTTTTACTAATAAATGTATATAATCGTTTGAAAAACCTGCGTTCGACCGCTTTCTGTGTGATAAACGCCGCTAATTTTTTTCTCTAGTTTCAAGAGCATTTTTGCGTATTAAACAACTTTTTCAAGCACAGGTGCTGTGGAGAAAAATTTAAGTAAGACCATGGTCTAAATTTTGAAAAAACAAAAACTCGATTATATTCGCTTATTAACGATATTTTGAATTATGACTTTCGGCGCTCCCTAAAAATTTTTTTGGCAAAGACGAATTTTTTTATTTTATTGTTTTTAAAATTACCGTTACTTGAATCAAAATCATTATTTAAAAAAAGAAAGAGTGCGTTCGACCTAAAAAAACACATGAAAAAAAGCAAAAAAACGACAAAATTTTTTTAGTTCCATTCACGTTTTTTTGTACGACATTCCGCGAGAACGCATCAAAAAAAGCGTGAAATATTTTTTTAAACGAAAGAGGAAGCTTTTTCTGTACATGTGTGTCAAATTTTATTCGCCAGTTCCACATATTTTACAACTACAACAAAATGAAAGTTTAAAACCAAAAAAAAGCCACTTTTTCTATCGCGAAAAGGGGCGTGGCTTTGCGGTCCCTACCTATAGAAGTTAGTAACTGAAACCCTGAAGGGCCACTTTCGCAAGCTTTAGTGGCCCCTATAGGGGAGGTAGAGTGGATGTGAATCTTCCAGGGTTTCTAAGATTGCCCCTATAGAGACCACTCTGGAGTTGTGTATACAGTACTTCAGGTAGTTATGGTAATTGACAAACTGTTAGCTGTCATCAGCATAGTTGAATATTATCTGATCTACCGGAGAATATCTTCCTTATCTTCTATGGTCTCATCAATTCAGTACAGACCTGAAAAACGAGTCATGCAACAAGCTCTGCCCTTCACCGTCGCCAAAATCGTATCGAAATCGAAAAGTCCAAGTTTTGAGGTTTATATATAGCTTTTCAGATGCTTCTACTTCTGATTCTGCCTCCTTGGTTGCTGAATTCAACTTTCCGAGAAGAATGCCCTCTGTTCTACGTCTTTTCAGCGTTTGACTACTTCCTAATCCCTACAGTGATCCCTCTATCTTTCCTTTCCACGTTTTATAGGCAGTACAAGACTAATCTTAAGCCTGCTCCACATCAGCCAAAAACCAATCGATTGGGCAACTGAAGGGTTCGAGCAATAGCGTAACTATTTTTTGTGAAAGAAATGTAATAATAAAGTGTGTCTGGAAGGTTTTTTGGTATCTGATATACCTATCGACGCTGGCTTTACTCAAAACGAAATCGAGGCTCGGTGGACTTTGAAGTTCTCGACAAGAAAGAAAAAAGAAAGTTTGGAAAAAGTTCAAAAATGCTATAATCTTGTGGCTGATCAGCAGGAGATCAATGCGATCCCTATTTGAGATCCAAAAAACTACATATCGTTCAGAAAAGTTTTCTGAGTTAGTTCTGAAAAAGCAGCCTTTGAATTTAAAGGATATAAAAAGGTTACTGAATTCATTTTTGGAACTTGGCAAACAACTTGGGGCAGATGTTTTACTCTTGAGGCTATTGCCAAGTCAGTTAGTTTCCTGTTCCCTTATTCAAAATGGACTTCATCGAATTATCATTAAATTCGATCACAAGCAAAGAAGCTTCTACTTTCTATCTTGGTTCCTTGGGAGCCGCTTGTTTCTTCATTATCTCTCTGATGATTGTACTTTTGATGCCACCCTACCTTTTCTATTATTTCAGAAGTCTTGACAGGAAAAATAAGGTCTTAAGAGAAAATACATAAATATAAAAGGTGGTTTAGCAAGTTTACGATTTTTTAATTCTCATCCTGACACTATCAACAACGATGATTCAGTTTGGCTTTTTGCTCTTCTTTCTCGGGTTTTTGATGATACCGTTGAGAAGCAAAAAAATTGATACTATAGGGTAGGAAAATGTTTTTTTATTTTTATTTATTTTCGTATGACTTACAGCCCGCAAGAAGAGTTCTGTTTGATATTTTTAGCAGGCGGCTACCTTTATTATTACCTGGCCGTTTCAATCATCCCAATTAGCGTCAATGTCTTACTAACAATCCTCACTTTGCAACGATATTGTATTGTTTGTATGCATCCAAGATTCCATAAATTTGTCAAAGGGTGAGAATTCCATCAGAACTTTCTGGAAAATCGCGGAAACTTTCAGAACAGTTCTGAAATTCTACGTAAGCGTGGTTTGGATTCTTGGCTTCAGCCACTTTTTGTACATTTTAAGTGAGTTTTTTCGGAATACTGGTTGGAAAATCGCTCTATTTTCAAGGATATTGCAACTATTTGCCTTCTTCCCCATAGATCAACTGCGAAGAGCTGAAATACGCCGGAGTAGTTTATGTGAGCGAATTTTTACAGAGATGTAATGTTTGGCGCCCGTAGAAATTTATTACTAACTTAGTCTATGAAAAATGCATATTTTGGTAAGAAACATTCGCTGATGTGCATGCTTTATAGATCGTCCTGAGCGATTATCATCATATTATCGAACTTCCTATTCTCGTAACGCCCTTGTAAGCTCACAAAAGCTTTCAGGCAGTTTCGTTCATTAATAAACTCTTGGCCGTGATCAGCATAGTTCAATATTATCTCATCTACCGGAAAATATCCTCCTTATCTTCTATGGTCTCGTCAAATCAGTACAGACCGGAGAAAAGAGTTATGCAACAAGCTTTACCTTTCACAGTCGTCAAAATTGTAAGAGTTCAAATTTCAGATTCTTACGGCTTGAGCCATCGAAAAAAAAGTCCTACCACGATTTAAAAAAAAAACAGTGCCTGCTTGGTGGACAGCTTAGACTGAGTCCCATGCTAACCGTAAACCTACCATATCTAATTTTCAGATGCTTTTATTTCTGATCTTGCCTCCATGGCTTCTGAACCCGACGATCCGACAGGCACCTCTCGCCTACATTTTCTACGCCTTCGAATATTTCCTTATCCCTACAGTGATCCCTCTATCTTTTTTTTCCACTTTCTATAGACAGTACAAGAGTAATCTTAAGCCTGTCCCTCAACACCCTAAAACCAACAGAGTGAGAAACTAGAGGACTTTCAATGAATCATTTTTATCCAATCGTGAAAATTTGAGCAAAAAAAACTCATTCGGCAGATGTTTCTTTGGGTAGCATTTAAATCTAGCAATAAAAGCTTTTAGTTTTCTACGTTATGGAAAGTATCAGAACCTTTTTGAATTTTTTCACCGGCAGAGATGCTTTTGATAATTATATGTCCTTCTTGATTGTCGCCTTTTTTCTGACTTTAATTTTGACTACGGTTTTTCTGATGCCACCGTATCTCTTCTTCTACTTCAAAAATCACAAAAAAACTGAAAAAGTTAGTTGAATCAGTGATAATAACTATAGAAATGTATTTCCAGCAAATCTACGACTATTTAGTTCACAACCTGACATTTTCCACTATAATGACGCAGCTTGGTTTTATTCTCGTCTTTTTTGGGATCCTTGTGATCTGGATCATTGGAAGTGGTGACGAGTATTTTGGGTACAGAATTTTCAATCTTTGATGATAATATTGTTAAAACTTAAAGGGAAAAAGCGGTTACGTTGTTACTCGTAGTCGTTGGATATATTTATCACTATTTGGCCATCCCAATAATTCCTCTTAATGTTAACATATTGTTAACGATTCTCACTTTGCAACGGTATTTCATGGTTTGCACGAATGCGAAGTTTCATAAATACGTGAAAGGGTGAGAAATTATCAGAATCTGGAAAAAAAAGGAGAAATTGTGAATTTGAGCGCTGCGTTGAAATATTACGTAAAAGCGACTTGGATACTTTGTTTTCTACACTTTTTGTTCCTATATGGTGAGATACCGCGTCATTTTTTAATAAAAGTCTGATTTCTATGTGCTCTCTTTTTTCCCACGGAGACTCTTATTCTTATCTGCTCTCTCACGGCATTTTTGTTAGTGGAAGAAAATGCAAAACCAAAAAAAGGGGGCGTGGTCAAAACCTCCGTCGTTCCCATGTGACGTCACGGGGAAAACGCGTAAACAACAAATAATATTAAAGGCGCATGTTCAATGGGTCATGAGACGAATCGATTTAACCAGAGGTGGAGAAATGGCGCCCCTAAGCGTTTTCAAACGTTTACATTTCTGAACCGACGTAGGCCGCCATGGCCATTTCTTGATAAGTCGCTGCCCAGGGCGCCCGGGGCCAAAACCGCGATGGCAAAAAAACGCCATTGGAAGAAAAAGAACGCGCAAAAATCGGAATCTTCTAAAATCTTGTAAAATCGTTGTTTTCGAACCTTTAAAACAAGGTTTTTTGAATTTCCAATTTGGTGGCGACGGAAATTTATTCTCTCATTGGTCAGCGGGTTCGTAACCATAAATCTGGAACATTTCGCCTAAAGAAAAGAACAAATATAACCGTACTTCACATAAAAAAAATTCAACTGGACATCATATCCACTGAAAAATTAAAAAAAATTATTGAAAAAATTGCGAAATCCACGAATTAATGAAAAATGAACAAAAATGACAATTTTCGCCCAACTTTTGCAACGTGGTATTATACGCCATCGACACGTAATGACGCGGCTCATTTCTTCTCAGGGGCCTGATGGCTAGGGCGGGCATGTTGCGCCCTGGAGGGCCCCTCATTTCTTCCACCCCTGGATTTAACATTTTAAAAAACGTTCAATTTTCTTCGGAGCACGTGCTGTGTTCAAAAGCGAAACTCCGCGAATTTTAAACTAGCCGCCAGAGAGTGGGAAGTGTATAACTGAATTTCGAAAATTCAGAGACTATTTTGAATTTCGCGAAAGTTAACTTTGAACATGGCATTTGTGAGAGCGCTGCAGTGCATTCACACTACACACTACACTTTACGGAAGAAATATGGGCGGGGCGTCGTCAAAAAAAAAAAACGCCGTGCTCTCCAATTTTCCCAATCATTGCGGTGAGAGAAAAGAGAGCGCAGGCATGCTTCACATCATGACCAACAGTGTATTCATTGTAATGTACCTAGTTCACTTGATTTAGAATGTTGCGATTATTTACCTTGGTCACGAATGATTTACTGCGGTGAACCCAAATACGCTTGGATCCTTTATGTAAGCTTCCGACAAAGTGAAATAATATATTAGAACTTTTCAGACAGTGGCTATCACGGATAAGCTTTTGGCCGTGATCATCGTAGTTTTATACTATTTGGTCCATCGGAAGATATCAAAATTAGCAACTTTGGTCTCGAAAAGCCACTACAGACCAGAAAAAAGAGTTATGCAGCAAGCTCTACCTTTTGTCGTCGCTAAAATTGTATGTTTGGAGTATTAAATATATTTTTCCTGTGTGAAAAAAGTAGATGAGAAATACCATACCAGTATTCAAATAATTTTTACGGACTTTTGAGGTCAATCATACGCCGAGTGACAATTCCCTTTCTGAGAACAGTTTCTAACATTTCTCAAATTTCAAGTTAAAAATGGAAACATTTCAGATTCTTCTACATTTGGTATTGCCTCCTTGGCTTCTGAACTCAACAGTCCGAGAAATTCCTCTAATATACTATTTCTACGGCGTCGACTATTGCCTCATCCCTACAGTGATCCCTCTATCGTTTCTTTCTAGCTTTTATAGGCAGTACAAAGACAAAGCAAAATTAGTTCCTCATCAGCGCAACAATGAGGAACTTCGAAATTGAAAAAGGACAAACAATAAAGTTTATGCGTCGAAAAAAAGAAGAATTGCAAAGGCAGATGTTTTTTTGTAGCACCGAGTTCACTTTTGTGTAAGTGTTCAAATTTTTTGGTATCATGGAATTCGTTCAAACTTTGACGGCCTCAATCACGGACCGAGATACTTCTAAGGATTATTTTTTGTTTTTGATGGTAATAATAATAATAATAATAGGTTTATTCACTGCATACTGTTAGAAAAATAATAAATAAAATAGTTCAGAATACGAAAGCAGCAGAATAACTAAAACGGGAATTAGTCCACCCTAACGAGTAGACTATGACCCGGGGATAGAAAGGAAGTCAGAGCAAACGGGAAGGAATGGATTCGAAAAAGGCAGAGTTAGGGAGATCATTAAATTTAACCTAGGGACCGCAGACGAATTTTCAAAAATTTTTTTTCAGCATTGAGCTTTGTATGGTTTGATAGCTGTTTCGATTCAAAACTCAGAACCGTTTAGTTTTTCAAAAAAGATTGAGGATGAAAAAAGTTATGACGGAAAATGTGGCGCGCCGCGCACCATTTTTTTAGTACTGAAATTTTGGTATTATCCATTTTTGACATTTTTCTCGATTTTTCTTCTAGAACAAGTTTTGATACTGGTCTATTATGATGTAACAAATCATAATAGAGTGCTAAAATGATGCAAATTTGCTAGTTTGCCGAAAAATTCGGTATTTTCCAGAAAACAAAAAACTGCCGCTTGCGGGCATCGAACTCGCGACCTCAAAATGAACAATCGCAGCGCACGCGTTGCGCCAAGCTGTTAGGTCCAACGCGGGGAGCTTCCATCCCCCATACCCTTGAGCCGTTTGAATAGCACAGATTGCCTATTTCAAAAAAATAAAAAAACTTGAAGTAATTTAGCTATTTTTTTATCAGAATATGTTCGCAAATCTTTACTCAAACGTTTCGTGGAAATTCACTTCGAAAAAAACTGTTTTTTTAGTGCTTTTTGCCTCGTTTAACGATCGCTGCATTAAAAACGGCCCCGTAAATTTTTTTGGCAAAGACGAATTTTTTTATTTTATTCTTTTTAATTGAAAGATTTTTTTACTAATAAATGTATATAATCGTTTGAGAAAACCTGCGTTCGACCGCTTTCTGTGTGATAAACGCCGCTAATTTTTATTCTCTATTTTCAAGAGCATTTTTTGCGTATTAAACAACTTTTTTTCAAGCAAAGATGCTGTAGAGAAATATTTAAGTAAGCTCATGATCTAAATTTTTGAAAAAAACAAAAAAACTCGATTATATTCGCTTATTAACGATATTTTTGAATTATGACTTTCGGCACTCCCTAAAAATTTTTTTGGCAAAGACGAATTTTTTTATTTTATTGTTTTAAAAATTACCGTTACTTGGATCAAAAATCATTTTTATAAAAAAAGAAAGAGTGCGTTCGACCTGAAAAACACATGAAAAAAAGCAAAAAAACGACAAAATTTTTTTAGTTCCATTCACGTTTTTTTGTACGACATTCCGCGCGAACGCATCAAAAAAACGTGAAATATTTTTTTAAACGAAAGAGGAAGCTTTTTTCTGTACATGTGTGTCAAATTTTATTCGCCAGTTCCACATATTTTTACAACTACAACAAAATGAAAGTTGAAAACCAAAAAGCCACTTTTTTTCTATCGCTAAAGCGTGGCTTTACTGATCCCTATATAGTTCGGATAACGCTCTAGAAAAGTGTCATTCATAACTTCCTTCAAATGCGTCCAGTCTGGTCTACTTCAACTGTTTTGAGTTTCGTCAACATGGGCGCTTTCTATGAACTCTGCTGTTTTTAGCGAAAGTGGAGGCGCATTGTATAAAGTCCATTTCGTCTGAAGGCGACCTTTGAATGGAGTGAATCTCCTTCCTGAGCTTTTGGCATCTTTGATCTGTTGTCGGACCATATTTATCTGACTGTATACAGCTATACGGCCTCAAATCCTCTATGTCGTCAATGGATCTCGTTGATACGCTCATGCAGAGGCGGTGATGCATCGCTGAAGGACTGTAGTCCGCCTGCTTTGCGTCCGATAACGTCAGGCGGTAGCAACAGTTTAGGAAGTGGCGGCCTGGAAAAGGAAAGCGACTTTGAGCTGTGGCGTCCTATAAAGCGATTGTCGCGGCTTGTGTAATGTCGAAGCCTCCGCCTCATTTTCCGCGCCTTTATATGCGCTGAAGCAGTTACTTTTGAATTCGTTGATTCCAAATTTTGATTCATTTGATTCGCCTCTATTAAAATAACCCATTCACTTCAAAATTTCTATTTTAATCTGACTAATCACGCCATCAAACGGCTCAAAGTGTAGCGGATGGAAGCTCCCCGGGTTGCACCTAACGAAACAGCGCAGCGCGTGCGATGCGATTTTTTCCTTGGTCGCGAGTTCGATGCCCGCAAGCAGCAGTTTTTTTTCTAGATAGCGACTTTTTCGGCAAACTAGCTGATTAGCATCATTTACTTAGCACTCTTTATGATTTTTACATTATAACCGAACCAGTATCAAAGTTGTTCTGGAGAAAATCGAGAAAAATGTCAAAAATGGATAATGCAAAATTTCAGTACTAAAAAAATGGTACCGGCGCGCCATTTTCCGTCATAAATTTTTTCATCCTCAATCTGACTAAACGGTTCTGTTTTGCATCGGAACGACTCTCCATCATACAAGGCTCAATGCTGATGAAAGAGATGCGAGCGCAGCTCCTACAGAAAGATCTTCTTCTCCTTCATACGCCTTTTGTAACGCTTGAGCGGTGTCGGCGCCCCAAGTCGATTAGCCGAGGTCCTATCCTGATGATAATCAGTGGACTGGCTCCAGTGACATATCCGTCCTTGTGTGTGACGGCTGGGGATTTTGAAGTCGTGGTCTCCCACTACCAACATTTCTTAAACCCCTTGGTTGGGTCAGGGGCGGGGATCGAACTTGTGACCCTGTGGACCGTAGACAGGCACACAACCTGTTGCGCTACGGCGCGCCCCCACAATCTTCACTGAAGTGGTCGTTCGCATTTCGAGGCTTGCCCATGGAGCAGGGCCTCCGGGCTCCAGCACAAAATCCGTTACATTCTGAGCTCGTCAAGGCGCAACTGGATAAACTACGCGCAGAAAAACGAGGCGAAGTACCGTTAAACCATTGTTTCAACTTGATCAATTACACGTTTGGACTTTTAGTTCGCTAAAGGCGGTTGTTCGTTATAGCTTCAAAAGTTCCTGTTCACCGCCTAGTCGATTATATCTGACTCAAACAAAAAAAAAACAAATGATTTCCTTTTGTTCGATTGCTGAATTGAAGGTGTTTTGAAAAGAAATTTTCATTTCGCTCACAAAAAAAAAGTTTCATATCATTTTCTTTCAATTCGGCTTGCTTCTGCTAACAGAATGGGCGGTCTTTTTTAGCCCTGGCAAGGCAAAAAGGATAATAAGACCACAATTATGCTATAACACGTTCAACACCACGGATGGAACTTTTTCGCAAGAATACCAGTCAACCAGGACGACAACACTGGATGACCGATTGCATAAGATCTCCTGGAAAACGTGTGGTCCACGCTTCGATCAATAAAAGGCACTAAAAGGCAATAAAAGGTCGAAAGCGAAGATGGACCATCTAAGTATCTAAGTAAGTAAGTATCATTTTCTTTCAGAAGAGCTCCAATTAATCTTTCTTTTCAATTCATGAAAAAACTTTTTCTTTGAACTGCTTTTTTTCTTTATTTCATGAAATAACGAAACGAAGAAAAACATTATTTTTGCCTTGAGGCATTCATGCACTTTGCGATGCACCTTTAAACTTCTTTACGAGATTTTTCTTTTTCAGATTGTGGCTTTGATTGATAAGCTGTTGGCTTTTGACAATTGTTGTGTTCTATTGTTTTTATCCATCAGAAAATTTCCAAACTAGCTTCGTTGGTTTTCAAAGAGCCATTATAGACCAGAAAAAAGTTATGCAACAAGTTCTACTCATTCACTGTCGCCAAAAATCGTATGTGGTAGTGAAATGTTCGAGGTTTTTGAAAGAAAAGGTCCTTTTAGATTCTTGTTATTTGGGTGTTGCCTCATGGCTACTCAATCTGACATTCCAAGAAAAACTACCTCTTTTTATTTTTTCTATGCCCTCACTATTGCCTAAAATCCCTGTCAGTATTCTATCTTCCTTTCAAGTTGGGCCCATACAGGCAGTAAGAGAGTGGATTTGCTGTTTGCATGCCCACAGACAAATAGAATTGCGATTTAATGTGAGAGTCACGATTGTAAAAATATTGAGTTGATGAAAGCTGAGTCACTCTATTGACTAGAACGAAATAAACGCCGGATTTGCCAAAAGTTTTTCGGGGTCCAAAATTATTATGATTGGATAGTGCTCCAATTTGCATTAAAACAATTTGGTTCTCAAAGAAGGTTTCAAGAATACACGTTGGTCAGAACAGAAACCAAAATTAGTTTTGGAGTTTAGATTACCCATCTTTGTCGTTCTCGATGCAAAGATTTTTGCAGTTCAGATCAATTTTGAAGCCATAATAAGTTACTGAAACCCTAAATCGGTGAAATAATCGTAAAATCAAAAACTTGTACGCCAAAACTATTATTAATTTTTAGGTTTAGGCAGAATTTTATCTTCTGATTGTGGAGATTTAGTAAGCTTTATAAATGATAAATAAAAAGCTAGTTTGACATGCAACTAGGCATGTAGCTAACTTTACGGAGAAAAAGAGTAGTTTTGTTTTTCGTCGACACTCCATTGAAACAAGCTCTGGAGATCGTAAAAGTGTGTAGAGAGTGAGGAAAATTTAGGAGGAAAATTTTTCTCTATGTTTCACTTCCAATTTTCTGTTTCTTTGTGGTCCAAGATTGACTGCTTTTACGAAACAACAAAATCAAAAGCCACTGCTTTCACCATCTCGAGTGGGTGGAGCTTTGCTGTTCATATGTGCATAGAAGCAATGAAACAGGGCCTGCTAAAACCTAACTACTTCCAACGTTATATTTCAAAAGGACACTAGAAAGAATATTTGCAGAAGTTTGCATAATCATTTTGGGACAGATGTTTATTCACCTCCCTCACTTTCATTGTGAGTGTTAGGCAACATTTTCATTATCATGGACTCTGGTTCAAAATTTTGCGGCGTCAACTGGCTAGGCCAACAGACTTCTAGAGGCTATTTCATATTCTTGACAATGATTTGTTTCTTCGTCTTGGCTCTAACGATCCTTATTCTGATGCCACCCTACCTTTACTACCTGTTTCTTCCAGTTTCGCGACCATAGAGAGAAGGTCATTGAATAATTCTGATAGTTGACGATCTTGGCAGAAAATTCCAGCAAATTGCGGATTCCACTGAGTGAACAATCTGACGTTCACAAATTGGCTAATTATCACAATTTGGTTTTTGTATTCACGTTCATTGGAATCAGTCTGGCTCCCGGTACTCGTTCATAGCGGATTGGAGTTCTTTCGTGCGCTTATTTGAAAATCCTTTCATAGTTTCTGACTGAGCTCTCAGGGAAACAAAGCTTTTGCGCATCTTTCCTTTGTTATCGGAGCATTTTATCTTTACATAGCCATACCATTTATTCCCTCTATGTGTGAATATCTTGAGTGGCAATTCGCGCCATGCACAAAGGTATTGCATCGTCTGTATGGATCAAAAGGTTTCATGATTATGTCAAAGGTGCGAAAAATGTATCAATTGGTAAAGGAGTAAGTATATTTGAGAAATATCCTGAAATACAGCGTAAAGAGCAGCTTGGGCAATTGGAATCTTTCATTTTCTATTTATATCAGGTGAGTAT